CCAACTATATTTATCAGGATTTATAATTAAATTTGCACTATTCAATTTATCTATTACTCTTCTCACATCTTTAGCATGTTGCTCAATTGTATCACTGGCAATCACACAATTCATTCCTCCAAATAAAATAGATAGTATTTTTTGAAGTTGTGATGTTAATAATTTAAGTCCAAAACACGCTTTAACAAACATGTATTGATTACCATCTAAATGGATAAAAGTAATCTTATGTTGATCCTCTTTAGCTACCTTGAATCGATAATATGCATTGGATAAATCAATTATTGTAAAGAACTTTTTTCCTGCAAGATTGCGGAAGATGCTCTTAATTAATGGGACTGGGTAGTTAAAATTGGGAGGTAAAATTTTATTTAATAATCTAACATCAAGACAAACTCTATGTCCAATAATTTCATCTGTCTTAGATTTCTTTGGAACCATTAATAATGGGCTATTGAAGGAAGTATTTATTTTACATTTAACAATTATTCCTTTTTCAAGCCATGTTTTCACTTGTTCGTTCAACGTAGATCTTAAAGCAATAGGGATAGGATATTGACGTCTATATGCTGTAGCGTTTAGAGGCGTAGGTAGATGAACTACTGACTCCTTTATGGGACAGAGTGAGGTCTTCGGAATGTTTTAATTGATATTAATTGCATTTTTAATAAATGCCATAAAACTTTCTCTTTGTTCAGGTGTACCTGCAGGAGAGGAATCAGACAAGTATTTCACATTAAGTTCGTGATTTATATTATTAAAATAGTCAGTTTGATCCTTATTAAAATTATCTAATTTATATCCCCCTCCATGCAAGGAAATACTTAATTTTCCTAGTATATCAATACTGAGTAAGACATCAAAATCAAATTTTTGATTAAAATCAATAAGTTCAAAAGCATGTTTAAATTTTATACCATTTGTATATTCAACTACTAAAAATTCAATTTTTCCAATACGAGGAACATTATTTTTATTATTTAGAAAATTATAAACACCATTTAATTTTATTACTTTATTTAATTTTAATACATTTTTGAAAGTCTTCATATTTAAAAAACTAACACAACTATCAGAGTCAATAACGGCCTTTTAACATTATGCTCTCTATTTTAATAGGAGTTAAAAGATTGAATGAGTTAGTTTTCTGTTTATAACCAGCCATTTTTAATTTTTCTTCATATATGAAGACTTACAATCATACTGGTTGTCTTCCATAATAATATCTTCGTTATTTATCAATGGTGTATCAACTATGTTTAATTCCTTTTCCATTGCAGCAATATCTTCTTTAATAGGGTCAGAAGCAGCAAGGACAGGCTTGCTTTCCTTTCTATTGCACTTATGATTGGGAGTATAAACTTCACCACAGACGAAACAATTATCGACATTTTTTGAAAATTTCTTAGCTTCATTCTTGTCAGAAGTAAATTCTTTGGCCTTTGAAGTCAGGAAGAAGCAAGTTTCAGTGTTATGAGTATGATTCTGTCCATGATGCTTACAATAATACAGCTTAGGTTTTTGAATTTTATTTTGCTTTTTATGTTTCATCATTTGCTTCTTATACTTTGCTTCATTATGTTTATAATGATTACTGTCAATGGTTTCATTGTAAGAGCCTGGAATTAAACTCATTACATATTTATATGCTGAATTGTCATCTGCAAGAACATCTCTTGCTAATTCAGTTAGGCTTTCTACAGTCCATTTTTGCATTTCTTCATCATTAGTGCTTCTTTTTGTACTCACAATTGCCATTCTGATTATTGCTTGAATTGGTACTATCAAGGAAGCCAGAAATCTATCTACAACACGTGGGTCATCCCTCGGGATGCCAGCACTATACATAGTCTGAAGAAATCTTTTTGAATATTCTACTATACTTTCTTTAGAATGCATTTTCATTGTAAACACTTGTTCAACAAATCTTCTAGTAGCAACAGTAGAACCATGATGTTTGCTGAATGCCTCTCTAGCATATGCCCAACTTGTACATTTTAACAAAGTATTTTCAATCCAATGGTCATCACCAGAGGGCAAACATAAAGGTAAATATTTTTTCCAAACTTTTTCAATATCACTAGTAGAAGATGCGATGACTTTTTCAAAGGTGCGTAAAAAATGTTCAACTGACTCAAAGGACTCTTCATTAGGGTAATGTTTGATTACCGCAGTGCTCAATTGAAATTTTGGCAGGTCCCTTCTATTCAAAGTCAAACTAATCTTATGTGGGCTGTTTGTTTTAATGTCCAAACGCTCGGAAGGATTAGAAAGCAAATTATGGTACTCTTCGATGCTCCTAAGAGTTCGTTTGGTTTGATCCATCTGTTTTGATTAGCAAAAAGACAAAGAAAGAAAAATGAACAAAAGACAAGTCTGTGAAAACTTTGTATAGTTTATTAAAGATAATACAAAAATTGTACAATGGAAAATTATATGAAAAAATCGAGGGCTATTTATATGTTTTTACAAGGTAAGTGTTATTAATGGAAATATGATTCAGATAAAGCAAGTTTTACTATAATAAAGCGTTTTACATAAAACATTGTCTCCGAATAATTCTGCGATCAATAGGATATATCTTTATTTCTTTTTTCTTCCTGAGTTGTCGCTGTTCCTAGAAACACAACGAATTATTATTATTGGACTGCGACATATCAATATTAATTCTCAGTGAATATGTCTAGTTGCGGCAATACCAATTATTTATGAATTACTATCATTATCATTGTATAAGATGTTATTAAATAACAATATTCAATATTATTAATGTATTATATATGATATGTATTATTCATGAAGAATTATATAATTGAATACACCAGCCATAATCCTGTTTGAATTATGTATATAATTATTATTAGTGCTCGAACATTCTAACAATGACGATTATTAAAACTGAGTGTAGAATGAATATTATGCTGTGAAGTTCAATACACTAGCTTTAAATGAACAACCTCTTTATTATGTAATAAATGAAGGTTTATTTCTGTTAACTTATTACAGAGACGACTACAATCATAACATCATCTTTTTTAAACAATCATCAATTACATTCTGATTGGATTTGATTCTTGCGTTGTTCAAGGACTTCAGCATTGTTTTGAGTGCAAAAGATAAGGAAAGAGAAATCAGAAAAGGCAAGTCTGTGAAAACTCGGTATAGTTTATTAGAAGAAAAATAATACAAAAAATTGTACCAAGAAAAAATAATATGGAAAAATGACAAGGGTTATTTATATGTTTTTTACAAGGTAAATGATATTAATAGAAGTGTGATTTAGATAAGTGAATACTGGTATAATAGAGTCTTTATGCGCAAATTTTGTCTCCGAATAATTCTGCATGCAGTATGCATATTTCTCCCTGAGCTGTCGCTGTTGTAAATTATTATGTCTGGGGTAAGCAACGCGTTCATATTAATTCACAGTGAATATTCCAGCTATAACAATACCAATTATTATATGCTACTATTATTAACGTCCTCTAAGATGTTATTACATAACAATATTTAACATTATAGATGTATATATATAGTATGTATGACTTGTATAAATAATTATGTAATTGAATATAACAGTCATAAACCTATTGAATTCTTATTATTACATAATACAATGTATATAATTATTTTTAATGCTCAAATACTCTAACAATGACTGCTATTAAAACTGAGTGTAGAATGAATATTATGCTGTAAAGTACAATATACTAGTTTTATTTGAATAACCTCTTTATTATGTAATAAATGATAGTTTATTTCTATTAACTTAGTTGTAAGGATGACTACAATCATAACATACTGTACAGCAATTTATAACTGATATAGAACTCCTGATTATTTCTGATACAATCGTCCATGTGTCTCACTCAAAACTCATAAAACTGTTAGATATATTACATAATATCTAGAAATAAAAAAAACCCCAACATATCACTAATACCTACAATTATTACTGTCACAAAAAGTACTAAGATGATTTTGGAATGAATTTAGTGGCATAGATGGATACTTTTATGCTTTTGATAAACTTTAGTCTTTCATACGTTTATTTCAGCTTCTTAGATCTATGTGATCCTAGAAGTAAAAATTCCTCTCTTAAATCAATAAAAGCAGCAGTAAATCATAATTGTATAGCATTGCCTTTTTTTTTCCTTCTTTAAGCTTTAAATAACGGTAAATGACTTAATTAATCTGAAGGAATTCAATCAAAAAATACGTGAACGTTAATTATTGACTGGTCGTTTCTTTTCGTCCTTTCCTTATTACCCTGATATATTCAAACCAAATATGTAAAGTAAACCTATTTATATTAATCATTCGCTTGAATTGATTGTAGCAATCATGTGGGAATAAAGTATTTGATTTGATACTCGACTCTTCTTGCCACTCATAGAATTGCAAATAGGTTGATAATAAGTAACAAGCATCTTTAAGTTATGACAGTCATTTAGTCTTGTATAAAGTTATACAAAATGCACGTTAAAAGCAGCATAAGCTAATTGCATTAAATGGAACTCCTGGATGCCATGTTGATTTAAAGCAAAAATAAAGGCATTATTGATGATAAAAGGAGCAATATAGATGGTGAAAGAAAACTACTGTCATCTTCTCGTTTACCTGAATAAGGTTTACCTCCATATTAATCTGAAAACTAGTTTTATTATTGCTGGTATTATTATCTCCCTTTTGAAACTATTGTATATATACATATATTGCTCTCTTTCCCCCCTTTTTTTTTTCTTTTTAATCTTTCATATAAATATTACTTGGATATTGAGAAACTTATACGTATATATACACCTTAGTTTAATGACAGAATGCATATATTATTTTTGCTGTCTCTTTTTCTCCTAAGTAAGGTAAAGAGGAGTCTTCTATGAGAGAATATAATGTCAATTTGCTCCTTTATTTCCTCCTTTTGAGGCCCTTTTATATATTAGGAAGCATCTCAAAGTTTTCCTTTCTTTATTTCTTTTTCTTTTTCTTTAATTTCTTATCTTCGATATTACGCAAACTAAAAAATAAATAAATGAAGCGGTCTGTTTGTTATCTAGCTTATCTTTTTATGATCTTTACTACCATCGTTCATACTTTTGAACTAAAGAACACTATTCTTCCTCCTCAAAGGCTTGTAAAACGTGCTTGCGATTTTTCTTGTCAATACCAAGCTCAATGTGATAACAAATGCTATTCGAAAAATTATGGTTCATTTTTATTAGGTGTTTGTCATGATGGGAAATGCTATTGTGGATTTGTTCCTGAAAATATTTAAATATTATAATCGTAATTTTAACTCAGTAGTATATATTTGTTATTCTTTCTTAATAATAAAGTGTGGCTTATATGTAATTAAGCAGTAAATAGTCCCTTTTTTTATTTTTATTTTTATTTATTTTTATTTATTTTTATTTTATTAAAAAACAATCTTATATTAATGTTTAAAATGGTCAAGGTAAGTAATTATCTTTATTGAATAATTTACAGTGAGGGCTTTGTTTGACATTTTTATATATATGTAGACTATTGGTACACACAGCGGACACTTTCATTGGTATAATTGAATAATAATAATAATAATAAAAGTTTTAATCTTAATATTCTTATTAGTGATGAAGCATTAGCAGTCTCTTTATTAAAGAAAACAAAGGAATTTAATGATGCCAATTTAGTTCGTACTCGTGATCCCAAAAAATTAGCTGAATGTGATGTTGTTGTAGATGTTGGAGGTGTTTATGATCCTGCTACTCATCGATACGATCATCATCAAGTAATATATATCTTTTATTTAAATGTATATAAATATTTGTATTGATTTTTTGTATTATATAGCGTGGATTTACAGAGACTTTCTCCGAAAATCATAAAACCAAGTTGAGTTCTGCAGGCCTAATTTATAAGCATTTTGGTAAAGAAGTTGTCATGAAGATTCTTGGTAAAACACAAGTTGATGAAGAAGTAGAATTGCTTTACCAAAAGACGTACAATGTAAGATTACGCTTTACTATGAAAAAAAAAGGGGGAAGGGGAAAGAGTCATGCTAACTAAATTTATTATTGCATAGGGCTTTGTTGAAGCTTTAGATGCCAATGATAATGGTATTAGCGCATACCCCAGCAGTATTAAACCACTTTACAAGGAAACACCTACTACACTTTACCATCGAGTTTCCAGAAAGAACCCTAAATGGAATGAACATCTTACAGATCCCGAAATAGATGCCCGCTTCGTTGAAGCCTCCGAAATGGCAGGTTCTGAACTTGTTGAATATGTACGTGGCCTGAAAGAAGCTTGGTTACCTGCTCGTTCTCTTGTTATCGATGCTCTTAACAAGGCTACTGAAGTTCATCCTTCTGGTCGTGTTATTGCCTTTGAATGCTCTTGTCCTTGGAAGGAACACTTACTTGATCTTGAGCAAGAGCGTGGCTTAAAGGACGAAAAATCTATTTTATACGTTCTTTATCCTGAATCGACATCTGAAGATAGTAATTGGCGAATTCAATGCGTCCCTCTTCGCCCTGAAGGATTTGAGAATCGAAAGAGTTTACCAGAAGCTTGGAGAGGTTTCCGTGATGATGAGTTATCTCGTTTGAGCGGTATTGAAGGATGTATCTTTGTTCACGCCGCTGGTTTTATTGGTGGAAATAAGACACGTCAAGGTGTCTATGATATGGCTAGACTAGCTTTAGAATTGTAAATAAGTTATTAATTAAAATTATAATTCAGAAAATTATTTTATTGCTTATTAAGGTATAAGTTGAGATTGTACTATTACTGCTACTATTACTATTACTACTACATAAAAGAGAATTTATACAAATTGGGAGGGAGGGGAGAAAGGATATATTATTGAATTATTAATAAATACAAATTATTATTTAAACTGGAATATTATGTGAGATGTATTGAAGTATGCGCTAAGCTACCCGAACCACGCCGTAGAGATAAGGGCCTTGTTGTAGAGGATATTATACTACAATAACTAATAGAATGCCGCCTTGATAATGAAACATCATCATTATCTTCTTCTTCTTCGAGGGGGCCTGCTGTCGTTGGTAAGGCATAGAGTGGAGGTGCGCTTGGTATTACACTCGGTGTATAAGCAGGCGGTGGTGGTAATTCAGTTGCATATTCATGGGGTTTTTCTTCTTCATGTACTGGCAGTGCTGATGATATAAATCTTTGAGATTTTCTTTTACACCTATTAGTTGATGGAGCAACATAATTTGTTGTTGTTGTTGTTGTTGTTGTTGTTGTTGCTGTTGCTGTTGCTGTTGCTGTTTCCAATTGATTGTTATTATTATTATTATTATTATCTTCTTCATTATCTTCATTGTCTTCTGTAACTGGATATGATTGTTGCTGTCCTTCAAACGGATTAGTGTCATACATCATGTCAAGTTCTTTTGCACTAGGCGCTGATGGTAAAGCAGTTGTTTGTGAAATCATTGATAATGTTCGATTTTGACGATAGCCTCCATAAGTAGGTCTGGGTAATGAAGGTGGTCTAATAGCTAAATCTTGGTCTACAAATGGATTCTGTTTCAATTCAACAATAGTAGCATCATCATCAGATGTATTCGAAAAATGTGAAGATGAACGATGTTGTGACGAAGTGACTGGTGGTGTCGGTGATGATGGTGATGATGGTGATGATGGTGCTTTATGGCGGCTAGCCATTTCTATATCCAACTTTCGCTTTCTTTTCCGCATTTGGGAACGAGCAAAGATAAAAGCACCTACAATAATGCTAAAACCAGCGATACTACCAACTATAGACAAGGCAGTGATGATTTTGTGGTAGACAGATTCACCTTGTAAAATTTGTTCAATTTGTGTTTCTGAAGGCGCTTGTTCACTTGAGGTTGATGTAGAACCTGAGGAGGCATTAGGGTCACTTACTTGGTGTCTAGTAGATGATGCATCTCCTTTTTGACTACCGGGATTATTACCAAAGCCTGTATAAATAGATGGTGTTTCAGTAGCGGTAACAATAATTGTGGTAACAATCGTATTTGTCGGTGCTGGGTCAAAACCATTATTATTATTGTTGTTGTTGCTATTGCCGTTATTATTATTATTGTTGTTGTTGTTGCCATAGTTGCCATTATTATTATTATTGTTGTTGTTATTATTGTCATTTTTATACTCGGATTTTGTCTCATGGTTACTGAAATGCTTATTTGAACCTAAAGCTTGTTTTTTCTTTTTATGTTCTTTCTTTCTGTGCCTTTCTTTCTGGTGAAATTTTTCATGTTTATATCTAAAGGCATCTTCATCATCATCATATTTATCTAATTTATGAATAACAAAGTTCTGTATCACCTTTGAAGTTGGCATAACTGACGTTGTAGATGAAGGTGTTACTGTTTTTGTCGAATAAGCTGGATAACATGATATATTATATAATAACAAAGCAATTAGAAACGCTATCACATTCAAATGTTTAATTATTGCTGTCATTTTTTTTAGTGACAATCTAATGGTATATTTGGTATTTTTTAAAAAAAAAAAAAAAAAAAAAAAAAAAAAAAAAAAATGAATGAATGAATAATAACAAGAGGTTAAAAAAAAAAAAAAAATACACATATTTCTTTCTTTTTTTCGCCAAAAAAGTTTTTCTTTCACGCACTGACATCCAATAATTTTCATGTTTCATCGGAGAAATATGAACAAAAATTAAATTTTTGATGATATTATTGTCAAAATAAAATTCAGCAGTGGCCTGCGACATATAACAATCTAATTATTCTTAAAAGAATTCTCCTTAATATCTTCATTTATTATGGTGATAAAAGATAATAAAGAATTCATTACTTTATGATACAAAATGGTTTGTAATAAAAAAAAAAGTAAATCTAGCAATTCTAGTTTACTAATAGAATAAAATAAGATATAAATGCATATCTATTTACTATGACATTTTACATACATAATCTATTTGCTAAAATATAAAATACATCCATTACAGTCATCTTTGTATTCCCTGACATTCTGTCTTTGAAATATAATTATTTACCTATAAAACAGACCTATTTTTGTAATGATCCAGAAAATAGGCAAAAAAAAAAAAAAAAAAAAAAAAAAAAAAAAAAGTATGCATTTGCTTTTTATAACCGGGGGAAAAGAAGATGAAATCTTGTATGTTTAATTTTTACTATTAATTAAATACAAGTATAAATGATATATGACATGAATTAGTTGACTTATTTTGAGGGTTATTCTTTCATCTTAAGCTTGTTTACTTGAGAGTAAAATAATCACGCTATGTAACAAATACGTTCCAAATCCTGTTGCTACAAATTTTGTTAAAGTTTTTGTTTTTGGACTGAACAACTGTTTCAGTTGGGAATGAATTACTAGTGTATTCTTTTATAATAAAAAAAAGGAGGAATATTATAACTTGATAAATATGATAATAATAATGACACTAAATCAATATTAGAATACATTTAATACTTGATAATATTCCAAAAAAAAAAAAAAAAAAAAAAAAAAAACGCTTTAACTAGGATATATAAGTCGTTCATTTTTTATTAGTTGAATCTTCTAGGACAATATTATTAATCATTAACTAGCTAGAGTACGTAGCATCTTAAACATATTGTATTGTTCTAAACAGTTTCAACATGTATGTATAAGGTATAAAGCTCTCTTAAAATTAAAGAAAAAAAAAACACACACACACAATATGAAGAAAGACAAATTTGCAATTAATATAAAAAACACCAACGTTAAGTCGATAGTCAAGCAACCCATGAAGAACTCTAATATAGTAAAATTGTGTAGTTAGTGCGTAGATCGAAGAGACAGCTTAAGTGGCCCTAAGATTCTTATACTAAGTAATTAGTCAAGACATCAATAGAAGATACAACTAAGTTTAAGGCAGATTATCAGTAAAGAGCACTTTGTAATACTTAAATTATAACATAATATGATATTTTTTAAAAAAAAATTGTTGAGTTTATAATATAGTAAGAATAGCCATTATTCTCGCTATTATTACATGTTATCTAATGGTGTATGTAATTCATACTTGAACTTTAATATATCACTCCTCTTTTAACTTATTGTAATAGTGATATAGATGAGTAATAGTTTAAGTAAGAAAGATACATTTGTATATATTTATATATTTGTATATATATATATATATATATATATATATATATTTATACATGTATGTATACATATTCTATAGAGCTTGTATGAACGCAATCATTATGCTATTTATTACATGTTTATATTACACTTTAGGGATACTGATAAGCAGTATTATTAGCTCATTTTAACAGCATATCTACTTTATATATTAACACTATCTAGGCGACTATTTTTGATATCATCTTCAGTTATGAATAAAAGTTATATACTTCTTATATAACTTAAAGTATACATATACATGCATCACTCCTTTATTATCACACCCAAAAAGTGAAAAATAAATAAGTTTAAATTATATCTAACGTTTCTACTAGTGCATATAATGGTCTCCCTTCTAAGATATTTTGTCTTTGACCAAGCAAGCCATCATATCAAGCAATTGCTTTGAAGGAATGGAATAAATGAATATGTGTATATTTTAGTTCATAGAAAGGAGTTTAAATATCGAAATTATTATTATTCATGTTATTATAGATGTCATTTTGCTTATTTTATAATTATAATTATAATTAACAATGAATGAAGACACAGCTAATTCAAAACAGGGTTAGTACAGTGTGTACAATACTTACTTACAAGCATACATAGCAAATTCCTTTCTTACGTATAACTTTTCGCTTTCTTTTTTTTCCTTAAAAAAAAAAAAAGATAATAACAATAATGAACAGTGGATTATGGAGAATTGTCCAGCTGATGTAGTGACATTAGGAAGAGCTGCTTGGGTATTATTACACACCGCTGCAGCTTATTATCCTGATCGACCTGCACCTTCTCAAATGGAATCAATGCGATCGTTTTTAAATTCATTTATTGACAATTATCCATGTTTTAGTGTATGTGCATAAAATATATATGTATATATTTTTTTTTGTCTAATTATTCAAATATTAGAAAGAGTTTAAAGAATATATAAAAGAAGACCCTATTAAAGTAGGAAATAGAAAAAAGTTAAGTGAATGGCTATGCCTACAGCACAATAAAGTGAATCAAAAATTGGGTAAACCTTTATTTGACTGTTCTCTTGTATTTGAACGTTGGTTAGAACAAGGGTCTCCATCAAAACGATAAATTAATTATGTGACATTATTTATTATATTTTTTTATGTATTTGTATATTTGTAGTAGTAGTAGTAGTAATAAAATTATTGTACAATAAAATGCAAACTATGTATATGAGGGTATTATGCGGCATCAGCCCATTCAAAATAGTCACAACCATGATCTCGTCCTAAAGAACAACTATAAAAGACACGTCCTTTGTTAGGAGAGTCTTTTGTAACGGTACGTTCAACACCAGGAATTCCACAATGGCATCGAGGAAGAACGATACTATTTGTCTGTATTGAATTGCTATTGCTACTATTATTATTACTATTATTTCTGGATAGTGTTCCTGATAATGATGATGAATGTTCATCTACCCATTCAAATGCATTACACTGATCTAAATTATCACTACAGACATAGAAGTTTCTTCCTTTATTAGGTCCTTCTTTTTGAACTGTTCTTAATACCATTGGTTTATCATGATGAGCACATTTGGGTAGGGGTATATTATTATGCGGTGTAGATCTATTATTATTACTAGTTGAAGACGATGATCCTCTTCCTCTACCCCTAGTTCTTGTTGAAGCATTGTTTCCTCTCGTAGAATAACTACTTCCTCGACCTCGACCTCTACCTCTTCTATTAGTAGTGCCTGATCCACCTTCTCCTCCTTCATTATGATCATCGTCATTATTATTACTGCCTCCATAGCTTCCACCACTTCTTCCTCTTCTAGATATATGATCTCCATCCTCTCCTTCTCTAAAATATCTATCCATTGATTGTCGAATCTTGGAAAAATCTGCTTTTAATTGATCAAACATATCTCGATACTGATTGATGCTTCTTGCAAGCACTTGACTTGGTGTTTTACTTCCTTCACAAATTAACTTTAAATCTGCTTCCATCTATCCAAATGCAATTTAGCTTACTATATATATTATATTCACTCTCTCTCTCTCTCTTTTTTTTTTATTTATTTACCTGTCGTCTAAGAAATGGTTTACTAAGACTCGCCTCTAAACCAATTTGATCATATCCCAAAATTAAAGCAATTCCTAATGTCAACGGTTTAAAATATTGATTTTCTTTATAGACATATTCTCGATCCAAAATCTTTTGAATGTGTTCAGCAATGGTTGCATCTGTTCCTATTTCATTTTTTTCCATCATACTGATTAAATCTGGTTCAGTAAGGAGACGAGGTGGTGTGGTCTGGCCTCGTTGCATCTCAAGCTGATCAGGGATAAATTCGTCACCTTCATGAAACTCAGGTATTTCGTTACCTTTCCATTTATCATAAGTATAGACTTCAAGAAAGTTTTTTTCAAGGATCACAAGCCCTTTAGTATCAAAATATTCAGTATCTATCTTCACCTCAACGGCTGTTTCAAAGCCAATTGCATTTTTCCAACAACTTGCTAAAAAGCGTCGTGTGATAAATTCATAAACACGCTTAGGATCACCACTTAAGCGGGCATCATAACCTGTAGGATGAATAGGAGGATGCGCTTTATCGTTATTTTTACCATTACGAGGTTTCTCAAACTCACCGTCACGAAGTCTAAAAAAAAAAAAAAAAAAAAAAAAAAAAAAAAAAAAAAAAACAAGCATTTTAGTTAATCAAATATGTATATGCATATATATTACTTACAATCTTGCATATTGACCCCATTGTGAGTCTTGAGTCTGCATATTAATATATTTCATAAAATCAAAACTTGAATCATATTGATCTGTTTCTGTACGAGGATAACTAATTAAACCTGACGTATAAAGCCCTTCTGCAATCGTCATGAGATGACTACCTGACATATTCAACACGCGACACCCAATTTTTTGCATCTCAACCGTTGTTAACGGCAATGGTTTCCATTTTGATGTCTGTTTTGATTTTACTTTAGTAACCGTTGCTATTTTTTTTTCAAAGCATTTTTCATATAAAGTAAAACACGCCCAACGATCAAAAAGGTGATCTCGTCTCCAATTAAATGTTGTCTTTAGTGACGCTTGTCCCTTTTGTTGTTGTTGTTGTTGTTGCTCACCCTGATTTGGCTGTGCATAAGTCATCACGATTTTCCAGAATTCCTCAGGTATAAAATTTTGAACTTGCAAATAACGATCGACAACAAAGCCTAGTGTAGGAAATTGACAGCTTCCATAACTAAGTACTTTATTCTTTGCAGATGATGAGAAATACGGACGTAAGTTAATGGTTTGTAAACGAGTAAATGCTGCACCAATACGAAGATCAAGTTCGGATCGTGCTCTAACTGCTTCTACTTGTTTCATGTCAAGTTGAGTAGGATGTTGTGCAGCATAATGAATTTCATTCGGTTGCATTGCTGAAAATCGTGCACGCCATACTGTTAAATTGGGTTTTGTTCGCAGACAAAGATCAGCAATATCGGCACCAATAGCCTCTCCTTCACGATCGCAGTCAGTCCATATAAAGAGCGTGTCTGAATATTTAATTTCTTGAGTAATGTTATCGGCTAAAGGCTTAAAATGAGTAGGAACAATTTTGGTAAGGGGAGTTCTAAAGAGATCTTCAAGAGGATAATCGCTCCAATTTTTATTAATACCGCCTTCAAAGTGCAATTCACGAAGATGACCTTTGACAGCTGTCATAACAAAAGCGGTAGATCGATTATTTTGATTATAGGTAAAGTTATAATTTTTAACATGTGGATCATTTGTAGATCTCTGAATTGACAAAAAAAAAAAAACTGTAATTAGGAGAAAAATGAAAAAATATGTTTAGGTTTAGTCAATAGCTTACAATAGAGTATTTTGATTGTGATAAGATTTCTGCAATCTTTTTTGCTGCGCTCGGCTTTTCGGCCACACATAAGACACGCATTTTTTAAAAATAAAAACGAAAAAAAAAAAATGAAAAAAAAAAAATAAATAAATAAAAAGAACGAAACCCTAAATGGATTTCATAGCCTATTAGAAATTTCAAGACCAATAAGAAATGGATAGTAAGCAGTGACAGTAAAATAAACAAGCATAAACATTTAATTTTTGAGAAATACATCTGCGGAGTTTTAAAGACTATTTACTCCTGTGCAATAGTCTAGTCAGGCTATTGTTACTTAACTTTATTTTTTTTTTTTTTTTTGTCTTGATGATATGTTTATTGTCGCTTTAGTAGAGACTCATTGTTGGCTCGGACTAATTAAAGTTATTAGCGAAAAAATTGTGCCTAATCAACGTTCAATCCACCGAGCCCATATTTGCCGCTTTTCTTTTTGTAACTAAAATACATTTGTTTATATAACACAAAAACGAGTATTTTTTTTATGAAGATGGTTTTAAAAACCTTTACGATGAGCATAGCGAAAAGGTTTACTATCCCATAGAAGATGTTTCAACAGAAATTAGTTATCCTAACGTCATTCTTGGAAAAAAAACAATTAAGCAAAGTTATCCGAGTGCTAAGAGCCCAAAAAAAAAAAATAGACTACTATAAGAGCAATATAGAAATGCTCCTAATAAATCAAAATCATTACTAACACCACAATATCGACCGCTTATATCATTAGATTCTATCCTTTAGCTTTTTACGTTCTTCATTGAATGTAATTGATGCATTCATTGACGCTTTGGATGGCTATCTGGTGGTCATTCAACTTACTGCCTAAAGTACTTTACACTATTTTTTTTTTTTTGACAAAGCCATATTCCATTTACTATCTTCAAATATACTTTCGACTTTAAATGCCTGAAACTATTGAAGATTATCTCTCATTTCACGAACTTGGCTTCTGCCTTCCCAATAATAGTGTGATAACTACACTGTATTCCTTTTTAACTTTTTTTCTTTTTTTTTTACCCTTGTTTCTAAAGAGGGCTTTTTAAAAAAAAAATACTTTTTGTCATTGATGATCTCACTCGAGCAACTCGAGCAATTTGATATTATAAGTTAATATCCTGGGTCCAATTCCAGGTTTTCAGAAAAAAGTGTTTAGTCGTAGTAGCACCAACTGCTGTTATTCCAAAAAAAAAAAAAATCAGTATTGACATCCTTTGAGGTTTAAGGTTCAGATAATGTTTTCTATTATTAATTTTCTTTACCGTCTGTAACTTTATTTTATGATCTTATTTTAGTAGCCTAAAATAATACTTTTTTTTTTTTTGCATCCAAACTCCTTTTCAAAAAAAAAAAAAAAAAAAAAAAAAAAAAAAAAAAAAAAAAACTAAAATTAGTTTTCCTTTTTATTTTATTTTATTTATATACTTTTTCTCATTAAGCATTCAGAATGAATTCCACTAATGATGATATTCCGTTAAATCGTAAAGATAGTGTTGAAGAACCATTTTTACCTCCACCAGCTCATCAATCAAAGCCTACTGAAAAGCAGCATTCAGTTGCCCTGATTGCAGCTGTGGTTAGTTTCTATTTCATTATTTCACTTTCAGTTGTCTTTTTGAATAAGATCATCATGAGTGGATCTTCTGAATTTCCTTATGCTTTATTTGTTACTTGGTACCAACTTGTTGTTGCCCTGGGTCTTTTATTAATTTGGTCACAGTTGGGAAAGAGGTAAGTTTGAAGATAATGATGAGGGCATAGTATTTAAGATTTTATTCTAGTTATAAACTATTTAGTATTATACCACCTTATGAATTTAATATGATGGTAGCCAAGAGAGTTGCACCCTTAACTTTTGTTTATGTTGGTATGTTGGTATTGAATAATTTATGTTTAAAATATGTTGAAGTTACGTTTTACCAGGTAATTAAAAAAATAAAAAATAAAAGTATATGGATGATTTTTTTTTCTTTTTGGCTAATCCTATAGACTTTAGGTTGCCCGTTCTTTATCTATCAATTTTACGATTCTTTTCACTTATGTCATCCTTGGAAAAAAAACATCAGGACCAGCTCTGGTAGCTTGTTTTATTGTATTTTTAGGATTTGTGATTGGATCTTATGGTGAAATTAATTTCTCATGGGCTGGTGTGATTTATGGTGTAGGCTCGTCAGCCTTTGTTGCACTTTATGGTATCTATGTGCAAAAGACATTAGGAGCAGTTGATAATAATCAATGGTAAGTAATTGTAAACAAATAGGGGTAAATAAGAGAATTATTCATATGAGTCTTTAATAATAGGAAATTACTTCATTATAATACTACATTAGCTATCATCTTTCTCTCTCCACTTCTTTTATTTTCTGGAGAAATTACTGAAATTGTATCCACTTCAGATATTATTTATACTACGAATTTTTGGATTTTAATGGTAAATTTGAAAATAGTAATAATAATAATAATAATAATAATATCGTAATCTACATTTTGTTTATAGACTATTACTGGTATTACTGGATTCGGTATTAATATTGCTATGTTCTTACAAGTCAAATATACCTCTGCTCTGACAAATACAATTAGCGGTACAGCCAAGGTAATAAATAAATAAATAAAAAATGAAATCGGGTTTTATACATGTGTATAATATGTTTTTAATATGTTTTTTTATTATTATTAGGCTTGTGTTCAAACTGTATTAGCTGCAATGATCTTTCAAAATCCTATTTCTGGCCTGGTAAATACATATTTATTTATTTATTTGGTATACCATTTACTGACTAACATATACAAAACTTAGAATGCACTCGGTATTGCATTGGCTTTATTTGGCTCAGGTTATTATGGATGGGTTCGTTATCAAGAAAGAATTTCTAAATAGACTATAAATAAATAATTGATTCCCTTTTTTATGTGTAACAATCATAAGCTAGTTGTTCATCAAATATAATAACTATCTTAGTGTCAACTTCTTTTTTTTTTTAGACAGCTTAAGATTATAGGGATATATATTTTTTAAAAATTTTAAGACAAGACAAATTTAAAACAGTAGGCTATAAAGATATTATGGAGTAAAAGAATTGTTCCTAAAAAGAGAAAAGTGAGAGATGGTTGTTAAGGGGATAAATAGAAACCAAATGGAGAATATGCTTTTTTTTTTTATTGGTAAAGCACTTTAATATTGATCTCGCTTGTTATATTTGAAGTATCAATAAAGAAGCCGAATACACCCTTTTATCGGTATATATGACTATACTATATGTATTATGAACGTTAGATATAAACATCAGATTTTATTTTATTTTATTTTTATTATTATTATTCATACAAGTAATCATTCAGGAACCTACTCATATCTTTCATTATCAAATAGAAAAAAAAAACGAGCTACTCTTACATAATGTTCATATTTTCAAGCATACATGAAGACAAGCACATTAAAGTGTTATTATTAGAATTAAAATAATAGCTGATAAACATCATTTTCAAACTTAATATTTGTCTGATACTTCTGTATGATTATAGTAAAAAGTTATTTCATAATATACAGTAAAATAAAGATTTCTATTATTAAGCTTTTTTTTTTTTTTTTTTTTTTTTTTTTTACTTACCTAATTATGATGAATTATTCTATATTTATTTTGTCTCAAAGAATGATTGTTATTTGTTTTAACACCGAATACATATATATTATTTCCTATTATGATAGATGACACTCAAAGTTAATAATTATCACATTAATATTAGTTAATAATATTCTCATAGGAAAAAGTAATTCTAACATATTACATTATTCGGGAATCTATATGTTTATGTATATTTCATTGATATTGGTATCGATAAATATAGGTGGTCACTTTCTTCTTTAAATAAGCATCGCTGATATTGTGTACCCAGCATATGCTCTTGGATCAAGAAGGTATAAGAAGATGAATAACTATTGGCATAGTATGTTTAACTGGATCAAGCTATATTTTTTTTTTAATATTTTTAATAAAGAAAGGAGAGAGAGAGAGAATCACTTTCATAATAACTCAGTAAAGGGTAATAATATTTGATATTCTATAAATACTCTTTAATAGTTGGAAGTAATTATTATTTGACTTTTTTGTTAAAATAGCTCATTAATCAATTATGATCTCCTTATTTACTATTATTAACGTGTCTTTATTCTTATTGCTAGGGATTATTTTGATGGGCAAAAAGACAAATGTATGTAAAATCTATATAGTTTAATATAGAAACGTGTAAAGGATTATTTATATATTGTTTGCTTTTTACAAGATAAATAATGCTATTAATAGAAATATGAGTTTAACAAGCAAATATTGGCGCGATAAAGAATCACGTAAAATAGTTTTTCTACATTTATACAATGATATATTGTGTCTTTCAATCTTACAGTCGAAGAAACTAGGTTGGGCCAATGAGAAAAAATTTGGTCGTTTCAAAATTGAATTGGGACACCAATACGTCCGTTGACGAAGACGAGGATGAAAATGTGGTAACAAGCTCCAAGAGCCGCGCTTTATTTTCCTTTTATAGATAAAAAATAATAATAAAAATAAAAGATATACTAGAATCCCCTTTTTCCCTTTATACCTTCAAAAGTCGGAAGGAAACTCAATTAGTTTTGATATAAGGGAGGGGAACATGAATGAGATTGTTGATAAGACAAAGATAACAAAAGAATAAGACAGAATAAATCTGTGAAAACTTTGTATAAAACTTTTATTATCAATAGAATTTAAAAAAATAAAGCTTAAAACTAAAAAAACTGAACTTCTCCAAGATGAGTACAAAATGGATCCTTATTTATATCTTGTGGAGAACGGGTTACTTCGCGACAGGAACAGAGTGCAGATATCTTGAAAGAAGAACATTTTCCCATAGAACAATTAAAATTATTGTGTTAGAGCTCTAGTCTTTGCCCTGACTGAGAATTAATCTCAGTTAACTCTAATAAATATTAAATTATTGGTGCTTGATCTAGCCGGTTATTTTTCTTGAAACAAAATAATAAAATCTCGTTTGTTCATACTTGTGAATGATATAGGAAAGACACTTTTGATATATAGATTTATATTCTAACCAGCTTCTTTATATTATATTCATTCCTCAATGTACTACTTAAATGAATTTCATTATATTATATAGTGTATCAAATTAGAATAAAGTTAACATAGATAGTATATGATTATATTTATAAATTAGTATTTTAGACAATATTATAACAATAATATATATATAACTAATAGGTATAATCTACAATTCATATATCTTTATCATTAATAGCTCCTTACACTATGTTTTCCTTATCATTATTTCGTAGAGTTAGTATTTATTATAACATTATTTTTCTCATCACAAGAATGTCTTACAAACTGAAATCAAATAATATTGTATGCATAAAGTGTATAACTAATAACTATAATATCATTCGGTTCTTCATGACTCTGATTTGTACATTATAAGATATTATGTAATACATCATTATATACACAACAGAAATAAATATAGAATTAAAAGTAAAACATAAAAAGATAGTTGGAATCAATTTTTCCAAGTTTCTTGTAGCCAAGAAAACCATGTGGTACTTGTTCCTTTGATAGAAACAATTGAGTTTGCTATTCTGGTGCTGTCGTTAAGTTGCGTGCTTGGCTTGAGGTAATATCGTTCAAATGTATTGGAATTGTGACTCCAATTAGCATGTTGCTTGACCTCCGAAATCGTTATTCCATTTTCAACTGCTTTGGTGCTTGAAGCTGACCTGATAGAGTGTGGTTTGTAAGAACTAGTGTCAATACCCGCTTTTTCCATTGCTTTTGAAACCCATGTAGCTACAGTAGAAGGACTAGTGGATTTCACCTTGTCTGGTTCGAGAATGAATGCCAAAAACAAACTATGGTCTATAGGAAGGTTATTTCGAAGATGGCTCGACCTTTGTAAAAAGTCGAAAAGTGTGGAAACAAGGCACATGTCATTGTCATCTGCCAATCCTAGTATAACAGATTTCACTTGGGTCTCTTTCGCTTCTCTGAAATGTATAAGAACTGACACTGGTTCTTCGTTTCTAAGCTCCATTTGTACATCTCTAAACTGCACTCTGCCAACATCTGATCTTGGTCTTGCCATAGTCGTCAAGCATAACAATAAAATTGTTTTTTGTTGTAATTCATATAAGTCGATAGATTGATTTTTTGGCCATTCTTTTTCGATATAGTCCACCAGTATATTTGTGTCCCATGTTTGGAGATTTTGCTTGATAGGAATGTTGACTTCTGATCTTCGCTTTGCTTTAAAGAATTCAACTATGGGTTCTTTTGCAGCTAACGGTCCCTTTTCTGGATGCAACACTTTAAAGACAGATGCTAAAGCTGATCTCAAACTATTTAGGTATTGGTATGAAAAGTGTCGATTTTCTAACAAAAAACGTAATACATTGGCTTCGTCGTATGTGGTAGGTTGTATTGGTACTGGTTGTGCTGCGCACCATTGTGGCCATTTCTTCCACCCAGTATTATAGTTCTTTTGTGTTTTACGTCTCTGGGCATGTGTCAAAAATTCCACTGTGACCTCTTCCAAGTGACCAGCGGCTTTCCTCTTGTTGCAGATAAGTGCCATGCGGTCATCTTCCATCTTCTTATCTTGAACATCAGAGGTTTGTTGATGTGTTTCATCTGCAATAAGGACGGGAACCAGAACTGGATTGGCCAATACGGTGTGATTAATACTGCCTTCTGGATTCGTTGCTGTTTTATTATCTGCATCACTTGCGGTATAAACTTCCATGGAGGAAATAGATACATTCCCTGTTTTTTCCACGTTTGTTGAAAAGCATCTGTTGCTGCTGCCTCCGGATCTAGTCGCATGCTCCAAAAATTGGTAGTTTGGTGTTCATCCTGTCTGCAAATGCATCTACTGTTAAAGGACCCCATCTCTAGTTGATCATTCGAAATAGTCGTTTCGGTAACAGGGCCTCGTAGAGTAAGTTTTTTGTTGCGGTGTGATGCTGTCTGCTCAGCCAATCTTCTCGAATATTATCCAGTCCTGGTATGTGTTCGTATTCGACTTTGAGATTGTAGTGGTTGCATAGATCTTGTATCTTCACTGCTAGGTCCTGTAGTGTTCGAGATGCTGTGCCTCCCGACTTGCTGCTGTATTTCAAAACAGTCATGTTGTCTGTAAATGCTTTGATGTGTTGATTCTTGAAGTCTTTGGCATGTAGTTTTAGAGCAAAATATATAGCTGTCAGCTCCCTTGCATTGATTGACATAGTGCTCTCTGTGATGGAACATAAATAGAAAATAAAAGAGAGAATAAAAGAAGAGAGAAAGGGAACAAAAGGAAGTATAGTTTGAGACTGTTTTTATTCAATTAAAAATAAAAAAAAAAGAATTGAAAGTTAAAAAAAAAGTTAAAGATTATTTTATGTCTACACAACTGCTTGTATTTATACTAATGAATCCTGAATCAAAGAAATAAAAATAACAATCAAAGAACATGAGTCATGAAACAGTGTTAGTATTCGGATATACATCTTGTTGATTCAAGAGACTGATCTATGGATTATCTATTGAGTGTTAGAATGATCTGATTAAGTTTTAAATAAAAAATTTATTGTTTGATCTGAGTAAATGTTCCTGATATCTTTTATGTTTTATTTTATTGGATCAAAGACGACCTGAATCCTTTGTCAGGGTTATAAAAATAAATATGTAGAAATGATGCGATGTCTTATAATTGATACATCTAAACAATTGGATATCAATAAGTTTTATATTATTTACAAGATGTTATGTTTTGATAGCAAAAAGTTAAAGAAAGAGGAAAAGACAAAAGACAAGTCTGTGAAAACTTCGTGTAGTTTTTTTATTGAGAAAAATAATACAAAAATTGTACAAGGAAAAATTATGTGAAAAAGTAAAGGGTTATTTATATGTTTTTGCAAGGTAAGTGATATTAATAGAACTATGATTTGGATAAGCAAATATTGCTATAATAAAGCATTAGTCATAAATATTTTCTCCGAATAATTCTGCCTACAATAAGATCTATTTTTATTCTTTTCTGCCTGAGCTGTCGCAGTTACTAAAAATATTAAATTATTATTTCTGGGGTAAGCGACGCGTCAATATTAATTCACAGTGAATATGTCAGCTATAACAATACCAATTATTTATATGCTACTATTATTATTATCCTATAAGATACTATTACATAACAATATTTATCGTTATAGCTATCTATATATAATATGTATGACTTATAAATAATTATGTAATTGAATATAACAGTCATAATCCTATTGAATTATTATTATTACATAATATAATGTATGTAATTATTTTTAATGCTCGAATACTCAAACAATGACTATTATCAAAACTGAGAGTAGAATGAATATTGTGCTGTGAAGCGCGATATATTAGTTTAATTTGAATAACCTCTTTATTACGTAATAAATGATGGTTTATTTCTATTAACTTAATTATAAAGGCTACTACAATCACAACACTATCTATATATAATATGTATGACTTATAAATAATTATGTAATTGAATATAACAGTCATAATCCTATTGAATTATTATTATTACATAATATAATGTATATAATTATTTTTAATGCTCGAATACTCTAACAATGACTATTATCAAAACTGAGAGTAGAATGAATATTATGCTGTGAAGCGCGATATATTAGTTTAATTTGAATAACCTCTTTATTATGTAATAAATGATGGTTTATTTCTATTAACTTGATTATAAAGGCTACTACAATCATAACAATTACGTCATATAATTCAAGCAATGTGATTGGCCAAACGGGTAAAAGGCAAATTTTTTGCGTATGGATTAACACCGTCTTACATGTTTCAGAAACCAACAAGAGCGCGGTTGGTTAAGTGGTATAATCTTCGCCTGCCACGCGAAGGGCCGGGGTTCGATTCCCCGACCGCGCATCTTTTTTATTTTTTAATTTATTTTCATTTTCTCTATTACTCAAATCAAAATATAAAAGTTTCCATACTTGTATATTTAATAAAAGACTTTTTTTTCTTCACTTAATTCAAATCTGATATATACATATATTTATGACTCACCTGTTCAAGTTATCGAGCTAACTTATGACTCTTGTCTTGCATTTTATGACGAAACAATTATAGTTTCAATTAATAATAAGTGTTAGTAATTATATGGATTATATTTTACTCGGTATTAATTTTTTTTAAAAAAAAAAAATAATAAAAATAAAAGAAATGATAGTATCATCACTTCTGCTAAGGAAATAGAATAAGTAAATATAATAATTGATATACTATCAGAACAATCTTTGAAATTTATAACCACTAAAGCTATATACTACCTGAATAAGTTAGAAATTTTCAAATAAAAACATAATATTTTAATTTTTTATATAAAGGAATATATTATCATAAATAGTGCTTCTATTTAATAGATGAAAGAGGCTAATTTTGGTTTGAACTTAAGGCCAGTGTAAGAGAAGATTGTTTATCTGTAAAAAATTCTTTGAGTAATAGGACCATTGAGACGACAAAAGTAGTTACTTGATTATATTATGAAAGCTTGATAAGTTATTTGGCATTGTCCTCCAAAATATGCTCAGAAGATAAATTAAGATCTTTAATAACAAAGATATAAATTCATTTTAGAACTGTATTTTATAACGATATTGAGGTAAAGAATATAAACCAATTCTAATAATGGTGTACATTATAATTTCTTTTTTCCTTTTAACGACATTGTTTAAACTACTTGGGCAATCAATTGTTATTATGATGACAAAAACCGTTTTTTTTATTTAGATTTTTTTTTAAAAAAAGTGGTATAAGGAAAAAAATGATTTTCAAAGGAATTGAATGCGTGATATTGTGTGAATAGAAAGGAAAAGGAGAAATATTTTATTGTATTATACTATGACAATATCATTTTTTTAAGACAAATGATATATTTATAAAAGCCAAGCTTTATACATGCTTATCAGTAGCTTCACCAATGATAGGAATGTTGTTGATAACGTCTACAATTTGGAGATCAGGAATATCCAAAACGTGAGCACCATTCTTCTTGATTGTAACATCAGTGGTTTCATCGTGATGCTTATTATGAGGAGCAGCGGTAACAAAGGCAACCATAGCGAGAAGAGCAGAGACAAAGATGATTGAGCGAGTCATTTTTATTATTTGGATTTATTTTAATACGTTATATTGAACGATGAAAATAAAAAAAAACTGAATTTGTCGACAATTTGTTCCTATATTTATACTTAAATCCAAAAGTTAAAATTAATGCTTACGTTAAAAATAAGAAGAGAGAATTCAAGTTAAATTAGAAGTGTTTTTATTATTAATAGTCTGAATAGATATTTTTTAAAATTTATATGCAAGAAAGGGATTAATAAAGGCATATACGGTCAATACAGATCTTACATGTGATGGGAGGTTTTTTTTTTTTTTTTTTTTTTTTTTTTTTTTTTTTCATATGACACAGACTATGATTTTCTCTTTGTTTAATTTCTCCTTGTAATTTACTTCACTCATAATTAAAATTTACATTATTACTCCCTTTTATAAAAAACAATTAATAGTTTTTTTTTTTAATTAATAAGTTATTAACGGAAATACAGAAGATTCTATGTAGCATCATAAGAATATTATCTTAAAGGCTCATTTTCGAAATATGAATAGTATTCCTTTTATGCATCAAAGGATACATAGTTAGTTGATTTGATAATTTATTGAGCATTAAGCATCGTTAAATTAACATATGTCGTTTAATATGCATTGGAGATCAAACAGCTCTATATTAGTTTTTAAACTGGAACTTTAGAACTAAACTAGTTTATTCTAAAAATTATCTAAGATCAAAATTTACTATTATCATGATACTTATTTGAGAAATCCATGGTTTGATTCATTAAAGGAACAAATATATATACAGGTAATGGTTATAATTAGTTAAATTATTAATAAATCTGATATGTAATAAATTTATATAGAAACTTAGGAGTTATACTATATGGCTGTTTAATATGCAATTGCTGTAGTATCGATTGGTTATAAATAAAACCACTGCAATATTCTAAATTTTATATATGTGGCCCAATAAGTATATTTTCACATATATCAGATTATTAAAATCTGAATAAATTCAAAAAAGGATTTATTATAGTATTATTTTTTTTTTACAAAAAAATTAATAATTCATCCTCTAGCCTTACAGAAAAATAAGGCATTATTCTTCTCCTTAAACTAAATAATATAATATTATTGGCTAGTTGTTTAGTATTATTTGTGTATATTGCTCTTTTATTACATTTATACAAAGAAGATTATTCTCTAACTTATTAATATGAATATATATATATGTGTGTGTATAAATAAAGCATATAATATATAATTGAATATATATTTAAACATAACAATAGAATAAAAGAGCGTAGAAACATAATATGTAGAATGAAGTATAGATGAATCAATCAATAGTTAAAAGAAAGATACTGTTTCTAAAATATAGATTGAACACAGTACTTTTCTCAATTCAACTATCGAAATATTACGAATATCGTTTAATGCCTTGATAGTTTGAAATCCTTGCTCAATATTATAAGCAGTGTCATTCTTTTAGCCTTTCTAAAATAATAAATGTGCTACAACTAAAGATTCCTGAATGACAACGTTTCATCATAATTCCAGGCGTTGATATTGGCTTGCTGAGAACAACATCGAAGCTAGATTTAATAGCAAGCTGTTTAATTAATAGTTCATCTACAATAGTTCTAGGAAGAAATAGAGGACCACTACTATATTACTAATTTGCCCCCCATAGTAGCTTATCTTTATCAAAGTCTTATTTTTCATTTTATTTCACTTGTGAGTATTTCTACACTCTTTCTCCAAAAGACCATTAGATTTCTCTCATTTGAATCAAAATCAGGTTAACAAACATAACAAATATGTTACCTTTTTCAAGGCTTAATTCAGGAATGAAAAATTTAAAGAAATGTTTAGAGGCAGCTACAAAAAAGTACTTTACGAAGCTGTAATTGGCCTTCTTTATATGCTAAAATAATTTAGATACATTTGGCGATCTCTACTGCTTTATTGCTTACATATACAATGTACCTATATCGAGTGGAAATTTTGATTCTGATTTACAGATAATTTAAAATTTCATAATAAAATATATATACATTTCCAATTAACATAGCTTCTAATTAAGAATGAAAGATAATATTCGCATAACGCTGAGTTAAGGCAGTAAAATAAGTAGAAAGAGATACTTTAAGTGCACAATGAGTGTATCTCAAAATTTTTAATCAACCTGAACAAAGATATTTAGGAACATTCAAAGTCCTTAAAACAAGTATCAAACCATCTTTCATATTTTTAAATTATCTATAGATCCAATCGAGTTTCCAAATGTACTTAAATTTGTACCATTCAATTGTATATCTAAATACTCTACTGCATGATCATAAGGTTTATCCTAAAAACATGTATACGCATAAAATGTAACTTATTATAGCTCAAACCATATATATATATATAAAGCACAAATTATAAGTTCCCTCTCTTTAGAAGGCTTTGCACATCATCCTAAGAGTATATAATCAATGAAATGTGATAGGATCTTATGTAGAATGCTTTTATTGTATAAAAGTAAGAATTCTTTAGTTATCTTTTCTACTTCAGTAGAATGACAAATGGCAAGAGTACTTGAACTGAAAATAGATACATCCCACTTCTGAATAAAAAAAGTACATTGATGATTACTTCATAATATCTTTGAGGGTTGATAAAATGAAATAATATTCTTCTAAATTAAGCTTAGTTTCTGTTGACAAGTATAATCAAATATACTTTGCACCTATACATATTTAAATTAGACAGATGATTTATAATAAAAAAGTGTTATATTATATAACTTTTCCCTAAAGACTGATCAGCTTTAAACATACCTTATATTGCTTTTCTAAGCCAAATACTAATACTATTTTCTTAATTATTTTTCTCCAAATAATAGAATCCATTAGTCTATAAATATAAATAATTAAAATAATAATTTGACTTAGAGTACAGATTTGCTTTTATACCTTGTTTCATTTAAGTACAAGTTAGTTGCTTATTCTGTTAAAGTTTTACAAATCATAGGAACAAATATATTAACTAGTTCAACACGAATATTATAGGAGCAAACTTTTGTATTTAGTACAAATTATTGTTTATCGTTTTTAATTATTAACAATGCATCATTGAATACAAGGAAAAAAAAAAAAAAAAAAAAAAAAAAAAAAAAAAAAAAAAGTGGTACAGTAACATTTTTTTTTTGCGTCTTTTTTTTTTTTCTTCCTACAATTATACAATGTATACAACTACTAAACGATTTCCTACTTCATGTCGATTCTTTAGTCAGGGAAACTGTAGATCAGGGCAAGAGTGCCAGTTTGCACATATTCTGCCTTTTAATAATACCTCATCTATACAGATTCAACAGCAACAAGATCTAAATACTATTCAAAAAACAATTCGTAACTTGGAATTAGATCAATTAGAAAAAAAATACTCTGTCTTTTATCAGAATACAATGTAGATATAGTAATCTATTAGACATGTACACTTTATTAATCCTGTATCTATAGACAAAGAGATTTAAACACTCTAATAGATTTGATGATACCGTTAGAAAATAAAGAAAAAGAACTAAAAATACATATGATTATTCCTCATAACTATCCAGATGTTCCATGTACGTTACAAATTCAGAATGAAGACATGACTTCACAAATTAAAAGGTATTATTACATTCTTATTTAACAAGCTTAATAATATTAATATTATATATACAGTGATGTTAAAGCAGCATTTGAGGATTGTGAATGGCATCAAATGAAACATAAGACATTAATACAACAAATAGATTGGCTTGTTGCTCATTTTAATACACTTTAATATTACATTCCATTATACAATATCTATTTTCTTCAATATATACATATACATATATACATATATGTATATTCATATATATATCCTTTTTATTGTCGAGATATACAATAAATATGTCCTTTTTGATCTTTTTTTTTCCTAAGAAGTTACAATTTCGCAGCAGTTGATTCTATAGCTTTTTTGCTCAACTTATTTGCCATTGCATTCACACCAAACAAAGTTGAGGCAATCCAAACTTTTATTGTAATACTACCATTCTTATTTGAAAATGTATGGCGTCCAACATCTACTAATGACTTGTGGCTAGTAAATTGAAATGTGCCTAATGACTTACGCAACACCTGTGATCTTGAGGCACCCTTTTTACGACCAAGACGACCTGATACTTGATATTTAATACCTTGAATAGCAGATGTAAGTTGTCCATTAGAAACTTGAGGTAACAAACTATTCCATTGTACCGCAAATGGCATATTATGTGGTAAAGGGGGCTTTACTAATGGTACAGATTTCATAAATCGACGGGTCAATTGTGACCAACCCATGCGTTCTGAATTAATTGTTAAATATTGAGCTAAAATTTCTGCATTCATGTAAGGATAGTGGACACGAATCAATCTTAGATCAACAAATTTGCCAGGATAGAAGGAGCTTATGAGTTTTTCAAGTGGTTCAAGTTTAAAATCTGCTAGATTACTAAATGCAGTATCAGCATAATAATACAATTGGATCGTTACTCGAGAAGGTGAATGACTAAAGGCAGGGGTTGATGTTAATTGGTTTTGAAAAAAATGCTTGAGGGCTTGTTTTGTAGCTCCATCTTTTTCCCATATCATATTGTTACGTACATTGCGCGAGAAACTATAAATAGATGTATTCCAATCTTGTTTGCCCTTTAAACTGAGTGCTTTAATACTTTTGGACATAATAAAATAAAGATATATGTTAATAATTATTTTCCCCTCATTTGCTGCAAATAAAATAAAATAAAAAATGATGCCAGGGATTATTATAGAGAAGTCACAAGCAGAAGATGTTCCTATAATAAAGGAGATTAACTATAGCATATAAATGATTTGTATTTAAAAAATATATACATTTATATATATAATATATATTTGTATGCATATTATATCATTTGTTTAATTAGGAATTCCTTAGTTATATTTTATATATTACATACAACAAATAGTAGATTAGTTCTAATATACAAATAATTGAAAAGGGGTAAAATTATACTATTAAAGAGCAGGAGCTACAGTGAACAAATTTATGTACCATGCATTTATATTTTATAATTAACTACAGAAAAAAACAACAGCTTTATTTGAAAACGAAAGTTTAATAATGAAGTTAAGTAATGTTTACTTTATGTAGCCTAGAATCGATTCTAAAGCTTTCTCCTCTTTTTCAGCTTAATATAATATCTTTCTACCCATTTAATCTCCTATTTTCTTATTCAAATTTCTATTCTTTCAGCTTTTGGATTTTAGTATAAATACATGAAGAAATTGTCGACAAAATCAATTTTTTTTTCATTATTCAATACATCGTATTAAAACAAATATAAATAATAAAAATGGCTCGCTCAATCATCTTTGTCTCTGCTCTTCTCGCTATGGTTGCCTATGTTGCTGCTGCTCCTCACGGTAGTAGCTCTGAAGAAAATAACGTTCAAATCAAGAAGAATGGTGCCCACGTTATAGATATTCCTGATCTCGAAATTGTAGATGTTATCAACAACATTCCTATCATTGCTGAAGCTAATGATAAGCATGTATAGAGCTTGGCTTTTATAAATATATCATTTGTCTTAAAAAAAAATGATATTGTTATAGTACAAAAAAAAAACCCCTTTTCCTTATAAAACTCCTTCATTTTATTCATTGTAATATTTTTTACCATACTTTGGTATAGAAATAAATAATTTGTCATCATCATTCTCTTACATGTATATAATGTTTAATCTTTTTTTAATGTATCTTGTGTTTATGTAACAGAAAATTACTAATGCTTTGCATATTCTGCATAAAAGACAATCATCAATTATGTAATATCACACGACAAATTAGGAATATGAAGATAAAGTTAGAGTGGTATCTAGTACTTTTTATTTTAATAGCTTTTTCATGTGTAAGGTCTCAATTAAAATAAAATCTATTACTTAAGATTTTATATTAAATAATTAAGGAGTCTGTATCATTAATAATGCAATTAATTCCTAATCTCTTCCTTATCAATAACGCAAAAATATTTAAACTCTAGCATAAACACTCCAATTAAATATAATATTCTTTTTTTTTCTTTTTTCTTTTTTCTTTTTTCTTTTTTTTTTTTTACTATAAATTCCCTTATGTCCCTTTTTTGTATTCCTTAGGAGAGAAATGCTATTATGATTAATTTATATCCTTTGATATGCTTCTTTTAACTAAAACTTTTGTGTCATTTAAACATTATAACTTGATTAGTTAACATATTTTATTTATTAATCAATGACTATATTATGAAAGATACCATTATCCATATTCTAGTATGTTTGCACTAAACTATTTCAATTGCAAAAAAGATCAGCATCTGATATTACACTTATTCAATATACTTCAAATAAATAAAGATGTAACTTTTATTACTTTTGTTAATTTTTCTAAAACGTATCGGTTCGATTTATGTATGTTTATATCTTGGTTTCGCTTCTGGCAACTGTCTATCACGCCTGCTTGTTACAATGTTTGGTATAAGGCATTACATAACAGGCTTTCCACACCTTCCTTATTACTTTTATTGATTCCTTCCTTTTTTTTTTTTTTGTCATCCTCCTCTTGCCAGCAATGTTCCATATTCAAATATTAATTTGTTACATTTTCTATTTCTATGCTTCAGTAAACTTCGTATTTAACTTCAGATTTAGAATTTATATTTTTGTTCCTTTTAAGTTTATCACAAACATTCTCCAATGGTAAATTTTATTCCTCGACCTCTTTTTATTTTTTGACATATTCTTCTGCGGCCATTATCAGACTCACTTTATTGGCTGTCTAGCGAACATTGGGTCGTTAATTTTAAATACGTTCCTCCTTTCACTAAGAACTCTATTATAAGTCAAACACTTCAACTCATCGACACATCTATTGCTGAATATATATTAGAGAATAGTCTTTCCTCAATTCCTCTTCCCTACTTTTCTCATTAATCGCTTTCATTCATTTCCTTCTTTTAACTATATACCTTTTTAAACAAAAAATACAAAACTTAATTCATAAATCCCAAAAACAATGATATGACAACTGAGCTTTTTCGTCCCTTCAATAATCAGTATAAACAACAACATCTCTATATAACAGAAAATAGTGTGTTGATTCTAATATTATGCTGCTGCAACAAAGTGTCCTAATTTTTTTTTTTAAAGAAAAGAATTGTAGTGCGATATTCGCTTAAACAGATTTAACACAATGAAAAATAAAAAATTCCCTGACGGGGAATCGAACCCCGGCCGCGTCGGTGAGAGCGACGAATCCTAGCCACTAGACCATCAAGGACGATTGGTTCTGTTACGTGCTGTGATAGATTTAGTTATAATCTCAAAATTTCAGCCACACTGCAAATAAAGTCTACTTTTACAATTGTAAAAGTTTGTAAAAGGTGACCCAGTCACAATTGTAAAAGGTGACCTTTTACAATCGAAAATTGAAAATTGGAAGTTTTAAAAAATTTTTATACCAAATGAAAGAGAAAAATTTGCTCATTTCGAATATGTTAAAATTTTTTTATTTGGTTAAGAATTGATAGAGATATTAGCATTTAAAGATTTGTTTAATGGTTAAAAAATATAACAATTTTTTGGGTATAGTCTTTTTTACTAGAAAATAAATTTAGAATCCCGATTTTTTTTTACTTCAAATTTTATTGGACAAAAATTTTATATTCTGAATTCAAAAGAAGTTGAAAAAATAATAATAATAGCAATAATTCATTCAAGATGAATGTTTAAAATGTAAAGTTGTAATAAGTCTTTTTTTAAGAAAAGGTCAAATTATTTAACTTTTTCAAAAAAAATTTATTAAAAAAATAATAAAAATTCAAGTCAACATGTACAGTAATGAGTTATGTATAATGTCAATTGTTAAAATCAAACTTATATTATTACTTTACAATAAGTTATTTTATCTAGTAAGATTAATTTGTCGTACTTAATATTTTTTTTTTTTTTTTTTTGTTGAACATAATGTCAAAATGTCTAATTGCCATTCCAAAATCAACTTGAATGTAGATGGAAAAATTAAAATATACCCCTGCTAAAGTATTTAAAAATAATAAAACTATTTATTATTTTTCAAATGAAAGATGCATCATCCGATTGTTAGTAATTTATTTATTTATTTTTCGTAAAGATAAGTAAAATGAAAGGGAATTTTTTACTGCATATATAAGTTTTAACTACAGCAATAAATTTAGTTATCTGTAAAAAAAATATTTTCTCCTTTTTTTATTATCTTATACTGATTATTAACATCTCAACTTATAAATTTATAAATTCATTGCAACATGTCTGTTTAATTAAACAAAGATCAATGTGAATGGAAATGATTAACTTGTTCTCAAAGTAGACTTAGATATAAGGTTGTTTACAGACATACTATCTTTATCTATATTCATATATTCATTAAAAATTGATAAGAGTCTTGAAGATGCAATTACCAATGAACATAGTAAACAACAATAATAAGTATTCATTGCAGATGTTACAATTAATAAATGTAATCACGCTAGCTTTTTTTTTTTATTTTGAATTATAAAAATAACCACTGCTGTTCGTTTTTTTTTTCTTTTTTTTTGTCATCGCACTAAAGATGTCTATAATGCAAATGAAGAGTCGATTGCTGACAATGGTAATGACATTAATTTTATTGGATTAGAATATTTAGAAGATAAATATATGGTTGAAAGTATGTATTAGTTATTAAAAGAAATAGTATTGTTATAATAACTTCTGTGTAAGCTATTTATGCTAACTTTTTTTTATATAGTATGCTTTGTATATGACTTTGGAAATTGTTATATAATTACTTCGGCGATAGAATACATAAATGAAAGACTTCTTTGTCAGCTTATACAAATGCTTTAATAAGACTTTTTGTTTCTAAAAAATTTTTTACTTTATTTCTTTTTACTTGTTTCTTTTTTTTCCTTCTTGTTTTCCTTTTTTTCTTTTTTCTTTTTTTTTGAATTAGTACTTAGGATAAATGACTTGAGATGATATACAATCCAATTGGTAAGTAACTTAGCACGGTTTGATTATCCCCGGCGAACATGTAATGAACATGGTTAGCTCTTTATATTTAAAGAAAAAAAAAAACTATATTCTAATCAATATCTTTTTTTTTTTCAAATAGTTTTACTGTATACTTTGAATCTTTGGCGTTTTGCCTTTTATAATGACTAATAGCGAATTATATAAAATACGTAAATAATAAAGATAAGGTAAACATAACATAAATATATCTTTATATCTTACTAAAGTTGTTTTAATGATAACATCAACTAAACTTTTTTTTTTGTTTAGGCGTTAAAGGTCTATCTTTATAGCCTTTTCTCTTGTGGTGACCGATTACAAATAAAAGGTAAATAATATAATAAGCATACTAATTATTATTTTAAACGCGTAAAATATTTATTAATCTTTCTTATCTTTTATTTAGGTAAGTGAAAAAAAAACTATTCTGCTTTGGTGGCCGTTAACGTGTAAAGAAATGATAACTTCTTTTCTAATGGTAAGAAACTAAAATATAATTTATTTGTTTTTTCATTGACTAAATCGTATTTTATTTTATTATAGGAAGAATTCTATTATGAAAGAAGCTATCTATGGTCCTCTTAATGACTCTATTACGCGTTATCTCGGTCCTTTCCATGGCGTATTTATTCTATTTTTTTGGATACATTTTTATATACATTTTTTTAAATATTTTTTATATATTTTTTATCTATTTTTTTATGTATTTTTTTATGTATTTTTTATATATTTTTTTACGCGTTTTATAGTATATAATAATATAATATTTTATATATCGTAAAAGGAAATAATAAACGAAAATAAATAAAATCGTATTTTGAAAAAGAATATAAGCTCCATTATCTACTGTATTTTAAAGAAGTCTAAAATGTATCATAATATAACGAATAAGCAAACGTTTAATTTGAATGTAAAGGCCAATAAGAGTAAAAAAACGTAAAGGAATGACGAAGATTAAAGAAGCGTAATCCAATAGAAGCTTTGAGCTATGAAGCAAAATTTTGTAAAAGGTGAACTTTCATGATTGTAAAAGGTCTACTTTCAGTATAGTTTCACAATTGTAAAAGGTCTACTTTCAGTCTACTTTCACAATTGTAAAATGTCTACTTTTACAATTGTAAAGTAGACTGACTTGGTCTAATGGCATCATTGTGAAAGGTCACCTTTTACAATTGTGAAAGTATACTGAAACTTTAATGAAAGGTCACCTTTCAGTCTACTTTCACAATTGTAAAAGTAGACTTTTATCTCCAGTGCCAATCAGAATACAGGAATTCTCTTAGATAAGCCAGGTATTACATAATATTTGCTTGGACGGACTTTAAATCTCTATTTATCTTCGTGGGGTTATCCCTGTCTAAAAAAATGAATATAAAATGAAGAATATTTTGATAAAAAAAAAAAAAAACAACCTTTTTGAACAGTAATTAATTTTTGAGAAGAAAAGAACTTTTGGAACAAGGATTTATATTTTAAATAAAAGAAAATAAAAACATAAAAATAAAAATATTTTCTTGCAGACTAACAAAACACTTAAGGATTCGAACCTTCCTTAATTTTCCTTTCACATAAGTATTTACTTATCAGTTCTTGAAAAATAGTGGCATAATTATATACTAAGAAATGTCGGAATTCGAATTAAAAGTATATGATTGGTCCGGAGATGTAAATAGTAATAATATTAAAGGGGAAAGAGAGTGTTATGATTGAAATCGTCTTTACAAATTAGTTACTAGAAATAAACCATCATTTATTACATAATAAAGAGGTTGTTCATTTAAAGCTAGTGTATTGAACTTCACAGCGTAATATTCATTCTACGTTCAGTTTTAATAATAGTCATTGTTAGAGTATTTGAGCATTAAAAATAATTATATATGTTCTGATTAGCAAAAAGATAAAGAAAGAAAAATGAACAAAAGATAAGTCTGTGAAAACTTTGTATAGTTTATTAAAAATAATACAAAAATTGTACAATGGAAAATTATATGGAAAAATCGAGGGCTATTTATATGTTTTTACAAGGTAAGTGTTATTAATGGAAATATGATTCAGATAAAGCAAGTTTTACTATAATAAAGCGTTTTACATAAAACATTGTCTCCGAATAATTCTGCGATCAATAGGATATATCTTTATTTCTTTTTTCTTCCTGAGTTGTCGCTGTTCCTAGAAACACAACGAATTATTATTATTGGACTGCGACACATCAATATTAATTCTCAGTGAATATGTCTAGTTGCGGCAATACCAATTATTTATGAATTACTATCATTATCATTGTATAAGATGTTATTAAATAACAATATTCAATATTATTAATGTATTATATATGATATGTATTATTCATGAAGAATTATGTAATTGAATACACCAGCCATAATCCTGTTTGAATTATGTATATAATTATTATTAGTGCTCGAACATTCTAACAATGACTATTATTAAAACTGAGTGTAGAATGAATATTATGCTGTGAAGTTCAATACACTAGCTTTAAATGAACAACCTCTTTATTATGTAATAAATGATGGTTTATTTCTATTAACTTAGTTATAAAGACGACTACAACCATAACAACTATAAGACATCATATTAGCTCTAAAATCTTTATTTTTATAACCTTGATAAGGGCTTCAGGTCATCTCTGATCTAATATAATATATAAAATATTAGGAACTTAGACTCAGATCATTATATAACTACAGCTCTCAATAGATAATAATCCATATATAAGCGTCTTGAATATCAGCAAAATGTATATACTTGAATATTAATGTTGCTTCATGACTTATGTTCTTTCACAACTATTTTTGTTTCTTTAATTCAATATTCATTCGTATGAATATAAGCAGTTGTATAGACATAGTACAAAAGAATCTTTATCTTTAATTCTTATTCTTTTTACATTAAATAAGTAACAATGTCAAATCATACTTCTCTTTTGTCTTCTTTCTCTTTTTATTTTTTATTTCCTTTGTTTTCATTACATAATGTATACCATCACACGGTGTGTAATAATATTAGATTATACCTTCTTATTTTTGTTATTTGTTGTCCATCAAATAGACTATTAATATCTCGACTCTACCACATTACATGATATAAATAGAAAGGTATATAAAATTTCTAAATTTATATTCTAATTCTTTTTTTATGATAAAGTTGCTTTGATGGCAAAGAGGTAAAGAAAGAAAACATAAAAAACAAAAAACAAGTCCGTATAGTTTATTAAAAACTTAATGATACAAAAACTTTGTGCCAGGAAAAAATAACATAAAAAAAATAAAGAATATCTTTTATATATATTTTGTCAAGGGTACATTACATAAACATTATGCAATATAGTTGAGTAAAAATTGAGTAAAAGTAGTTTACATGTGTATACATCATCTATAAAGTAATATTATACATTTATTGATGTTCATATTAGACTATATAATACATATTATTTTATCTTTGTTAAATATATTATTACAAATGATCTTTATATGTATATGATAATAATATAACAAGAAATAATTAGAAAATGATAATGACGCATATCTAAAAAAAAAATAAAAAAAAAATTATCAAAAGTATATTATTTCTAAGTTATCCAAATGTTAAACAAATAAAACAATTCTCTTCTAAGTTTTAAAGAATATCTAAAGCTTATGTCCAGATCAAATCTAAGTTAGTTAAACATATGTTTTGATAGCTGGGAGTTAATTATGGAATTTAGGCATGCATCAAAATGGACACTATATTATCTTATATATGCCTTCTATAATATATATAAATATTTGTTTGTACTCTTATTCACTTATACACAATGTTTTAGGAATATATATTTATTATATTTTAATTACAATCAATTGGCAAAACATTTTTTTCTTTAGAAACATTGCAAGGACTATATCATTCTTCAAAAGAGTAAATATATTGCCCTATATACTGTTTTTACATTTCAAAGTTTATTACTGTAATAAGTTGTTATAATAATATATATCTTTAAAAAAAAATATTATTGATTTAAAGTATCATTCATGGTTTGTACAAATATATTTTTACTATAAATATTCCATAGTTCTTTGCTTTCTAGAATATCTTCTTGAGTAAGTGCATCGGCAAATTGTATATACGAGTTTATAGAAAGATCAGGGAGACCATAAAGATTATTTGTATCATACTGAATATTGTATTCTAATGGCGGTTTAGATTTTTTATGATCATTTTCGTTATTGTATTCTGAAATATTAGCTACATATTGTGTATACCCTAAAAGTTTACCATAAGCTGTATTTTCTTGTTGGTATTCATAACGATATATTCGAATAGTTGGCATGTAAATAGGAAAAACAGAAGGTGCAACATGTATAACAACAACTGGGTTATTATGATTGAATGGTTCTTGGCTATTATGGAATGGCCTTTGATTAACCAATTGTTCTGTAGTCTGATGAGAAAAATGATTGTTTTCAAAGTGAACAAGGTCATGATACATGTCCTTTAGCCATAGCGCATACTCTTTAGCATCTCGTTGTATAGTTACGGGTTGATTATCCATTGATGAAGATAGTAAATTTCTATTATTTTCTTGACGTTTATCATAAATTAAAAAATGATCCATGTTTAGATGACCATAAAAGTGACTTAATACAATATCAGAATAATCAGAGGTAATGCTTACATAATTGTGCAAGCAACCTTCAAAGAAATCATTTGGTGAAGGAGGAACATGACCGACTACATAGATTTTAACATTATCATGTCGTGCCTTTTCCAGTTGTTGTTTATACCATTTTAAATGCTGATATCCTAAATTCTCTTTTTTCTTCTTTTTTGCTATACAATCTTTCGCCATTGGGTTCTTTTTTAGAAAGAACATAGTATTCATTGATAATACACGAATTCCAGGTACTACATCTACAGCAAAATATCCCCCTTCCAAAAAGCTTTTTCGCTCATCCTTTGGAATCCAGTGCTTCCAAATCTCTCCAAAAAACCGTAAATCATCATCATAGAGTTCGATTAAATTATGTGGTTGAACATCATTATTTCCAATAACAGGAACAACCGGTACTGCTGAAAAAAATACGTCGGTCAACATATCTGCTGCTTTTTTATTTAGTTCATATACTTTTTTCTTTTTACGAGAGTGTTTTTCGTCCCAATTATGTCGAGAATTATCACCAGTCCAGATAACAAAATCCAGCTTATCTAGCCATTCACGACGAATCCAATCAAGAGTATGTTCTATAAGGATACTAGGTGCATCCATACGCTGACCTGGTATGCCCATAGTACCACACAGTTCGTCATCCTGTTTTGAGTACATGTGCTTTTTAGGTAAAGTATGACAACCAGATTTGATGGTGGCACCTTCTCTGTAGTGGTCATCTAACTAATATGAATTTAAATATTATATTTGCAAACGCATTCATACTATTTACGTGAAAATCTGTTATCTGAAGAAAATATCCAAATCTACTTCTATTTGTGTTTAATGCAAAAGTATCTTGATTCTTCTTACAAATAATTGCATAATAATTATTTTGATTTAGATAACGCCGTATTAACACTGAAGTTAGTATTAAAATGGTAAAAAAAGGTAAAATAATAGATTTCATATTTCATAAATATATCTTTTTTCTTCAAAAAAGCTAAAGATATATATCATTTAAAAATACTAATAATAATAATAATAATAACGATAATAAAAAATAAAAGTTAAAAGTATTGATAAGTTTAATTATAAATTCATTTCTTCAAGTTTCTCTATATTGCCTTGTTTTTAAAATGCAGCAAAACCTAAAGTTAAATATACAGAAAAGAAGGAACAAGCAGTCACACAAGCCACTAAATTTTTTTTTCTCTATGAAAAAGTTGAACCAAAATATAGTAGAAAGAGTTCCTTCTCTTCATTTTCATATTCAAAATGGCTCCCGTCAAGGTTTCTAACACTCCTGTCAAGAAGTCCAAGTTCGTTATTGACTGTTCTGGTCCTGCTAACGATAAGATTTTCGATGCTGCTGCATTTGTAAGTTCATCCTAATGTCATTGTTCATGTTTTAGTTTCTAATAATAATAATAATAATAATAATAATAAAATGAATAAATAGGAAAAGTACCTTCACGACCGTATCAAGGTTGATGGTCGTACCAATAACCTTGGTGATGCCATTGCCATCTCTCGTTCTGCCGATAACAAGATCACTGTTGTCGCTAACATCGCCTTCTCCAAGCGTTATCTCAAGTACCTCACCAAGAAGTTCTTGAAGAAGAACCAAATCCGTGACTGGCTTCGTGTCATTGCCTCTGACAAGCAAACTTTCGAACTTCGTTACTTCAACATTTCTAACGATGAGGAAGCCGAAGATGATGAATAAATATTTCGTCTAACATTATAATAAAATAATCTATATTTTGTTATATATTTCACGCCTTCATATTTATTTTTATGTCTGGAAATATATAAAAGGGTAAAAATAGTGTTTGAGGATAATATTGTGTCTATCATAACCAAAAAATCATAAATAGACAGTTCCATTTCATAAAAAAAAGAGTTTGTAAGGAGTAGTACGAAGATTAAGTTCCAAATGTTTATATTTATAAAGCTTTTTGCTACTAAAAAAAAAAAAAAAAAAAAAAAAAAAAAAAAAAAAAAAAAAAAAAAAAAAAAAAAAAAGATTATACATTTTGTTTAATCCACTGTATTTTTCAAATAATTTGAAAAAAAAAGTAAAATGAAAAGGTTAGCGAAAGTGATAGATAATAATATAATGTATACAACGTACCTGTTAAGTAAAGGATACGAAACCGTTATAGAAATTGCATACATTTAAGAAGATCTTTGAAATTCAGGAGGTCTTTTATTTTTATATGTAAAAATGTAGTTTATGTTTTTAATAGTCATTACATCACGATTCCATACCATACTGCAAGAGTTACACTTGAGTACAACATGAAGTTTACTCTTCGATTTGGATGTAGTAATATTAGTTAAGTCTCGTTTTTTTTTTACAATGGTTACATGTTTGACTAGTCAAATATTCATCAATATAGATAAAAGTATTTCCTTTCAATTCTTTAGACATTTTCTTAATTGCATCCGTTATCCGTCTAGTAGGAGCAGGAAATTTTCCTTTCACAGAGCTACCAAATTTAGCATTACCAAAGGCAATAATTCTTTTCTTAGATAAGTCGGTGATCTGGTTATCTTTGGGAGCAATAGGGATCCTTTTCTTCTTGTCAGAAGTACTAGAGTCAACAGCAGTGAAAATATCAGTTTGTCGAGGATTTATAGCCCAAATAAGTGCATTGTTGTTTTTGACATCTACAGCAAAATCCATAGGAGTCAATTCATCAGTAGTAGTATTCTTCCCTGATTTTTTGGATTTCTTTTTAAAGTGAAATTCAACAGAATAACCATTTGTTTGAATTAAATTCCTATGTTGATATACGTTTTAGTAGTTAGAAGTTGTAGTAAGAAAAAAAGACTTACCAAAATAATCTGTTATCATTATCAGTGTTATTGTTTCGTTTAGTACCTATTTTAGAAAAATTAAAAAGAATTGAGTACCATTTTTTAAAATTTGTTTCGTTAGGATTTTCTGGAATACTCTCCTTATATTCTTCTTTGTCATCATTTACTACTTTTCTTGCAAGTTTCCAAAATGTTTGTTGATCTATTTGAACAGACTTGGCTTTGCAATCATACAGTAAGAGTAGACATTACCTTTTTTTTTCTTTGGTAGTAGGAGCTGTATCAACTGCTTTTCCTTTACCTTTGTCTTTTTTTAACAGGAGTAGTTTTCACTGATAAAACTGAGAGTGATGTTGTCAATATATATATATATATAAATGATTACCTTGTTCAGTGGATTGCTTTTCTTGGACAGTGATACGCTCTGTTTCTTCATATTCTTTATACTTTCTTGAATAATAAGTTTTCTTGACCTTAATTTACATATGTCAGTTTTTACTTTATTAGTTCAATATAATGGAGCTTACTTGTTCTCTTGCAAAGTTTTATTTGTGGTTGAAAATCATCGTCAGAGTCTTCTAGGAGTTCATCATAGTTGGTAGTAGTAGTAGTAGCAGGTTTGGGAAGAGTTTTATTCGCTATTTCAAAGAAACCATGAGTGTGCATACTATTAAGTAATGCTTTCCTTATTCTGTTACATACCTCTTTTTTTTTTAAGAGTGACTCCCTCTTCCTTAGGGTCAGGGGGAAATTTCCTTTTACGTCTCATACTATAATAGCAATAACAAGTAGAGAAAAAGAAAGAAAAGATAATAAGAATAAAAATTTTGCGGTTTTTATCAGCAGGCTTTGATATATTAAATGTTGTCTGTTGTAATTATTTTAAAATATAAGACCCTTTTGATACTGAATAATTACATACGAAACGCATAAAACAGTTTCAACTGTATTATTAGGTAGTCGGTTTTATTCTTTGAGTGAAGAAAGTATGTAGTTATAGTATCTTTAGAAAGCAAACGAATATCTAGTTGTTTAACTTGACTTTATTTTACTTTTTTTCAATTAATTACGTTTATCTTTGCAAATAAATGGGATTTCTATTTCAAATAATTTGGATAACACAGTAATAATAGTAATGCCAAATAAACAAAAACGCATGCCACCAATCTCATCAGCTTTCAACTCATCTGTCTTTCCCGCCTGGACGATTCGTTGGCCTGCTATATGCCTTATACTTTTTGAACTTGACTATCTTCATCATGGCAAACTTCCTCCAGAAGCTGCCCCCCCCTTGGTACAAAACTTGTAAACTGGTTACGTAACTCTGAATCTAGTATTTATTGATACATCTTGCTTTTCCTCTTCCCTTCTCTTTCTTTTTTACCCTTTTGCCTATCAAAAGGTTTTTTAGTACGCTTTTATCCTCTCGAACTGACCCGGGCAATCCAATTACCAGTATTATGTGCTCACATGGGTTTTTTAAATTTTTGTTATAAATAAAATAATTCTTTAATCGTAATAATAGTAAACTCACATTTAGTTTTTATCATTATTGTGGCCCCCTTATGTATATTCTTGTATTGCCCTTAGCAAAAAAAAAAAAAAAAAAATATTATGCTTTCAATTAACTTTCCAACTCTGACTTGTAAGCAATTCTTTGTAATAGTAATATAATCTTCCGTAATTTAGAACAAGAAAGCGGAAAACACGAAGCTATATCGTTATGTTTTTATTTTATTTTTTTTACAAAATACAAGACTAAAATGAAAGACAATTTTATTTTATCAAAGGTAATTTCCGAGAAAGTAATGATTTGAACTACTGAACAAATTTCTTATGCTTCATTTGATGGAAGCGATTAAAAAAATAGATTTATTTTTTAAATAACCAACAAGCTCTTTATTATTATTTACAGTCATTCTACATATAAAATTAAATCTTTCTAATTACTTAGTCTTCTTGTTTTAAAATACCCTGACCTAATCTACGAATTTCTGCTAAAATAGCATTGAAATTAGGCTGGATCATTTTAGTTATTTGATTTTGTCCCTTGGCAGGTTTCTATAAATACATAAAAACTATATTAGTCTCTCTCTTCTTTTTTTTATTTTTTTTATTGTCTTATTTATTAACTTACCAAGAAACCATTTTTGTTCATGTCAACAGGAACACAATTATATCCTGCATTTACTTTCCATTGAATAGGTGTTGCTTTGAGTGGGTTCCATACAAGTGCTAATTGATCTCCACCATATGCATTATGAAACACAAGCAATGTTTGTCCATATAACTTTTTGAGTTCAGCAATAAATTCAGTAACAGGGTCTAACTGAGCATAGGGTGTTCCATCATCATCACGCATTTTCATTGCATAAGGTTCAGGGTGTAAGTTTTGATAATAACGAGTGCAATTGGATCGATCCAAATCAAGTACGACACTATAATCTTCAAGAGGTGTCACAAAGATACGCTTAAGATCCTGTGGAGTATTAGTAGTTGTGAAAACTTGAAGGGAAGCTCGCGCAAGGGCTGTAATACGTGCTGCTATTGCTCTTGTAGAGTTAAACCAGCGATGACCTGTGAGGTCTTTAGCAGTCGCAATTGTCATGGCTCCAACAGTCATTTGTGGATTCACACGTCGTTGTTGATTAAAGTCAGCAATAATTGTTTCACGTTGTTTAGATGTCAAGTCGCCTTCGATATCTACGATTAAGGGTTGTGTTGCCCAATCCCATGTAGCTAAAAGATGTAAAACACGTCCAAATCCGACAAAAGTGCTTGTAGGTGTTGACCATGGCTGTGGTTCTAAAAAGACATGTGCAGCAATTAACTCAATCATCTCTTCTGTCACATGAGGGCTTAATAAGTGACAACCAAACCATCGTTTTACAAGTCGCACAGTAGTTGAATAGGCTGTAAATCGGGCACACATAGCTTGTATGTAAAAAGTATGTGTTTGCTTATATCGTAATTGATACATGTATTTCGTGAGAGCCTCCTTAGCAAGTCGCTTATTAAGATCAGTGGTTGTTTTAGAATCAATTATCTTCTGTAAAAGAGTAGCTTCTTGCTCGAGATGAATATGGCAACGGAATAGATAGCCCATATAATATACGTCAAGATAACCTCGAATTGCTAAGGGATTGCGTTCGCGAATATCATCGACGACTACAGAATCGACTTGGAATCTTGATTTGAGTTCTTCGGACATTTTAAGATAGAAAGCATGCTTAACTTTTTGAAGTGCATTCAAGTCGTCGGGAAATTTGGCAGATCGCTCAATATGAACAACCACATCAATAGCATCAAAATAACGTGCCGTAGTAGGATAAGAAATCATATTGTTAAAGTCTACAGGGTGAGGTAAAGTTGCAGAACTATAACGTAAACTGGCATGAGCAGGATAAATATTGTTAATCAACAAAGGTAATGCATCGTCAATTTGTCTTAATTGTTTAGAGAATTGATTAAAAGCTGACATAACAGTTTGGAAACCACTTATCTTGAGCTCTTCATGGTGGAAAAGATGATTAGGTAACGCCTTGCTGTAATTTAGATAGGAATATAATTGTCCTGCCCAATAGATAACTTGCGAAGGCTGCAATTTGAGGTGAAGTTCTAATAAATATAGACAAATCTTTTGGACAATAAGAGTACGGTTTTCATATCCCTGAGTTTGCCATACAACAGATTCAACAATGGAGCCATCCTTAAATCGACGAAGTTCAGATTTAGAGCCCCAAAACTTACGGAACTCGGCAATAGCTTCTGTTTGTGTAGCGTCTGGGCCTTGATCAACTAAACGAGGGGCGTTATCAGAGTTCAACAATAAGCCTACAGTAATCTGTACATGCTCATCAATATTTTCAAGTGCTTTTGTAATGGGCCAAGTCTCGACAAGACCTTCATAATGAACAGCAACAAGATCCACACGATTTGTCAAACCTCGATTCAAAATTGAACTTAACAAGTTTACAAAATAGGGCAAATAATGGTAATGATCAGCTTTAGCAGATTCATCAAATTTTGAAATAGGAGCTTTACGAATATCATCAAAGGAAATATGCATCACATTGTCATATTTAAGTTTAGCATCATTGACATTCTTTAAAAACAACTCCTCAAAACGATCCGTACTATCATTAAAGAAGTTCATAGCAAGTCGTGCTTCATGCTGTACTTGCTTTAAACCAGAGATTGTCATATTAGCAGCCAAGTTAAGGGTACCTGAAGGATCGACGATAACAACATCGAACGCCTTTTGAAACTCAATAGAAGAAAATCCTTCTTTTTCATTTTCACCCAAGAAAATAGGACTTGTACTAAAGTCATGAGTTGAAATGAAATCCAAAGTGCCACGTAACAATTGATAAGAGCTATGACTAGATGAAAGCTTTTTACCCATACCATCCTTATTTCCCTGAATCAAATAAGCCATCAACATGGAAAACAAAAAGGGTGTGAATCCAATTGCAGTCAAACCACGTTGATGAATCCAAGTACGTGCTAAAAGGACAGCATTTTTGAAATCCTGACTAGATTTAATATGTTGATAGAGGAAAGCCAAATGACCCGTATAAGCAGTATCCATTAAGAGAGAAGCATTATAATGAGGGGTAGCTTCAGCAGGCTTCACACAACTCTTACCAGGTGCAAGACGTTGTAAAGGGAATACATCGCTATCTACACAAGGCAAGATACGAATAACACATTTTGTTTTACTGAAATCAATCTCTGGTTTGCCCTTTATAGGCTTTACCAACAAAATGGGTCGACGAAAATCACCATTCAAGATGCTATACTCTATATCGAATTTTTTTGATGATTGAAGTGCAGAAGCTAAAACAGCTAAATAGCAAGCGCGTTTGTGAAAATAGCGGTAGTTGGCATAATCTTTTTCTTGGAAAATAGTGGATGGCATTTCTACTGCAACATCAACATTAAAGGGCTTCTTTGATTTGGCAATTGTTTTTAAGCCATATCCACCTACAATGTGCATTGATGTAGGCTTTTCAAATGCAAATGGATGTAATGCATCTTTTGCAGGCTGTGGATCTGGGAAAGGTGTGACAATCTTATTCTTTTTCAACATGTCCTCAGCAAATTCATGTAACTATTTCGAAGAGAAGTTAGTATTATAAAGTTGTAAATTTTATTGCTGTCATCTCTACCTTCATTGATTTGCCATTAGGAATAGAATCAAAAATAGCCTTTAAATTATGAAGTGCCTTTTCCAAAGTTTTATGTTTCTCATAATTAATAGCAATTTCAGTTAATAATTCATCAATCTATTCATAAAGAGTTGTATAAGCATAAAATAGATGTTTATATTTTTATTTTTTAATATTACCTCAAGTTTAAAAATGTTGGATTTGTAAAGTTCGGCAGTCTCTTTAAGTCCTTCTAATTCGCCAGAAATAACATCATCTTCAGTTGGTTTGGCTTTTTTGATCTCGGTACTTTCAAGTTCATGATCATTGTCATCATCATCATCTGAGTTAGATTCCCAATCACCTTCTTCTTCAGAAAATCCAGTGTTCATTGTATATTCTTCTTCAGTTTGATTATTAGATTCATGATCTTTTTTAGCTTGCTAAAAAAAAAAAAAACAGATTAGTAAAAAGAAAAAAACTATCCAAAAAAAAAACAACTCTTTTTTATAAAATACCTTCTTTGCAGGCTCTTCGGCTAATGCTTTTTTATATTTTCTTTTTGTAGCAGCAACCATTCTTTAGAAAAATGTTAAGTATTTCAAAAGAGTTGAATGATAAGCGGAGCTGTTTCTCTTACATAAAAAAAGATCAATTTTTGGAGGCTTAGACATAAAAAATAAAGGGGGAAACAAGCATTGTGTTCAGTGCAAATAAAGCCTGTGACTGTATTTCATGTAAGGCTTATACTTCTATAAAATGTTAAATATAGAACCCTTTATTATAAAATAAAGATTTTTTTTTAGATAAACTGCTTGAATAATAAAGTAGATTTATTCTTCCAAGTTTATTGTTATAAATTAGTAACGATTTTATCTATCCTATTTTTAAGAAAGTACATCAAAAATTCACTGAAGCTTTTTTAATGCTTGCAAAAGTTTGTGACCGGCCTTTCAAAAGAAAAAAAAAAAAAGCTTCATAGTTTCAAAAAAAAAAACTTTCATTTTTATTTTTTTTTTTATTTTTAAACAACAACACTTTTCTCTTTTTTATTTTTAAAGTCAAAAGATGCTTATTCTTTACGAAACTGCTGCTGGTTACGCCTTATTTAAACTTGTTAATGATGGCAAGTTAGCTAAGCCCGAAGAACTTTACAAAGATTTTGAATCTGCTGAAAAGGCAAATGAAGCGTATGTATCGATCTTTTCTTTTTTTCTTTAGCAAGTAGAATTTCGTATTTAATTAGCTCGTTTTTATAGTGTCAAATTGAAGGCTTTTAAAAAGTTCGAAAATACCACCGATGCTTTAGCTGCAGTCACTGGTATTGTTGAAGGCAAGATGCCCAAGAACTTGAAAAAGTTTTTGGAATCCGAAATCTCTGAAAAGGAAATGAAGAAGGAAAAGTTGGTTATCAGTGATCCTAAGCTTGGTATGTAACTCAATTTTCGAAAATTGTGTGTGTGTGTATGTGTGTGTGTGTGTGTCAAGAAGATATGAAAACAATTTATATGTAGATTGAAATTTAACTTGATTAAACTTACTTATTTTTGTTCTATATTAGGTTCTTCTATCAACAAGAAGTTAGGTATTAACATTTTGTCCGACTCCACCGTTCAAGATCTTTACAGAGGCATTCGTGAACAATTTGAATCACTCGTGTCTGGTTTGTCACATTCCGATCTTTCCGCCATGTCTTTAGGTCTTTCTCATTCATTGTCTCGTTATAAGCTTAAGTTTTCTCCTGATAAAGTCGATACCATGATTGTTCAAGCCATTGCTCTCTTAGATGATCTCGATAAGGAGCTTAATACATATGCCATGCGTGTCAAAGAATGGTATGGCTGGCATTTCCCAGAAATGACAAAGATTATTGTTGATAACCTTGCCTATGCCAAGGTTGTCAAAGCTATGGGTTTCCGTACTAATGCTCATGCCGTTGATATGTCTGAAGTCCTTCCTGAAGAACTTGAAACTGAAGTTAAGGAAGCTGCTGAAATTTCTATGGGTACAGAAATTTCTCAAGAAGATCTCGATAATATCTTTGAACTCTGTGATCAAGTCATTCATATCACCGAATATCGTACTCAACTTTATGAGTATTTGAAGAACCGTATGCATGCCATTGCTCCTAATTTGACTTCTTTAGTTGGTGAATTGGTTGGTGCTCGTTTGATTTCTCATGCCGGTTCTCTCATGAACCTCTCCAAGCAACCTGCTTCCACAATCCAAATTTTAGGTGCTGAAAAAGCTTTGTTCCGTGCTCTTAAGACCAAACACAACACACCTAAATATGGTTTAATTTATCATGCTTCACTTGTTGGACAAGCTGCTCCTAAGAATAAGGCTAAGGTAGCTCGTATGTTAGCTGCTAAGGCTGCTCTTTGCCTTAGAGTAGATGCTCTTGGTGAAACCGAATCAAATGAAGTTGGTGTTGATGGTCGACAAAAGGTTGAAACTCGTATACAAACTCTCGAAGGTCGTGTCCTTGCCAAGGCCAATAAAGATACCTCCGTCAAGAACCAAACTAAATTCAAGTTTAACAAGACTCAACAATACAGTGAAAATGCAGATATTGTCATGACAGATGCTGAGCCCGAAAAAAAGAGAAAGATTGAAGAAGTTGAGCCTAGTGAAGAAGCTGTTGAAGAAGAACCAAAGAAGAAGAAGGAGAAGAAAGATAAGAAAGAGAAGAAGGAAAAGAAGGAAAAGAAAGAGAAAAAGGAAAAGAAAGAAAAAAAGGAGAAGAAAGAGAAAAAGAATAAGGATTAAGCAAGTATTTTAGTTTAGATTTATTTCTTGCATGTTAATTTTTTCCTTTTTGAATGTATATATGATATTATATTAATAAAATGCCTTTGTTTTATGCAAAATAAAGAAAATATGATGTACCTTAAAAAAAAAATAAAAAAAAAAAATAAAAAACTTAAGCCACTTTTTATTATCCAATCAAAGTATGTAACTGAAATATGACATTATTATTATAAATCGAAAAGTGATGAATATCTTTTAAAGAATAACGGCCTTTATTTCCTTCAAGACTTTTAGATATGAATCAATACTTTATATTTAGATACTTTCTAATTTATCATGATTAATATAAAACAACATACTATTGCCATGTTTTTGAAGTTTTGTTACACTGTAAAATTATTCATACAACGTCTATTGTTTGATAAATGCCATTTTAAAATCCAGTTAAAAAGGTAGAAGAGATAAAGTGAAAATGAATTTTTATTATATATCAGAATTGATAGTAGTTTGTCTTTACTCCTTTTTTCCTTGATAATAGACATAAATAATCAGCCTTTTTTTTTTTCTTCCTTTATTTGATTTAAGGTTAACACATTAGATCATTATTGACTGTAAAATTTGCTTTAAAAAAAAAATCAAGTGCTGAGAATGAAAATCCAAAAAAAATGAATAAATAAAAGCGATTATTTTATTTTATTTTAATTTATTTTATTTTCACTGTATATAAAATAATCTTTGGCATATACACACACACACACAAATATATATATATATAGAGAAAGATATAGAGATAGTTAATGTACATATAGAAGAATATAAAACAATGTCTACTTATAATACAACATCACTCAGTTTTACCACATCAACTATTACCAATGACATAATATCGCCTACTACATCATCCTCTATTTCCAATAATACAACTATTTATTCTAGTATATCATCATCTGATTCTACTTTTATAGCTACACCAACTACTACTACTACTACTGCTATTACTTCAACTGCAGGACCTTCAACTTCACATATTCCCGGACTCGATATCCCTTTTACTAGTGATGGGGCTAAAAAATACCTTGAAGATGCCAGACACACCTCAGATATCGGTTCACAATTCACAATTTGTTTTATCGTTGGTCTTATTTGTTTTCTAGTATTTTGTTTTTTTCGAACAAGGTAAAACTATCAAATGAATTATTAAAAAATTAATTTAATTTTCTTTTTTTCTTTTTTTTTTTTTTTTTTTTTTTTTTTTTTTTTTTTCCACAAAATATTAGGGTACCAGTTTTATTTTCTCCTCGTTCAAATATGAAACGGTAATATATAGTCTCAATCTATTATTGTTGCTATCATTATTTTAATTTTTTTTTTGTTAATTTTAAAGACATAAACCGCCTGAACTTCCTAATACATTTGTTGGCTGGATTTGGCCGTTATTAAAAATTAATGATGAAGAAATGCTATCCAATGTCGGCTTAGATGCTTTACTGGTAACAAAAAAAAAAAAAAATGATTCAGGGTTTCACGTTACACATACTGATTTTATTTAATTCATAATAGATGCTAAAATTTATCACCATGAGTATTAAGATATTTGGTATTTGTACTTTATTTGGTCTTACCATCTTTGTCCCCATTACTATGACCTCAGATATATCCCATTTGGGAGCTAATATAACAGCGATTGACCGAGTCTCGATTACTGCCATCGAAGAGGGCTCTAATAAGATCATTGCTTATCTTGTCTTTGCATACATCTTCACCTTTATCACATTTTTCTTTTTAAACCAAGGTTATAACGATTATGTGTATCTGAGAGCAAAATACGTGTTATCTCAATCAAGATCACTTGTAGCGAGATCGATCATTGTGACAGGCATACCAAAGGAGTTACGATCTGATAGGGCATTGGCTAATTATTATGAACAGTTGGGTATAGGTCGTGTTGAGAGATGTTATGTGGTTAGGACTGTGCATCGCCTAAATACTTTGATTAAAAGGAGAGCGCAGGCATTAAATAAACTGGAAGAAGCCTATGCTCGCTACTGGGGGAACCCTTGCAAGATTTCTGGATATGATCCGGATCGAATCTTGGATGATGCCGACATGTATAAAAGAGTATTAGAATTAGCTGATAAACGACAAAAGACATCATACGATAAGACATTCTTTAAGGGGTTAATAGAACCATCTTTAGGGAAAACAGTAGAAAAGACCCGTCATCAGAGACCTAAAGTGCGTATTGGTGGACTGCTAGGAATTGGTGGTAAAAAAGTAGATGCAATTGAATACTATACAAAGTTATTTGATGATTTAGATCAAACTGTCATAGAATGTAGACAGACACCCTATTATGAAATGACAAATGTAGGATTTGTTACTTTTGAAGATATAAATAGTGCGGTAAAGTTTTTTTTTAAAAAAAAAAAGAAAAAAAAAAAGAAAGAAAATATCCTTACCCTATTTATTTTGATGTAGATTATTGCTTCACAAATCGCTATTAACCCAAGACCTTTCACATGTCGAACAAGTATGGCTTGTGAGCCTAGGGATGTTCTTTGGAGCGCAATTGCTATTCGAGGCCGAGAAAGAATTATTCGTGAGATAATTATTTGGACCATAACCGTGCTACTTTGTCTAACTTGGTTCATCCCTGTGGGTGCAGTTTCTTCCTTGTTAAGTATTGATACTATAAAGAGATTGAATTCAAGATTGGGCGAAAAGCTTGAAAACAATCCTGTTACTAAGCTGGTCCTTGGATCCTTTGTGCCTCCCTTGATTCTTAACATCTTTACATCTGTTTTACCCATCTTTTTTGATAGTAAGTAAATATGTAATTTATACATTGAGATGAATCTATTTTTATTTTATTTTATTTATTTATTTTATTCTTTTTTTTTTTTTTTTTTTTTTTTTTTTTTTTTTTTTCTGTAGGCATGGGATACATTCAAGGGTTAAGATCACGGAGTGCAATAGCAGAATCTACTCTTAGCAAGTAAGTCATGCAGCAATGAATATTAACAAGCATTTATAACTTACTATTTATTTTAGACAATATTTTTTCCTGATCTTTTTTACACTAATTTTTTATTCTGTTGTGGGTACAACTGTTATGACCCTAGTTACTGATTTTACTAACAATCCGAAAGAAATCCCAACCTTTCTTGCTAATGTTTTACCTTCTGTAAATGCACTTTATATTCTATACTTTAAAAGATTTATTAACTTATATACGTATATATATATATATATATTTAGCTTGCACCTTTTTTCATCAATTATACCATTTTACAGAGTTTTTTAGTGTAAGCATACAGCTACTCATTTCTAACTCATATAATTAACTGTATATATATATAATATATAGTATGCCTTTAAACTTATTGTTATTGGGTGCAATCATCATTCGTGGCTTTAATCATCTTTTTATTTGCAAAACCCCTCGACAGCATGCCGAAAATCGAGCACCTTGGGCTTTTAATTATGGCATTGGATATCCAGTTCCTCTTTTAGTCTTTGCCATTGTCTTTGAATACTCACTCATTTCTCCTCTTGTTCTCTTATTTGGTACAGTTTACTTTTGTTTTACCTTTGTTGTTTATAAATACCAATTTCTATATGGTAAGTAAGAAAGATAAAGGATATATAATACATCATTTATAATGCTTATTTTTTTTTTTTAAAAGTTTATTTTAGGCCTTATGAAGCAGCAGGCAAATTATGGACAATGGTTATTCCACGTATCATTTTTACACTTGTTCTATTTCAATTAACTATGATGGGCTTGTTTTTATTAAGAGGATCTTATATTTTGGGCGGTTTAATTGTGCCTCTGATCTTTTTTACTTTTTTATTTCGATACATTTTAAACAGGGCTTACGAGCGCAATGCATTTAATTTGCCAATAGAGCTTTTGGTCAATTACAAAAGAGATAAAAAGAATATACACAGCAATGGTGATGACTCCTCCTCCTCCTCCTCGTCTTCTTCTTCTTCTGATAGTGAGGATGAAAGATCTCTGACTACTTCTCAACAGCTGAACCTTGAAGAAAAAAATAGATGGAAACGAGCTGCGATCTCTGCTGTCCATCTTAAAGATGATAACATGACAGAAAAAAATCTCGTCCGTCCTCATCATCGTAAGGTTATATTGGATGAAGACGATTATGAAGCAACGCCCGATGCTCTGACAGATTACCGACAACCACCTATGAAACTGAACTCAGGCATTTTAGACGCTGGATTAAAGAGATATGGTAATCCGTTATTGGTTGGTGTTTTACCACAACTTTGGTTACCGGTTAAGATACCTGATAGTGATCAACAACAACAACAGCGTTCTAATAATAATTATCATAAAAATGATGGAGGACGTCTTGCACAACATCTTGCTGAAATCTTGAGAAAAGTTGAACATGAAAAAGCAGTAGAGCAGCAACAACAAGAAGGAGACAACGACAATAATGAGGATACAATGATAAAAAAGGCTAGAATAGCAGCACATCAGAATGCAGCTTCTATTGTAGCGAAGACTCCGCAATCCAAAACTACAACCTTTCAATCCTTGTTTAGACGATGTGTATTTAAACAACATCAAGAGACAAACAAAGATATTGAAGGAGCATCTTCTATCATTGATTTGATACCTACACATGAATCTTCTAGTAGAAGTAGTATACATCAGACCTATTATCATCATCGAAAATCTCATGTTGCACGTTCATTAGATTTGGAAAATAGACCTGATATGATTAAAGACACTATCATATCAGCGAGTTCACCTGCTATTCTAAAAGACTCATAAATTGTATACAGATTACTCCTTTTGTAAAAAAAAAAATGCTGTTCTTTAAAAGGAAATTTTATATAAAATAATGAAATTCCAAGGTTATACCATAACTTTGTTTTTTTTCGCTTTTTTTTTTCTTCTTCTTATCTTCCAAATGAATAAGAATATGTATAAGGCAGGATTGTATATTGGCAACATTTACAATACTAGTAATATAAATAGATATATTTATATATAAAAGAAAATGAAAAAAAGAAAGAAAAAAAAAGTATAACTTGATAGACTAAACTCCTTTATTATTATTATTTTATTTTATTTTAGAACCGAGAAACAGTATTGAATATAGTGAAGGTAGATGATATTAATAGGCTCTCTATCCCTTTCCTTTTCTTTTCTTTTCTAAATTTATCATAGATGAAAGTGATTCTGAACTTGAATTAGCTCAAGTTCAAGAAGCCTCACGTATTCAAAGAAGTATACCATCCATTCGTTCAGCTAGTCAGCCCTATCAATGCCAGGTTATGGAACCTAAACTTGAACTTGGATATCAATGGCCTTCTCTATCAAGACAGACAGGCTTTCTTAAATTGACACCACAAATGTCTATTAGGATACAAAGACAAGTGGATCAATGGTTATTATCCACTAAACGACAAAAGAAGGTATACAGCATATAATAATAATAGTAATAATACAGTGCATTTATCTATCTTGTATTTGTAGAATCGTCGTTTAATTGATTCGTCGACAACTTATTTAAAAGAAACTTATAATACAATTAATCCAGAATTCTTGTATAATCAAACAAGTCGACCCAAACGTGTCTTAACAAAGCCAAGTAAACCAATCCATAATGAAGGATTCGATAATGAAAATTTTGATTACATTTTAAAAGTGAATGAGATATTAGGCCATGATCCAAATTACCAGTAAAATACATATACATGTATACATGTATACATACATACATATATATATATATAAGCAGAAATAGCGTATATAATAGTTGACTGATCTGATAATTAAAATAGATATAGAATCATTGATTTATTAGGTCAAGGAACATTTGGTCAAGTTGTTAAATGTGAGCATACTTCAACAGGAGAATTGTATTCAGTTAAGGTCATTAAGAATAAAAGCGCTTATAAAACACAAAGTTGCATGGAAATAGAAATACTGAAAAAGGTATTCAATATACAAATATATAAAGTCATTTCTATTGTATAAAGTACTTAATCCATTTTATTAGTTGAATCGTCAGTTGGATCCAGATGATAAACATCATATTTTAAGATTACATCATGTCTTTTCTCACAAACAACATTTATGTCTTGTATTTGAATTATTATCTTATAATCTTTATGACCTTATTGGCCATAACCAATATCGCGGATTCCCTATTGAAAAAGTAAGGGCTTTTGCTGTACAGATTCTAGACACATTATCTTTACTAAAAGAAGCCAAAATCATTCATTGTGATTTAAAGCCTGAAAACATATTACTAGCAAAGTAAGTATATACATGTATGCATACAAACATATACATATATGAAAAAAACAAAACAAAACGAGGAAAACTAATTTATGACTATTACATAGTGAAAAATCGCTTTCGATCAAAGTGATTGATTTTGGCTCTTCATGTCATGAAGCAAATCGTATTTATACTTATATTCAAAGTAGATTTTATCGCTCTCCTGAAGTTATTTTAGGTATGCGATATACAAATGCAATTGATATGTGGTCCTTTGGTTGTATTGTTGCTGAATTATATTTGGGCTTACCCTTATTTCCTGGTAGCTCAGAATACAATCAACTTTTTCGTATTGTAGAGATGTTAGGGTAAAAAAAAAAAAATGCATACAATAGTAAATACTTAATATATACAAACACATGTGTGTATGTATATATATGCATATATTCACTTCTTTTTTTTTAAAAAAAAAGCATTCCTTCAAGGGATATGCTTAGTAAAGGAAGAAATACGAATATTTACTTTACTAAACGTAAATTAGGACATGAATTTGAATACGAACTTAAATCTCGTGAACAGTACAGTCTAGAAAATAATAAAAACGAATTACCTCGAAAACAATATTTCCCTTATACGAATCTTAAGGATCTCATCTTACAGTTTAATGGTCGAGGAGCAACTGCTACTAAACGACCCATGCTAAGTCCTGATGAATATCAAGCAAGATTATGTCTCCTGGATTTTTTAAGTGGAGTTTTAGAATTAAATCCATTAAAGCGATGGACACCTCAACAAGCCACACAACACCCCTTTATTACACAAAAACCATTTAATGGATCATTCAAGCCAGATATTCCTATTGCAACAACAACAAGTAAGTTAGTTAAAAAGCTAGAGGGGAAAAAACATTATAATCATCATCTATATAAAAATGTGCTTAATTATAAAGTCTCTATTTAGATAATAAGAAATTAACACCTATAACACGTCGAAGAGCTGAATCGATGGGAACTATAACAGCTCCTGAGCAAATTCAAGCACTGGCTAACCAAATCATTCAATCCCCTTTACCAACCAAACAATACATGCAACAACCACAACACATTTATCGACAACGAAACACACGATCTCAAGGTGATGATTTAGGTCTTTTAGCTCCTCAACAACAAAAGAAAAAAGTCGTCATTGCCCCTGAAGTCAATATACGAGATGAAAATCGATCATCAAAAGCTCATACAACGAATAATTTATTTATGATGCGTCCAAATCCAGATACAAAAAGAAGCTATATGACACTATTCAAGAGACGCGGCGTCTAACGCCATGAATCTAAATCTTCTGGATTTACAAATACTTTTTCCCCATTTTCTCGAATCGTTTCCTTTTTCGTATCTCTTGCTAATGCTTTTCTCATATCTGAAATAAATAAATAAATAAATAAAAAGAAAAATAAAATAAAATAAAATAAAATAAAATAAAATAAAATAAAATAAAATAAAATAAAATAAAATAAAATAAAATAAAATAAAATAAAATAAAATAAAATAAAATAAAATAAAATAAAATCATTACCATAGGCATCCTCGTTTGTATGTCCTGCATAGTAGTTCCTTACTCTTCGATAGACAGAATATCCAAACTTACGATACATATCAATCGCCACAGAGTTTGAAATACGAACATAGAGGTCAACAAACCAACCATTATAGACAGACTCAGAGACTTGTTCAAGAAGGTTCATCATACCTTCTGCAAGGCCTAGACGTCGATATTCTGGAGCTACTGTAATAGCAGTAACGTGTCCATGCCAGTTTTTACCTGTGCCCTCTGTTTTGCCCATTACTAAAAAAAAAAAAAAAGAGAGACAGACAGAGAGAGTTATGATTATTATTCACTTTTGTAAATCATCGAATTTACATATTTACCATAACCCATAAGATGGTTATGTGGTGATACTTGAACACTGAATAAATCAGGCCAACGAGCAAGGTATTGAAGATAAAAGGAAATGTTGTACTATGGAAAATGAAGACATTAATGGACTTTTGAGAGTTATTTTTTTTTTCCTTTAAATTTATTACTGTTTCAGTTAATGGATCAAGATTGCTAATGACAATAATAAAAAAATGTTATTTTATACAATGGTAATTTTATTGAAAGAGATTTTAATTACATGTTATTAAATTCGAATAAATCAGTCGCCTTGAAACGTCTTAATAAACTCATCGTTAAATGTTTACAATAGACAAAAAAAAAAAAAAAAAAAAAAAAGGATTCAACAAAAAAAAAAAGTACCGGAGTTACAAAAAATGGTTATAGTTTCATAGTTGCAGTTTTTACACTTTAAATTTAGACGATGTTAGTATTTTTCTGGACGAATCCAAATTAAATATTCAGGCTTTTTCTTTACTTCATTACATTAGACACAATACTTCTGCAACGTCTGTGATTCACCTTTTTTTTTTTTTTTATTTTAAGAAACAGGGTTTTCCTTTTTGGGATTTGATGATTACAGGTGAAGAAAAAGTCTGAACATTTACCATCAAAGTGTCTGATTTTATTTCTCCTTTCGTCCAAAAAGTGTAAACAGAGTGTCTCCTCCACTTCGTGATCCAGGCAGGAAATGGCTCGACTGGTTGTCCCTTTAAACTTGTTAGCCATATTTCCCCCCTTTCTTTCACACCTTCTCTTCTTCTTCTTCCTTTCCTTTACCTTTTTTACCTCTTGTCCCGTAAGAGGGTTTTTAGATACTTTTTTTTTTCACATAATTTGAACTGATCTGGGCAATCCAATATAACAAAGATATTATGTGCTCACAGATCATTTTATACATTTTAATTTATAAAAATAATAAAAATGTTTAATCATATTGTACAATGTTTTAATTTTTTTTTTTTTTTTTTTTTTTTTTTTTTTTTTTTTTTTTTGTTCTAATATAAATAAAATGAAGATAAATTATATCCTTGTTCTTTCAATACCCAAGCCTCATTTAATTCACCAATATATTTAGAAAATGTGGATCGTGGTGTAGTAAAGATACGTCTTGCATGTGCTGCTACCATGGCATCTACTAAAGGTATCAAATAGGGTCTTAATGGTTTATTTGTATTAAATAAGCAATGCATCTTGTTTAATGGTTCAAACAGGGAATCCGGTATATCATTAAGTGTTAGTGTACAAGGGAAATAGTCAAACCATTCAAGGATACGACTGTTTTCTCCACGAATATCTTTGTGATCTGTAGCGATATAAACCATTGCCCTGGAACCGATATGAGTAGGTTCTGATAAATTAGGCGATACGCTTTGACACCAATTTGACCAAGGTGGTAACGTCAGATCATGTTGAGGCCGAAGTCGAATGGGATACTTGGGCTTATTTGGCGGTTTAGGTGATGCTGTTAAGATACCGAATTCGTTATAAGGAGGTAACGGAGGCACTTCAATGCCTGTTGCAATGGACATATTCCTTTCAAACTGATGTAAATTATCCATTGCATACTTACGAAAGGGCAAATCTTTCAATCGAAAATGGATCGCATTATACGTTGCTTTCCCACCTAAATGCTGTACAATACCTTTAACCGCTTCAGCTAAGGGTGTCATATCAAGTCGATATTGTAATGTCTCAGCAATCCTTTGTTGTAATTCAATATGTTCTGGTCGAATCATGTTGATCCGTGTTGATCCAAATACACCACCTAAATGTAATAGTCGCTCTTTACGATCTTGCCAATGCGCTGGAGTAAAAATCTTGTAAAATTTACGGTCTGTAAATGAATCTACAAAGTTAGATCCATTTTGAAGGATAGCACGAGCTTCATCAAGATCCTCATATAATCGCCAGTCATAAAGATGTTCATCATAATGAATATAAGTCTCAGCATCAGTCACTTTAAGATCGGCTTGTAACTGACGAAATGAAATTGTATTTTGAAATCTGATACGAATGTAGGGAGAGAGAGGACTAAAGTCGTGCAAATCATTCCAGCTGATAGCAGCAAATTGATGATATTCAGCACATTTACTTCGTTGTGTGTAACTGGAAAGATGACCTGGTGTGGGTAGTTGACAGATAGAATCAAAGTCTTTAGGTGTTGTTAACCAACCAAGATGATCGTAAAGCTGGTCCATTGGCATCCAGCCAACGACATTACCAAGAAATGCAGGTGGAATAATTAAAGTACGTTTTAATAAATATGCAAGTAATAAAGCATTAGCAAGTTCAATACGTTGATTCGATAGTCCTGAATGAGGCAAATAAGCTAAAAACCTTTCTTCTTCTTCAATGTTGTTTTTTAAATAATAATAATAATAATAATAATAATAATAAAGGATGATGATTGAAATGAATGTCAAGATGACAACGAATAATGATTTTCTTTGTTTTATCCACATTGAATGATTACATGAAACTGATTAATGTCGTAAATGCATTTATAATTGTAAATAGCTGTTAATGAATGAGATCTCGAAATGAATGTAAGAAACGAAACGAAATAAATGAATATTAATAAGAAGGGGTGGGGTGGGGTGGGGTGGGGGGAAGGGAGTACAGAGCTTTATTTTTTTGTGTAGAGTTGACTTTAAAATGAGCAACACTCTCTTCTCCACCTTTTTATTATTGTAAACTTAAATTTTTCAAAACATTTTCAGCCAAACTAACACTAAGACCTGTATTGTTAGGTTCAATAAATACTTTAACAATTTTGTCATCATCTAAAATAGCAGCAAATCTCTTGAAACGATATCCTCCAAGAGCTCCTGAAGCATCAAAGGAAAGATCCATAGCTTTTGCTAATTCTCCTTTCGAGTCTGCTAATAACGTGATATCCTGTAAATTATATTGCTCACCCCAAGCATTCATAACAAATGCGTCATTAACAGATACACAAGCTATTAAATCAATTCCCTTTGATTTTAATTCTTTTGCATGTTGAATATAACCAGGTAAATGACTTTTGCTACATCCAGGAGTAAAAGCACCAGGAACACCTTTAATGAAAAAAGGTAAATAAGGCTTGTATTATAGAATGATATAAAACTTACCAAATAAAATAGACTTTTTCCCTTTAAATAAGTCTTGGGTCATGATGGTTTCTCCTGGTGACTTTAATTGAAGTTGGACATTAGGAATTCTGTCTCCTTCTGCAATTAATAATCGACTTGTATTGTGAAAAGCACGACGTTGAATATAATGAAAAGTTGTACGTAACATGATTGAAAAGAAGAAAAAGAAGAAGAAAAAGAAAAACAAACTTTATTTTTTTTTTATTGGGGGTAAAAATAAAGCGGGTATTATATTTACAATTTGGTTATCTTACTGTTTGTGGACAATCAATGTCATCTTCAGAAAAGTCAGATTCATCATTCAAAAAGTCATTAATGATTGCCATTGTAGCTGTTATTGGCTTTAATATTTTGACTGATTCTTTAATGTTTAACGAAGTACTTGTTTGCGGCATAGACAATGACATTTCTGTCCCCTGAATAGGTAATGAACTTGATTCTTGTTTTGATTTATTTCTTTTTTGACTACTTTGGTTTTTCTCTTCTTCTTCTTCTTCATCATCGCGCCATCTCTTTTGTGCAATAATTTTTTCCAGTTTCTTAATCTTTTTCTTTTTTGTATTTAAAAGATTAACAAACTTTTCAATCATCAAGAGTTTATTTTTATTTTCTCTGATTATCATAGACTCTATTGTTTCTTTTAATTCAGCATTCGTTCTCTCAAGGTCTGAATTGCATTGTTTTAAAGCTCTACTTTTTTCCTATTTACAAAAAAAAATTTTAAAGAAATGCTCATGTGTACCTTTTATAGTATCTTACAATAGACACTTGAGAAGCTAAACTACAACGTCTGAACCATAATTCCTGCAATTTTTTTATTTCTATCTCAGACACCTTTGTTAAATTAAAAGAGCCCGCTGCAAAAGCAATATCTGCATTATATGTGCGTAATTTCATCTAAGTAAATATGTATGATTAGATCTTTTTTATGATGCTATTCATAATGAATCTTTACTCTCAAACGATCTCCTTCTCTGGTCACTCTCCATTCTAATCGGTCTTTGTATAACGATTGTTCACCCAAAAAAGCAGCCACAAGTACATTATTTCTTTCCTTTTCAATTAAGGCATTAGACACTTTAAAACAATCCATTAATAATCCATGAGTAACTAATAAATATAAATTTATATTCATATATAGTAGGCGTTTTATTCATTCTTTTTATCTCTTACTTGTACGTTGCCAATAGTCTTTCAAGTTGGTTACTGTAATACAACCATATTCTGTATCTGTAGAAATTTGTAGATCATTCAGGTCGAGTTGCTTATTAAACCATTCAAGTTGAATGTGAAATGTTTCCGTATCTACTATTGAGTCACAAAAGGAATATGTACAACTCATGGAGAAAAAAAAAAGCGAATCTCTTTTATGAGATCTATGCAACTTGTGAAAAAAAGGGAAGGGGTTATTTTTCTTCAGGTAATCAGGTTTATAACAGAAACAGGTCACGCTGCGAACCTGAATTTCAAAAAAAAGAGAATCCTTAGAAGTTCAGTTTCCTTAACAACGATTCTCTTTTTATAGAGTCTATACACTTTGAATTCAGACATTGCTTTTTTTTTTTTCCTAAAGTGTAAATAACCATTACTAAAGTAACAAAAATGGGCGAACGAAGGCCTTGCAGTTCGTTAATAAGTTTATACTTATTTGTCCCCATTTGTGAATTCTATCATATCCTTCTTGTTAGACTATTTACTTCCACTGACTTGTACTTTACCTCTTTATTATTGTTATTATTGATAATTCGTATTTATTTCTTACAACATTATAAATAGTATTATAGGAAGGTTTAAAAATAGCTCATTAAATACTTGGCTGCTTTGACGATAAAGTCAATAGTCACTTTTTTCATACAAAAACATAAAGTCTTTTTGCTCTGTTTCATTATTTAATTATATAGTATGGGCTTGAACAAGACTTATAAACTACATTCTTCAAATCTTTAGCATGTGTAAAGTATATAATTTAAGGGAAAATTACTCTTGATTAATAATATGGCATAGAAATCCAAAATTGTCATTCCCCATCCTTACAAAAAAAAAAAAAAGACGATCACCTTGTTAATTTGTGTTGAATCATAAACTGTTAATGAAAGGATTTTTCTTTTTTTAAAAAAAAAGTGAACATCAGCTATGCACTATAGATTTATAATAACCTGTTATGACATTTAATAGTAAGCATTTGATGGCCATTTTAAATGCAATGTGATTTTTTTTAACATTTATTTCGAAAAGATGTTGTTCCCTAAAATGCCGTTTTTTTTTTTTTTTTTTTTTTTTTTTTTTTTTTTTAATTTCCTCCGCCTATCTTTCCCTCTCTGTCTCTCTCTCTCTTTTTTTTTTCTTTTTTTTTTTTTTGTTTATTTATTTGTTTGTTTAGAAAAGCGTGTGAGAGAAGGTATCCTCTTTTTTCTCTTATTTCCCTAGGATTGTTCTCTTTCTATACCATTTCTTCTACGTTTATTTTTTTTTCTAAAAAAAAAACAAAAAGATAAATCAGAACCTACTTTTAGTATGACCCAATCATTCAGCATCAATGCTCCATCAGATGAATCATCATCTTCTCAACAACATTCATCTATTTTTTCTTATTTCTCAAACATCATTTCAGCTGCTAGACAATCAGCCACTGATGAATTTGAACGATTTTGCGAGACAATAGGAATTAATCAAAACAAAAAAGTGATATCACAACAACAGCCAAAATCAACCATGAGTGAACCTATATTTGGAAGAGTCTTGCCCGATCTTCAAAGACGCAGTTTAGTAAGAGATGTTAGCATACAAACTGAGCCCTCTTTATCATCATCACCCACTTTAAACGCCTCTCAACTTCCTTTATCTCCTGATAGATTGATTTTTAATAAATCCAACTTTACCCCCTCCTCTTCACAAAGGTCTGCTGCTTTTAAAAACTCAACTCAATCCATCTTACCACCATCAGAGAGCTCTTTATCGGTCACCTCCAAGAGGTCTCCTTATTTACCGCTTAGAAATAATAAAAGCCATTATGAAAGTTTTAGTGTTCAGTCATCAATAAATCATCATCTTGAACCAAATGAAACACCCACTCCTACTACTCCTACTTATAAAGCAATTATTAACGATGAGCCCCCTGAAGCCAAGACGAACGTCACTGATTTTTCATCTACTCGAATGTCACCAAGCAAGCGAAGGATATCGACTGTTGCTGAAGAAGAAAATCATAAAGATTATTCACACAACAAAAAATTAAAAAATATTCAAGAGAACAACAATTTATCACAACCTGTTGTCTCCCAAACCAGTCCAAGTTCTTTATCGCCATTTAGAAAACGTATGATGTCTATTATGGATGACACCACACCTCTTTATGAAGAGACAAAGAAGCAAAGGCTGAGCAATGATAGTGTCCTGACACAACAGATACCTACAACATGGAAGGATATTCCATCTCCTTCAAAACCAGTAATGCGTTTAGCTCTTGAACTTGAGGAAGCTATTTCAAAGTTATCTCCAGTAAGGCAAGAATATAAAAGTAGGAAATCAATAGAATCGAATAATGACAAGTCGATTCCTGTTACAGACAATAATAATAAATCATCGTCAGATTCTACGCAGAAGACTTCTCTTACTAATGAAGAACTTGACTTGCGAGTGGAAGCTCTTGAGCGAAAGGTGAAATATGTTAAATCAAAAGTAAGTTTTATTAAAATAATAAGTAATATAAAGTTAAACATGGTATTTTTTTTCTAAAAAAAAAAAAAACGTGTAGGTTATGGAATTTACAAATAGCTTTGATAATCATCTTCCTTCACCAACATCGTCGCATCTTATAAAAGAGAATGAGGGCAATACAGATTTAGGAGATGTAGTACGGGATCAACAAAAATATACACCTCCAAGCTATCATCCCTCATTCCTCTCTACTTATGAAAACCCTAAAGTTCCTAAATCATACTCTGACAAACCACAACAAAGCAATAATAAGGTACATTATATACATGCATACTTTGAAAATATACGATTTGTATATATATTAATAGCCTCTTATTGTAAAATATGTATAAATATGTATATAATAGTCTTTACTTGATAGTCATAAACATAAAATGCGTCAATTATTACCTCTGATCCCTAATGTGAAGCTTAGAAAAACTGATACCATTTTGTACGTTATAATGATAGCAAAAGAGAATTTTATTATTTATACTTTTGTTCTATAATAGGGGCCCTGATGGTGTTATGAAGCCTAATCCTTTTTGGATGGAAATATATAACCCAAGACGAAGAGCAATCTATTAGGGTATTTAATTGCTTATTATGTACAACTACATTATATACATTCAAATAATACATATCAAGATTCATGTGTTATTGATATATGTAAAAGGATATATCCAACATATTATTATTTTAATTATAGCTATAATAACCACTTAAAAGATGAGGATGCTTAAGCATTCTATTTGAATATACCTAAAATGCTCTTTAGCAGCAATAATTCTATTAGTCATTGTAGGTATTATTATTATTAATATTAATATTATATATGTATATATAAAACTTGAATTTTCATAATGGGGAGGTTCTTACACATGTATGTATCTTCAAGTATCGCTAAAAATAAAAATTGCATGGTATTTTAAATACTCGTGATCCCTTGGGTTTAATATAAAAATTGCAGTACTAAAATCAATGACCCTTATAACGAATGTATACACATATATTTATATAATTAAACTAATTTGAATCAGTGCCCAAAAGTATGAGTCAACGCGAGATTCATATAAATCTGTTAGCAGTTTGGGAAATAAAAGTCCTCTATGCAGTAGTTTGGCTAATTATTATTAGTCTCTTTTGAATTTAACATAAGAGTTAACGACACTTTTGTTTACACTAATCTTGCATTTTATTTATTATAACGTATGCTATAAAATATGTACTCAAACCCCATTCTTCTCTCTTCTTAAGACCTGCTGTCCTGTTAACTTGGGCAAGTACTGTTTAAATTCCTATTATTCTTTAGACTTATAGTTTATTTATACATAATAATTTAATAGATTCTCTCCTTTCACGGAATGAAAAGAAGATATCCAATTTAATTGTGGAATAAGTGTGTACACATACATAGTTGGATAATAAATACTAAAACCTTATGAAGCCTACAATAGCTCATACACTTTTGAAAAGAGAAAGGTTTGTACTAATAAAGCAATTTTTGGTAACAATAAATTCATTGTAATTCTATTTTTAAGCGCTTAGTATTACTTTTGTTCTTCTTTTTTCTCGTTTGCCTCCTACTCAATAAATTAGGATGTAACTTTCTCCATAATTCTCCCATGATCTGATGACCCTGCTTTTAAAGGTTTCTTTTCTTTTTTTTTTTTTTTATCTTTTAGAGATCTTTTGAGATACGATACACTGAAGATAATGCAGAATTCACTCTGTTGAATAAGAACGTACCTGAAGTAGGATAGAAGAAGCAATATTTACCAAATTTTGATTTCCTCGCAAATTACTTGTGACAATTGCTGTTAATAACAGCGCTCTATTTCTTAATAATAGATGAATTGAGTGTGTCTTTTTTTTTTTTTTTTTTTTTTTTTTTTTTTTTTTTTTTTTCAACTACAAGAATATTATAAACACATGTATAACTGCAAGGCTTTTCTTTTAAACGGTGTTTCCTAATTTATGCTTTTTTTTTTTTTTTTTTTTTTTTTTTTTTTTTGACTGTGTTATGGAATTTGTATTAATATAGTTAAGCATTCATCTTTTAAATACTCAATATCAAGTCCAGTCATTATCTATGTTAATACAAGTAGTATTTTTCTTTTATATTAATTGTTGGTAATTTTGATTTTATATAATTTTTCCATTTTAGTATTCATTTAACAGAAATATGAGAGCCAAAATAACTCAATTTCAATTACACCAAAATAGGAAAGTAACTGGTAATGTAGCAGTCAGTTAACCTAATAAAATTCCGTATTTTGAATTACTTCATTGCTTTCTCAAGGTAAAAAAAAAGGAAAACAGAGAGAAAAGCATGTGCAAACAAAATCAATGAAAAATTTCTCAGGAGCATATATTTCGATCAAAATTTGCTACTATGTATTTCTCTTTTTTACTTGGCTTTATTAACATAATTACTTGATTTGATTACAATAATATGCTTTACATTCGTATTGTTATAACTCAATTGTATGTAAACATGATATGTAAGTTTTGTTTTTTATATTATTGAACAACTAGAAATGCTTTATATTATCTATTTTCACAAGTACAAGCTTTTTTTTTTTTTTTTTTTTTTTTTTTTTTTTTTTTTTTTTTTAAGGAAAAAAAAAAAAGAATATATTAGACGCGTTGTTACACTTTGTAGCTTCTATATCAATATTACCTCTTTATCAAATTTATGAACAAGAAGAATATATAAATAGAGATCTATTTTATAGTTGTTGTTGTTTTTTTTTATCATTATCAAACAAAATTAAAATGCGTGCTTTCTCTATCTTTGCTGTTGCTCTTGCTGCCTCCGGTAAGTTGAATATGATTATTTAAAAGATAAATCTAATTTGTATTTTATTTATTACATCTAGTTAATGCTGCTACTCTTAGCAAGCGTGATATCTCTAGTGGTGTTCAAGCCTGTATTAATGGTTTCAATGACGCTCTTCCTCAACTTGGTACCGTTACTTCTAAGGTAAAAAAAAAAAAAAAATTGGTTTAAAAGGGAATATTATTTATGTTCAACTAATAAATATGTGCGTAATGTAGGTAAACAGCTTTACTAGAGCTGCTGGTTATCCTGGTGCTATTGCTGTTCATTCAGAAGAACAAAAGCTTGAGGCCCTTTTGAAGTCTACTACAACTGCCTGTTGTGCTGTTACTACTACTGTCTCTAACGAAGAAGCAGATGCTGTTATTAGTGTCATTGACACTGTTGTCCCTCAAATTGAAGCCGCTTTAGCTGCTATTACTGTCAAAAAGCCCGAATTCGATGCCGTCTTATTGGCTACTAATATTGTTAAGGGAGATATTAAAAATTTGGACTCTCAAGTTACCACTTTGGATAATTGTTTAGTAGCTGTCACTCCTGATAGTTATTTGGACGTAGCAAATGGTTATGTTACTCGAGTTAGAACTGCATTTGATACTGCTGAAGACGCTTATGGTATTTAAATAGATTCATTTCTTTACCGTCTCCCCCCTTTTTTTTTGACATAAAATCTATGTAAAACATTCCCTTTTACTTCTGAAATAAATAAAACAATAAATAAATAATATACATATATGTGTGTATGGTTTACATATTTATTTAATTATCTTGTATCATTTTTTTTTATTACATATCTATTTTAATTTGCTTATTGGCATGTAAATTACCCTTCTATATAGCTGAAGAAAATAGGTTGGGCCACAAAAAAAAAAAAAAAAAAAAAAAAAAAAAAAATTGGCCCATTTCAAAAAAAAATTAAGACATCAATTTTGAAAATGGGACAACTAATATAAAATAGGACATTTAAGACAGTACAGTTAGCACAACACTAAAGGGCGATTTTTTAAATAAAAGGGCTGTTACAATTTTCTCAAAAGGCAGTTTTCGATCCTCAGTAGATATTTTTTACAGTTTTTTGTGACATTTTATTAGATAGGATTGCCTTTTAAGCAATCTTTAAATATGTTTACCGAATGTTGTACAAATGCTCGAAGATGTTCTGGAGGAACATTATTGCAAGCCTCAGTTATTCTTGTTGATAAGTCCTCTTTGGTTTGAAATTGACTACGTTTGACCTTATTTTTAACTATGGACCAAAATTGCTCAATAGAATAGGATTAAGCTCAGGGGAATAAGGAGGGAGATAAATACACTTATATCCTCTCTCTGTCACCATAGTATCAATCTCATTAGATGTATGGATTGGCGCATTATCAATAACTATATAATATCCTTTCATTTCCGGAATGCAATCCATTTAATGCATTGTTTTCTGAATAAAATTCATATAATGGCCAGTGACAGTTCCCTTGGAGACAGACTTCTTTGGTTTTGATAGTGCTTTTCTTTTGCGATTACCAGAATCGATTTTTAGCCTTTTGAATGTGTGTTCCTGAGGATTTCGAAGCTCCATTGACACGACATACTTCACCGAGATTGTACCCAAAACTGTGTATGATACTGCTCTGATGGTAGGAGTGATTACAATAGCTGGTGTGCCCTTAATAGACCGTCCTCCTGGAGGTCTCATATTGATATCGAAGGCTGATTCATCGACAAAAACACAGTTTTCAAGGTAATCCATATCTGTTTTGCTCCACTTCTCAACCCCACGCTATGTGGTTTGTAATTTCGGTTGAATCGTTTCTGGGAGCTGGATGACGAGTGATTTTTTTTTTTGAATGAAAGGTTGCATTTTGTTTTGAGGAAACTTCTCACACTTGATTCTTTCAGTGTGAATGATTTGAATTTTTCAGTAAGTGAACAAACTGCATCCACAACCCTGGCTTAAGGATTACTGTCATAAAAATTTAAAAGGTGAATCTTATGCTTCTCATCAAGCTGGCCTGCTGATTTATTGATTTTATTGGTTTGTTTTTTTCGAAGATATTCCAATCTTTATCCTCTTTCAGTCTCCTAGCCCATTTCTGTGCAGTTCTTTCAACAACACCGCCTGCTAATCTACCAAATCTGGCAGCATTGAACTACCTAATCCTATTGTAATAGACAAAAAGCAGTTTCTGATCATTGGTGTAGTTGTTATAACTCCTACCCCTATTGATCTTTACGTTAGTGGCAATCTCCTCCATCTCAGCATCTAAGGCTTCCATCTCAGTGTCCTTCTGCTCTGTATTTTGCTTCTCGCAGTAAAGTCAAAGACGAGTTAACGTTTTTAGATGGAAGGGGTTAATCTCTTCTTCGTATTCCATCGTATCGCGCCCATTTTCATCATAAATATTTCCCTGGCCATCTTCATAAAAAAAAAAAGTATGAACTCATTTAACAAAAGTAAAGAGAATTTTAAAAACTGCCCTTTAGTGTTGCGCTAACTGTACAATAATAGTGGTCTGTACAATGTGACTAAAACTTGCGACTTATCAAATATCCCCATCACTATAAATACGAACTACAGGAAAGAAAATTCAAATAAACAAACCTGCTTTTTTCACACTATGGTTCATTACAATGTGGAGTTCTTTTGTAATCTGATCACTGTATTGCTGCAACTAATTACGTATACTTTATTGATCCATTGATATGAAGCATGTACAATGCTAGACCATCATTAATGGATAAACGACGTGACTTTTAGAAACCGTCACATCATACACGTCATATTGAAAATTTTGGTGTGAAAACATTTTCAACTGTTTCTCATCTGTTATTTATGTTCCATTTACTACTGATGTATTGAATATAATTCAAGAGATTAAATCAATACTCTTTGTCATAAAACTAGTTATTTTACATTCTGTCCAAATCTTTGTGATTTATTTATTTTTGAATTATTTAGGTTCTAGCTTAATGGTAATCTTTTTTGCAAAATTCAGTGATTTGCAAACGCATCGCTCAAACGGACTTGACAGCGTGGCCATTTGGCTGCAATGTGACACTCCAGCCCTCACATACTCAAGGACTTATTTGAAAGGTATGAGACCCGCTGGTCCGTAACAATCCCAGGAGCTTGATGGCTATCCTTGCTGTGACACCCCCACTCTCTACTGTGCGGTGCTATTTTGTGCTGCCTCTGGATGCATCGTGGGCAAATGGGATTGTGAGATGCTGATAAAGAACGGACTTGACAGCGTGGCCATTTGGCTGCAATGTGACACCCCAGCCCTCGCATACTCAAGGACTTATTTGAAAGGTATGAGACCCGCTGGTCCGTAGCAATTTCCAGGAGCTTGACGGCTATCCTTGCTGTGACACCCCCACTCTCTACTGTGCGGTGCTATTTTGTGTTGCCTTTGGATGCATCGTGGGCAAATGGAATTGTTGTCTCTTTATCATCACTGACTCACATTTCGTAACTTTCAAGAAGAAGTAATGTATAACTTGTATATGTTTTCCTATCCGAAAATAACTAACTGACTTTTTTTTTCACTGAGCATAATTGAATGGTAAACTCTGGGAGTAGATTTCTGTAGAAGAACGCATGAACGGCAATTTATAAATCTTTTATTCTTACAACTGAACCCACAGATGGATGTGATCTAGAATGACAGTAAAATTTAATGTAAATGTTTATTCGCAGGCACTTTGATAAATTTATACAGACTGAAATTGACATGTACGGGCGCTAAATGATGATACAGCCAATCAGCATAAAATAAAGCATAAGTTTGATCTGTTAGTACAATACCAAGGCAAACTAATATTAGGAATCATATACCAAATCCAAAGGATATTTGCCGATTGTCAAATACACACTCACGTCCATTATTAGTCATCAATTCATATCACAATAGTCTGTTTTGAAAACTATATAAAGACCAACACAATATTAGATATTTAAAGAAAAAAAGCTTGTTGGAATAAAGCCCAATTTAAATAGACTTTCCCTTTGGTTTATATATATATATATATATATATATATTTCTGCATAAAATCATCCTCAGTGTTATAGAACAAGCTCTGGATATAAGCATAATAGATGAACTACATAATAAAGGATAAATTATAAGCCTGAATATGAAATAAAACTCTGTATAGAACATCTTGTAAATAATATAAAACTTATTGACATCCAATCGTCTAGATGTATCAATTTTAAGACATCGTATCATTTCTAAAATATTTATTTTTATAACCTCGACAAAGGATTCAGGTCGTCTTTGATCCAATAAAATAAAACTATAAAAAATATCAGGAACATACACTCAGATCAAACAATAGATAATCCATAGAAATTAGTCTCTTGAATCAACAAGACGTATATATCTGAATACTAACACTGTTTCATGACTCATGTTCTTTGACGGTTATTTTTATTTTTTTGATTCAGGATTCATTAATATAAATACAAGCAGTTGTTTAGACACAAAATAATCGAAGAACCTTTAATCCTTATTTTTTTATTTTACTATTCTTTATTGAATAAAACACAGTTTCAAACTATACTTCCTTTTGTTCCTTTTTTCTTTTCTTTTTCTTTCTCTTTTTTTTTTTTTTTTTTTTTTTTTTTTTTTTTTTGTTTTTTTTTTATTTCTCTTTGATACGTTCCATCACACTCAGAATGATTCTAAATATTGGAAAATCAATTAGAAAAAAGACTGTTCGACATTTGATATCTTAAATATTGTTTAATTTTAGTATTCACATAGAAGTAATAAAGGAGAAAATATAGAATGATGCATAAAAATTTCATAAACATATTGGACACAAAAATAACATATTGGCCACAGAAGTAGGAAGACGTAAGTGTGAGCTTATTTTTTTTTTCAGGATATATAGGCAAAAAAGCCAAGGGTGTTGGCCATACATGGCCCTTGTATTCTTCCCAAATCTGGCTTTTGTTACTGTCTTCGGGCTTCAACAAAGAATTGATTATTTTCCCCTACAAAATAGAGTGACACCAGTTAATATTAGTAAAACGATAGAATGTTAATATATCATACCTTGAATGTTTGCATGAATTCCATAGACGTGTCCATGTGAGAGTACGTCTCGAAAGTCGTCGGCAAGGGAAACGGTGGTTGTTCTTGATAGATATACACACCTTTTGTCAAATCAAGGGTCATCTGAATAAGTACGACAGAAAGACCTTTCGAAAAAAGGAAGAAACATAGATATTTAGTTTTAAGGAAGTTTACAACAAACATCGTCTAATCTTACCCTGAACCAAAATTCCAAATGTCACTGCTTCATAGTGAGCTTTGGCATATTTTAATCAGATATGGAGCTGCCTTTTCATCATCTCCAATACGCGAATTCTATCTTCATTTAGACGCTCTTGAGACACACCAGGCTTCTTAACTTCTCCACAAGCAACTTCAATTACTTGACCATGCTGTCTGGCATGAATCAAAATATCGGGACGTAATTTGTTCTCGTCCACAACTTCTTGTTGTTTGTACACCCATGAAATAGAGTCGAACTCCATCTGCACATCATCATGAGAAGAGAAGAACGGCGACAAAAAGGTTGAAACGGATATAGCTATTAAATTTAGCTCAGAGCCTTTGCTCTTGATACGATCCGTACCATGAAGAAGGTATGTTGAGCTAAATATATTGTTTAATGATAACTCCACGAAGTTCGAACTTGGTTCAGGCTGATTATAGAATCTTTTGGCCAGAATAGCCCGTTTAAACTCTCTAATGTTTTGATAGACACTGTTTGGTAAGTCTACCATAGTATAGGCCTGTTCTTCATCAGATTCAAATATCACAGACAATCTTAAACGATTGACTACGTCTAATGGGTGCATTGAGTTATTTCGGGCCGATGATTGGGCATCAGCAACCAATGCCGCAAGTTGGCTGTCTGCGATTTTTATTGGCAAACTAGGAATGTCACTGCTATCAAGCTCAGGCATTCCCATTTTACATATGTAGCCACAGGGAGCGTCATCAGCCTCAGATACAACATATGAAGACTCGGACAAGATAATGGTAGGATTCTATATTCAGAACAAGAAATAAATCAGTAAATGCACGTGTTTGCTTAACAGTATTATCTTTTGTTACATACATCGCTATCAACGCTGATTATATCGGAGCTGATAAAACCCTCACGGATTACCTGCTTGCGTTGTCTCTTGTTGGATTCGCAGATTTCAACGGACTCTTGAATGCCCTCCATCTGACGTTTCTATTTGTAGTAAAAATTAGAATAGGATACGGCTAATTTAGATTGAACTTACGGGCGACTCATTCGAGCCAGAAACATTGCTTTCCTACATGAATTAATTAGCTCACACATAAACCTTTCATGCTGTATTTTAACTTACTGAGCCAAAAATAAGGGGTTGTGCTCTAGAACTGATGTTGGCATTAATGATAGGCATATCGTCTTGATCGCTTTGGATTGCCGTTAATATTTCTCTCAATTCTTCGTCCTTTTGTAAAATTTAGTGATATCTTTAATATAAAAGAATAAAATCACTATACTTACTGTAAATGTGGTCTTTAATCTCCTCAATTGATTTTTCTTTTGGAGATCAGCCGATTCCATGCAACAAGAGATATCATCGATGTAATGGACTAGAATCTTTTTTAAAGAGCTTAGATGGGCTTTCGAATAATTGGTGTGAGTTTTTAAGATATACTCTTTAAAGTGAAGATTTTCGTTGTTTTGAAAGAAATCGGTACTATTCATTATTATGATAAAATAAAAGAAGCGGATTTGGACTAGTTGTAAAAAAAAAAAACGAAAAAATAAACGTGGATTTGGACCACAGTTGTAAAAAAAAAAGACATACTGGATTTTTCTTCCCTATATGCGGCTTTTAAAATTTTGTTTGCATCTGTGATCCGATTGATTTTGCACTTATTTTTTTTTTATTTTGCACCCAGTTATTTTTTATTTGCACTAGTTTTATTTTTATTTTTGCTCTGATTAAAATACGGTTTTGTACTCTTCCAATACTAAAGAAATGCAAATTCAAAAATATTACAAAGTAAATCTCAAACGCAAATAATAAGTAGAAAAAAATAAAATATTTCAATAAATTATAATGCAAAATAAAGTCAAACTTATATGTTTATTAAAAAAAATTATAAATTTGTCTCTTTATTGAGACAACGCTCAAAGAAAGAGATTGAATGTCGGATCCGTCCCTCGCAGTCAGCAGAAGTCACCTTCTTGGCAGAATCCAAAATCCTTGGTGTAAGCTGGGCCTTCTCACTAAGCTCCTCCCGACGCACATCAAACTTTACCTTCGACCAAAATTCTTCTATTGGGTTCAAGAATGGCGAATAAGGAGGAAGATATAAGCATTTATATCCTCTTCCTTCAATTAGACTTCGAACTAATTTAGACGTATGAATTGGGGCATTATCCATTACGAGATAACGACCCTGTATATTACACTCATCAAGAATATCCATGATACTGCTAATAAACTCCAAGTAGTGCTCTGTTTGAGTTCCGATTCGACCATTGATGCTCTTCGATGATCCGTCTTTAGTTTTTCTTTTCTTCGAAACCACTTCCTCAGGCTTCTTCAAAGTCAGATTCACCACACCCTTCTCACAAATAGCGCCCATCATTGTTAAGGTGATGCCCCATTGAGTTGGAACTTCGACCTTTGCTGGTTTTCCGCGAACAGAGCGGCCAAAATTTCTCTTGATGTGCATATTAAATCCCGCCTCATCAAGGAAAACGCAGTTAGATGAATAATCCAAGTCGTCTAAAGATTGCCATTCTAGTAGACGTTCGCAACGAAGTTCTATTGTATCTTGAGAGCATCTTTTCGCGGGCAGCTTTTCAAGCTTCTTCATAGTCAAACAACACTTCTTCACCAAGTGCTTCTGAAGCCCAGACAAGGTGATAGTCAAGCCTTCAAATTCTTTGCATAAGGCTTCCCTAGCTTGTGCCAATGTATCTGCAGGATTTTTCTCATAAAGTTGTACCAAGAACTTAGAGTGGTCATCAAAAAGTTTCTTGTTTTCTGTTTTCACAGGTTTCTCTTCAATTGCTTGTCCAGAGACATCAGAAGGGGGTTCGTATTCAGCTGCTCTTCGCAGTCTTTCCTGACGGATATAGTTCTGACCAGTTCTAATGACGATACCAGTCTTCTCAGAAGCAGTTTTTGCTGTCATACCACATTCGAATACCAAATGGAATAAATCTAGGACTTGCTTTTCAGTATACTTACGATATGTTCCTCTTTTACTGCGAACAGGAGTGACAGGAGTAGACGGAGCAGCAGAAGGTGTTTCAGCTAAAGGCACCTCTGATTCTTGAGATACTTCGCTTTCAGAAATGATATTTCTGTATTCCATAAAAATCAGAAGTTGCATCGTTGAATTGTTGTTAGGTTCACCAGCTGGATGACTCGTCTCCCATTCCATTACCGTATTTATGGAGAGACTATTATCTACGACACGAATATGTTGTTGCTCCCCAACAATATTATTTATCAACCCGTCCATAGGTGCGAAAGTAAGATCACCTGCTTCATTGTCAAAGTGGGAGAGAAGGGATAAAAAAACAGCATTAGAAGACATGATAAATTTTTGTTTTGTTTTTAAAAAAAATACGAAAAATAAGTGTTGAATAACTTCAAATATTTTTAAATAAAAAAAGATCGAACTTTCACAAGATCCCAAAATCTCAACTTCTCAATCGAAAGGAATTTCTCGAGAGAATTTCTTGAGACCGTCGGAACAAAATAGGAAATGTTATTATGGTAGAATCTTCTTGAATCTTTATTTAATAGCGAATTCAAAGATATATAAAGGAATGAAATTCTAATATTATACTATCAATCTTCTTTTTCGCTCGGTCATTACCAGCTTACTTGTCACATACATTCCTATCAAGTTGCAAGCATTTCCTTCCTAACATTTTCTTTTCCTAAAATTTTAAATGTCCTCTCTTGAAGAACAATTCCACATGATGCAGCAACAAATCGCTGCCCTACAAGAACAACTACAGAATGCTACCACTACCTCGATGCAGTCAGCGGATGACACTGCTATCTTACCTCTACACTCAATGGGTACCTAACCCCATTACGACTGGTCTCCTTCAGAGGGTCTTTCTGAACTTATGAATTTAAATGCTCCATTGAATACCTCACCTTTACTTACTGACTCCGAACGTAAGACGATCATTGAGTCTTACCCTCCCATGGCCCATTTGGATTACAAAGCACCCGCTACTATCCCAACAGCGGAGCGCCTTATGAATAAAGGCCAACGTTACGAAGACAGTTCCATCAAGCAATTCCAATATTCGTTATCTGAAGTTTATCGTCCCCTCGACATTCTTAGCCATGAACTTGTCTCCTCAGAAGCTGGCAATCCAAACTTGGAACGCTATTGTACCATGCTTTAGGATATACGAAAATTGTTGTTACATCTCGGTGCATCAATGACTCAAACCCGTAATAACATTGCTCTTCGTGCGATTGATCTTTCATTCTCTAGGAAGCCTACAAATGAAGTTAATTACACTCTCCCTTTGGATGTATTCCACGACACTCTGATTCAACAGACTGCGGCAAGAAAGGCCACTCGGGAAGCAACCATCAACAAACGCCAGCGTCGTCGCTTCCAAAATGGTAATTCTGGCTCGAACAGCTCTTTCTCAAACGTTTCAAATCAGCAGTTTTTTCGAGCAGGTCCACCCTCGCAGCAGGGTAGTTTTCTCAACAACACCAACAGCAGCAACAACAGCAGCTCTCGTCCCAACAACAGCAAAAGTGGCAACAACAACAACTACAACTACAGGAAGAACACCAACCCATTTCGTCAGTAACCACATCAATACTTACAGCTACAATACTCGACCCAGTAGGATGTTGTCTCAGCAAATACTATTCAAACTGGACAAAATTTCCCATCAACTCATTCGTCGACACCATAATTCAACACGGTTACAAGATTCATTTTCATACTGCTCCACCTACAACAATAAATCCAATATCAATTCACCCTTTATCTCAAGATCAAATACCTCTGATCGATCAGACCATCCAAGAACTCTTATCCAAACAAGCAATAGAACCTGTTTCCCTAGAATCGGCTCAACAAACACCAGGATTTTACAGCTCCATGTTTGTCATTCCCAAGAAAAATGGGGGCATTCGCCCAGTCTTCAATCTCAAGCGCCTCAACCAATACCCTCACGCTCCTCATTTCAAAATGGACGCATTACGAGAAGTATCATTAATGATCCATCCAAACGATTACCTAGTCTCAATTGACTTATCGGACGCATTCCTTCATATAGGTCTCCATCCAGACTCAAGACGGCTTTTACGTTCGAAATGGAAAGGTCAAGTCTACCAGTATCGTACAATCGCTTTTGGTTTAGCCTCAAGTCCCTATGTCTTTACCAAAGTATGCAAGCCCATTTTAGAACACTTACGCTGTCAAGGCATCAGGATCTTCGCTTACTTGGACGACTGGCTCTTGGTAGCAGACAGCAAAGAATTAGCTCTTCAACAATCTTAAAAGGTGGTTACTCTTCTTCAACAACTAGATTGGCTCGTCAACTTCAAGAAGTCGATCTTAACACCCACGCAACAACTAGAACACCTCGGCTTTGTATTGAATACCACAAAGATGACAGCGGCTCTTCCTCTCAAGAAACTTCGCGACATCCGGCGATCGATCAAGCAAGTGTTGGACACGCCCAATCGTCAAACTCCTCGAGTAATACATAGCTTGACTATGCGAATACAGGCAGCTACGTTTGCATTTTTTTCAGCTCGACTGTATACTCGACATCTCCTGTATTACAAGAATCAAACGGTCAAGACGGATGCCGATTGGGACAAACCTCGACCATTAGATCAAGCCAGTCTGGAGGAACTCTCATGGTGGTATCACAACCTCAAGAAATTGAATGGTCGCTCATTCCTACCGTCAACACCGACTCAAACTATTTTTGTGGACGCGAGCGACACGGGTTGGGGCTGCAGTTGGAAACAGCATCGAGCTCATGGTTATTGGACTTCAATGGAGGCGGAGCAATCAATCAATTGGAGAGAGCTCAAAGCGGCCCACCTGGCTCTCAAGACTTTTCCTATTCCGAAGAAATCTACAGTGCTGATCAAGACAGACAACACCACCAGTCTTTCATACATCAACAAACAAGGCGGGACACGTTCTCTCCCATTACTGGAACTGGCAACCGAAGTTTGGAATTGGTGCCTTCACAACAAGATAATGATTCAAGCACAACATATCAGTGGAATACACAACACTATAGCCAATATGGAATCTCGTCGAACATTTTTCAAGAATCAGTGGCAAATTCGCCCATCGATTTTCCACCGGATGAATCAACTGTTGGGCCCGTTCTCGATCGACCTCTTCGCCGACAGGACAACCAAACTGTTACCAAAGTACGTGTCTTGGCTTCCCGATCCGGACGCTATCCATACGGATGTGTTTACCATCCCATGGACGAAGTTTCCGCATCCTTACATCAATCCACCTTGGAACCTCATCACTCGGGTACTCCACAAGATTATACGAGAAAAACTTCCTCGGGCCACTCTAGTTGTGCCATACTGGCCCAGCGCGATTTGGTTTCCTTTAATTCAACGTCTAGCACTAACGGATTCATGGCTCCTGCCCCCACAATCGGTGCAAACGACATCCCCAAGACTCCACACCCACTGTTACCTCGGAGTTGGATGCTCTCCGTGTGGACATTATCAGGAACAAACTAGTGCGTAAACACCTCAATTCACAAGCGGTTGAGGATCTACTAGTAAGGCAGTTGGCAAACAATGGGACTAATCGGGGCTACCGTAAGAGTCAGTTACGTTTTCTGGTCTGGGCTACTATTAACGGGATTTCTTATACGGCTTACACTCCTACGGATCTAGTAAACTTTCTGGCTGACATGCGTCAAGAGCATAATCTACTGGCTTCCACTCTTAAGTCTTTACGTACAGTGGTGACTCATCTCCATGACAACTCTAAAAGTATTAGTGAAAGTGAACTGATTAACTCTTATATAGACCATATGTCAAAGGAAGATCCTCCAGTGTCTATACACCGGCCAACTATCGATGTGTCTCCAGCTTTTGCCTATGCTCGATCTATTGTTTCCAGATCCTCTACTCCGATCCTGTTTTTGCAACAGAAATTGGCTTTTCTCCTGGCAATGGCTGCTTTTCTCCGTCCGTCTGATTTGGTTCGTATCCCCTATGCGTCGTGTACCGTACTAGAAAATGGTCATCTTCAGTTTCAAGTGGTCGCACCGAAAGAACACTCGCAGTAAACGCCGTATTATCAAACCTTTCACGGTTCACCCGCATACTGAGGATTACGAATTATGTCCCGTTCAATGCTTTAAAGCAATCCAAGATCATCCGGCTCTACAAGCTCGTCCAGACAATTCGACTCTCTTTGTCAAGTCCAACAATATAAAAGAATCGTTATCCGCATCGACTGTTTCTAAGTGGTTACATCGTCATTTCATCTCTTTGTGTACAAATGAACCTGGGGTCTCTATTCAATCGTTGGCATCTTCTAGGGCATTAGATCTAGGTATTTCTCGAGACAGCATTGTGGCTCTTGGTAACTGGGCTTCATCAGAAACATTTGTTCGTCATTACCAGCGGAATCAAATGGCGCAAGTTGACTTTACATCGACGATTCTATCCAGTCAAGACGAATTTTTTGATGCTTCTGATTCCTTTCAAGCTCTGGATTAGCATAATAACATTTCCTATTTTGTTCCGACGGTCTCAAGAAATTCTCTCGAGAAATTTCTTTCGACTAAGAATTGCTATTTAGACCTGAAGAACAAAATAGGAAATGTTATTATGCCCACCCTTCAAATTTTTTATTTACTTTATTATATTTAGTCTTTCCCTCCCTTCTTTCTTATTATTTGACCGAGCTCAAATTCGATTGATAGTATAATATTAGAATTTTATTCCTTTATATATCTTTGAATTCGCTATTAAATAAAGATTCAAGAAGATTCTAGCATAATAACATTTCCTATTTTGTTCTTCAGGTATAAATAGCAAAAAACACCCTTTAATGTTGCGCTAACTGTACTGTCTTTAATGTCCTATTTTATATTAGTTGTCCCATTTTCAAAATTGACGTCCCAATTTTTTTTGAAATGGGCCAATTTTTTTTTTTTTTTTTTTTTTTTTTTTTTTTTTTTTGTGGCCCAACCTATTTTCTTCAGCTGTAAAAAAGTGACTATGGAACCTTTCTTTTTTAATCTTATGCAACTCCTTCATTGTCCAATCAAATCATTTTATAAAATCTATTTTTTTTCTCTATTGATAACAAATACAATAAAGAAATAGTGCATAAAAATGACCAATATTGTATGCAAACTACAATAATAAAAGGATAAAGTGCATTTATTTAAAGGAAGATTCTTCTATATTTTTAGTAGTTTCACAGAAAACTATATATTACCTTTTAATATCGTTTTCCTTTCTTTCTTCTTCTTCTTCTTTTATCTCTTATCTTATTATATATCCTTTTCTTTTTTTTTTCCTTTTCTTTCTTTCTTTCTTTTTTTTTTCTCTCTAAGAAAAAACAAATCAATAATTATGGATAGGTTACCGACCGAAATCTTTATAAAAATTACTTCATATCTTTCACTAGATGACAAACTTAATTGCATTCTTGTTTGTTATAAATGGTACGATTTAATCAAGATGGCCCATTTGTATAAATCTCTAGATTTTCGTAAACAGGAAAAACTTCAACAAGCCATCTTATTCTTTCATGACTATAATTACAAACAATCAGTTCAGGATCTTATTATATCTGATTGTTGCAATTCAGTTCATCGACGTGCTAGTCTACCAGCTACATTCCCTAATCTTAAAACACTCAAGTTTATTGCAACTGAGGAGCCTAAAAGTATACCTATTGATCAGGATAGTCAACTTAAAAAAAATGTCCAAATGTGGCAAAGGCTTGAACGAGTGACAGAACGATTACGCTATTATTCAATCACACTCTGTTTATTGCGATCACCACAACCTGTCATTAATCTCCGCTCTATTCATATCATTTATCACAGTGATCAATTCTATGAAGAATCAAGGCATGCAGAGAACTACTACAAGTTTCGATCTCTTTTGAGATACATTAAGAATGCACCCCATTTGGCTGATCTAAGCATCTCCAATACCTTTATTAGTTTAAAGGACCTTGAAGAAATTCATCATAGCTGTCCTGAACTCGAAACTCTTGCCTTAAATCATGTCAATATGTCATTCTCTAATAGACACATCAATATGATCTTAGGCGCTTTTCAAAAGTTTAATCTAAGTGGGGTTCATGTTTGGAAATCAGCTGATAGACTACACTCTTTAACTATCTCTAATACCCCTAGTTGTATAGAAGAGGATATAGTTATTCATAAAACATGGTTGCATTATTTAGGCCAAAAGTATCCAAATCTATCTCATCTTTCTTTATGGATGCCATTACCAGATAACACGACGTCATCAACATTACCTGTAATAGAAGAAGAGCTCATTACTAATTTTTCTTACTGGACTCATCTTAAGAATTTCAACATGAATATATACCCTTTTACATCTAAAATAATTCAAGCGATGAATATGAATGATTTGTATTTAGAGCAACTAACACTATATGGTGATTCAAGTGAACTAGAGAAGCAGCTTTCTTGTCTAAAGTCTTTAAAACGAAAAGAAAATATCAAGGATCTTATATTAGAGTATAGGAGAAAGAAAGTGACAGACACGACGACCTCTTCATCATTTTGGTGTATACATCAAACATCTATACTCATTGAAACTTGTTTATTGAAAGAATTCAAACAATTGTATCATTTGTCAATTACTTCTAAAGAGGGAATTATCTTTTGTAATCTTGATACGTTTACTGCTCTTTTACGGTCCATCCCTGAGCAACTTCAAACTTTGGAAATCGAGGGCTTACTTCTTGAACCGTTATCGACACATCATGATAGTCAAGTAGTATTAGAGCATCCAATTCAACTAAAGCGGTTAAATATTAAAAACTGCTTTATTACTGATAATGATGAACAACAACAGCTAGCAATTCTAAATAACTGGTTAACATATCAATTGCTTCCTAACTGCCCACTTTTAACATCATTTGATTTTGATGAACAGTTTGCAGTAAACAAGTTATTATATGACGGGCATAATCGAAGTATATCTGTTTTAGGACTAAAAGCAGATATATGATAAAGCTTGTATTATATTACCTTTTATATATGTATATATGTGTATACATATTTATATTTATTTGTTCTTCTTTTGTATTCTAAATAACTACAATAAAAAAAAATGTATATTATTTATAAAGTATTACTAAGAATTAAATACATGTATTAGAGTTTAATTATTTTTTACAGACTCTGCAATTCTTTGCTTATATACATGTATGTATATAAAGCGGCTACTTTATCCCAAGATATACAGACAAGCAACAGTTCCTCTTCTATTCTTATTCAGAATACAGCCCAGAGAAATGGACAGCAACACATGATCCATTTTTAATGATGACTACTTATCACTCAACAACGTTATGAATTACTAACTTTTATATGTATCGAACAAGAGGTTGTTCATATCTATAATTATATAAACAACAACAACAAAAAATAAATAAAAAAAATAAGCTTTAACAGTGCTTCTATAATTGAATTTTCGTTTATTCAGTTTTCAATCATAACGCTTTAACAGCAGCTAGATTGTATGTTTTAATTATTTTATCTTTCAAAACTGCTTGGACTCACAAGCCCTTTTATTGGATTAAAAAAAAAAAAAAAAAAAAAAAAAAAAAAAAAAAAAAAAAAGAGTTCTTAACAACTCAGATGTAGTACTATTGTAGATAGTCTTATTAAGTTGCATGTGAAATCATTTTACATATCAATCTTATTTTTTTTTTTTCTTTTCTCCCCTTTTTCCTTCTCCCTTTTTTTTTTTTTTTTTTCTCACAACCATAATTCCAACATGTTCCCCTCTTCTTCTCCTCTATGTAATTCTACTTTATTATCGTTCATGAATCGTAGTTTCAGTACGGTAGTGAATAAGAAAAAAGAGATTAAGCATGTGACTATTATTGGAGCAGGACTTATGGGTTCAGGTATTGCACAAGTTGCTGCACAAGCCAACTTTACAGTTCAACTTACGGATACCTCTGATAAGGCACTTGAAAATGCGCAATCCATTATCATGAAATCCCTCACTCGAGTTGCCCGAAAACGATTCCCCTCAGATGAAACTCAACAGGGGGACTTTATGGACCAGACGCTAAAGAATCTTCATTTCTCTACACTTCCAGTTCCAGAGTCGACTGACTTGGTCATTGAGGCTATTGTCGAAAACATGGAGGTTAAACAACAACTCTTTAAAAAATTAGATAAGGAACTAAATAAGGATGCCCTGTTTTGTTCAAATACTTCCTCCTTGCCTATCTCATTGATTGCACAGGCAACTTCTGATAGTCGTCGCTTTGCAGGCTTGCATTTCTTTAATCCAGTACCAGCTATGAAGTTGGTAGAGGTCGTTAGGACTGATCGTGTGACGAATGAGGACTTTGAAAGCTTGATGGAATTCTCGAGACGTGTTGGAAAGACACCTGTCGCTTGTAAAGATACACCAGGGTAAGTAAGAAAAAAAAAAGAGAAATAGAAATAGAGAGAGAATAAATGGCATCGATTTATTTACATATCTTAGTTTTATTGTAAATCGTCTTTTGGTACCTTATATGATGGAGGCATTCCGTATCATTGATCGTAAAGAGGCCTCTATTGAAGATATCGATACTGCCATGAAATTAGGTGCCGGTATGCCAATGGGCCCATTAGAACTTGCTGATGTAAAGTAGACTCAATATGTATTTATATACGTAATCTATTATTTAACAGTTTAATATTCTTTTAGTTTGTTGGTTTGGATACAATGAAGTTTATTGTAGATGGTTGGGAAAAAGAGGGTAAAATAGATCCTGCTCTTACAAAGCCTTCTCATGTCTTGAATAAACTTGTAGATGAAGGTCATTTAGGACGTAAATCTGGTAAAGGTTTTTATGATTATTCTAAAAAATAATAAAATAAAAAAAAGGGATTTATTTTTTCTTAAACAAAAATGAAATGAAACGAAATGAAACGAAACAAAATAATAATAATAATAATAATAAAAGAGAGAAAGAGATCTAATTATATTCTACAACGGCATATTTGCCACTAAATCTCCATTCTTGACGAGTGGCTCTACTCTCAATATCTTTTCGAGTCTCCTCAGATAAACCTACTACGGGATCTGCCTTATTGGTACGCAAGGCAATAATGTGTGTAAAGTCGTTTGCCATGGCAGGTCCAATAGCCTCCTTAAAGGAAGTTGTAACTGGCCAATCGCAGTCAAACACCAATTTACGATAATTAAGATCTCCTTTATAAAGCACAACATCAGCCTTTTTCATATCCTCAAATAAGAGTGGAGCATCTGATTTCATGTACCAATACGATAAACCTGAACACCAAAAGTCATCAGAACGAACTTTCAATTGACCGCTTTCATAATATCCTTGCCAACGCTTTATCATTTTCTCCAACAGCTCAACATCGTCCTGTGAACGACTGTGAGGGAAAAAATGACGATCGAAGCAACACTTGAACAACAGGGGTATATCCTTTGGCATGACATCGGATACAAACCAAGGAATGGTCTTGCAATGAAAGACGACTTGAGCTGCTCTCTTGGATTGAATTAACCAATCGGCAAAAACCATATCCACAAAGACCTCAAAGCCCGAATTATCCAGAACGAAATCAACACGTCCATTTTCTAATTGTTGAAGTTGAGACCATAATTTCTCGGTATCATCTACCAAGATAAACTTTTTACGTTCAGTCAGGTGTTCCTTTTCGATGGCTTGGAGATGTTTAATATCTTCTTTAGAGATGTTGGTTAACAAACTGAGGTCAGTGGCATTACCCCAGAGACAGACTTGAATTAGTTCATGGTAAATGAGGTCAAGTGCAATATCCTTTGTTCCTTCAGTAGCAGTTTGAATGGTCTCCAAATTATTTTGCATTTTGCGAGCTAGATCAAAGACTGCTTCATGAGAGCCTCGAAATGTTTCTATCTTTTGTCGTTCAAAGGGGTCATAATTTTGCCAATATTGTGTTTGATTAAAAATTTCAGTCAGTCGGCGATATAGATAACATTCATTGAAGAGCCAAGTACTTGTAAACCAAGTTAAACCATTAAAGTAAGTCTTGAGGTCGTTGTTCCACTTTTCAGTGTCAGATGCATTATCCTGGATAGGTCTATCAGAAAAAAAAAAGTAAGCTATTTCATCCAAGTGTGTAGGTTATTGGCTTTATTATTATTATTATTATTATTCTATTTATATATTTATATATATACCTAAGAGGTTTATCTTCTGCAATTTCCTTTTTAAGAGCTTCACATGCGTTAATAACTTGAACACCTTCTTGAGCGCGTTCAGGTGACGATGTCAAAATAGTTTGTTTGACATCATCAATGACTCCATTAATAATGATGGGCCAACGACGGATGGTTGTGTCATAAGCAAAACTTTCTGTATTAGTTGCTCTATATGCTGGATAAGGTGGATTATTTGGTGAAATCGCTGTCATGTTTAACTAATGAAAAAATAGAAAAAAAAAATAGTTTCTTTCCTTTTTTTCTTCCCTTCACTTTATTTTTATTTTTACCCGATCAAAAAATAAAGTTCCAATGCGGTATTTCAATGATTATTACATAATCAAACACCTATCATAACAATGAATCCAGTTCTTCAGTTTTTTTGAGGAATCTATACATTACATAATAGTACTGTTTAGAACTCTCCCCACTCCCTTTTTTTTTTATGTATGTATGTATGTATATATATTTATTTTCCACCAAAGACTATATTCAACCATGTGGTAATAAGAGGCAGCAACAAGTCTTTTATTTTTAATTTATTTTAGTATGAATAATCGTCCTGTATTTTATCCAGAGCATTTATTATGATGATACTTTTTTCATTCTTTATCAATCGAATTTATACAATGTGGATTAAAACATTTTCTTATCATGAATACCTACAACATTCATGTTCTCGTCTGAATATTTCAACTATTCGTGTTACGTTTAAAATTGAATTTTATTATTATTATTATTATTTGACGAAATGAGCACATAGCATTTTTCATCTGCTGTATTGCCCTTAGTCAGTTCTAATAGTATATAAGTAAGAAAAACACTCTTAAGAGACAAAAGAGAAAAGAATAAAAGTCTGTGTGTTAAAGATAAAATGAATATAATGAGTTAGAGAGGAACAAAATAAAAAGATCAGTAAGATAAAATTCAGAGACAGTACAAGGATATTAACACTTTTTCAGTTGAGTAACTATCTCGCTAGTAGTGCACCGGGTTCTGAGGGAGGAACTGAAGATGGCTTTTTTATGTAGGGTGATACAAATAGATGACCAACGGATTCTCTAAGGAGCCATATCCTGTGGGCGTTTTAGCTTTTTAGTTGGTTGGCTGGTTGGTTCAGTAGGAAGGAGAGTGTGTCTCTGTGGCCGTTCTTGGCATTTTGGAGTCGATGGTTCATATGTAGGTAGACACTTAATAGAATGAGTACAACTGAACGTTTGAGAAGGGTATGGTAGGGACATGGATGAGGTATACCCTCAGGTAGGTATACCAAGCACTGCGGGTTGTATGAACGGTTGCAGTTTTTGCCATATGTGAGATTGATCTACTGTATCGTATGCCGATTTAATATTAGGAAAAATCAGCATCAGTTTGAAGTGATTTCATGGTTGTAAGATTTTTAACTTAACTCAATAAGATAAATAGTCATGATAGAATATATATAGTGCACTTCTGTGATGATTCTGTCTACAAACATATTAAGTATATTTACTCTTGTATAGAAAAATAATTAATAAAAGTCCTGCAACTAAGAATATATCTTCTTATATTATTATTCTGTTAAAGATGAATTTATAAAAATAACTTTGTATAAGTTGAACTGGAGTAAACTAAGAATAATACAAATACGCGTAATAATTGATTCCACTTAGAGTGCACACATTAGTTATATACAAAATACATGAATCTATATCTATAATTGTATTATCAAATACAATTTGTTATATTTTTATCTTCTTATTACTCATCATCCTTAACCACAAAATATATAAATACTCTTACATTATTAACCCTTATTCGGTATAACAAGAATTATAATTAACTTTGTCTTAATAAACTTATTGACAAGTCTCAATGTACTTCTTCTGTCTGTTTTCTTTTTTAATTTCTTTTTTTTTATTCTTTTATTTTTATTTAAATTTATATTTTATTATATTCTTCTCTGTATACCACAGCAAGCCTGACATCGATTTTCCGCAAACTCTTTGAAAAAAGTATATATCATGCCCTGCAAGCATCAAGCCCTCAACTGGATATTGCTCAAGGGTGTTTTAGAGAATGCCGAGGTTCCTTAGATCAAGTCTTATGTTTAACTGAAATCTGCAAAATACTGTGTCAATATCATCACTTTATCCCTACTTTGGGCTTTTCTAGATATAAAATCAGCCTATGATACCGTTGATCGTCGTTTTATTTGGAAACAATTACAACCTTTTGTCTCTCGCCCTATGTTGGCCATTCTCAAGAACCTCTTTGATAATGTATACATTGAAGTATTATTCAACAACTCTGCATCAACTAGATTTAAACCAACCACCGGGGTACTCCAAGGATCGATTTTTTTTCTCCCTTTTTATATTCAATGATCTATATCAATGGCTTACCAAATCCTCTACGTCCACAATTATCTGCACTAAATAAACTCACAGATGTCATTAAATTAGCTCCATCAATTACCTCTCTTCTCTATGCTAACGATGTTGTATTGATTGCCAAAACCAGAAAAAAATGACTCAATTGCTGCAAGCTTGTGAAGAACATAGTTACAGTTTAGGTTACCGTTGGAATCCAGCGAAACGTGTTGTTGTTGCTCCTTCAAGAGATGAACAGACCTATCAACTTTATGAAACTAATCTACCCAAAAGAAGCTTCGTTCTCATATCCTTGGTATCGCTATCAAACCAGGTGGAAACATGAATACTGCTGCGCTTATCCAACATAATGCCAATAAAGCCACACAATCAATGAACCAAATCTTTGTAATTGGTGTCAAATCTGAAGGGTTAACCAAATTACTCTTAATGCGTTTCTGTGTACAAATGGTACACATTCACAAATGGATATATGGATTAATGATCTATGACTTGAACCAATCTCATATAAAGCAACTTGAATCGGGTTAAAATGAATGTGTATGTAAATTGTATGGTGGATCTCGAACATCTTTGACTAAAGTGATGTTACATATGAACAACCAACCTTCAATGAAAGATAGATCCATGATACTACAAACCAAATACATAATTAGAACACTACAACTACCTGATGATACTTTGATTACAAAAACTACTGCCCCATTTACAAACATCTGCAAGCCGCTCACAACGGTATAAATTAGTCTGCAACCCTCTTTGGCAAAAAATGTGAACCTGTGCTGGATACATTGGATTGTTGTGTCTTTAAATCACTGAAACAACAATTTCTACAAGAAAGCCATGACACTCTACGTAATGGTCCAAATGCCCAAATGATCATCTACTTGCCGTCCAACCTTGGTGATTGATCCTATTTTATGGCCCCCAATGACACATCTGGAGCGTAGTCAGGTACTCCGCTGGCGTCTTGGTTGGCTCCCTGATGGAAAACCTCGTCCCTGTCTTTTTCATCCTGCAGTTCATCTTTCTCATGTCCATGCTACCGAATGCCTACACATACACCGTTGTCTACAAATGTCCAGATCTATCAAAGACCTTCTTTCTTCCTTACTCAATTTATTACCCCTGAAAAACCAAAAAATGTTCCATCTATCTCTTTCTGGTTCGTACGTTGGCCTGAAATTTATCTGACCCTACATGAATTGAATCCTATTTTCCATGGTGAAGATCATCCTCCTCCTCCTCCAGCTGATATCAGTGCTAGTTTGATGAAATGGTTGCAATGATAAAAATGTTAGTGTCTCTGTCTTGTTTCTGATTTTTTTTTCTCTATTTTTCTTTAGTTTTACTTTCCTATCTTTTATTTTTTCTTTAGTCTTCAATACTTTTTTCATTTTCTCTCTTGACCTTGACTCTTAGGAGGATTTTTTTTTAACTCTTAACTTTGCGAACTGGTTCTAGCAATGCAGTTATTTAAACTATTGTACTCATTATAATCACTTTTTTTTTCTTTAATAAATTATCATTTAATCGCAATGACTGCGGATTCTTTTTTTTTTTTTTTTCTTAAAAAAAAAATCAAAAATTATGTAAGCACAGCTGAAAAAAACCTTCTAAGAAAAAGTCCTTTAGTGATTAGTAATAAAGCTATTTAATACTAACAATATCCCTATTTATCTAATGGATATAGTCATTATAACGATAATAAGACTACTTTTATTTTTATATCCATTTGTGTGTGTGTGCTTTTCTTTTCTTTTCATTATTTGCTTGAAATAAAGTTAAACAGATAATATTATGATTTCAATATTTAATATACCATAATCAGTCAGACTTCTTAACCTTTGTACGATTAATACTATATGAGAGCCTTTTTCATCAAAGCTACTAGTAGTAGTAGGATTTTTTTTTTTTATATCTTCAAATTAAATTAAATTAATATTATTGGATAATAAAAATAGGAGAAAAGAATATACAGTACACACACACATAATAACACTGTTACTACTATTGCTGCTGTATAATTTTACTTCCTTTATCAGAGCTAATATCCTAAAAAAGGTATAAATCAACGTATTCCAATTTAATTTGCTCCCCCTCCCCTTTTTTTTTCGTTTTCTTTTCTTAACCAATAAATAAATAAATAAAATGGGGGCTCCTGCCTATGTATTTTCTACCTTAGACGACGAGCCGATTGCTGTTCTTCAAAAAAGGGTAACAAAAATGGATCATCAACAGACTAATACAACATTAAGAACGAAAAAATTAGCAGCAGAAGATGAATTAGAAGAATTAGAAGTTGATGATTCTTTTATAAAAGAAAATAAGCAACAACAAACACTACATCCAAGAGATTATAGTAATTTTATTCTACTTGTTATTTTATGTATGTGAAACTTTCTAAATACTTATAAAAAAAAAAAAAGCTTGTAATGATTAATCCTATTTTACATACATGTAGATTTATTACAAGGTATTCCTGTTGGTCTTTCCTTTGGTTCTATCCCTTTTCTTTTGAAAGCTAAACTCTCCTATTCCCAAATCGCTGTATTTTCATTGTCGTCTTGGCCTTATTCTCTTAAGCTTATTTGGTCACCCATTGTCGATGCCGCCTATACGCCTAAACTTGGACGTCGCAAATCATGGATTGTACCCATTCAAATTCTTACTGGCATCTTATTTTATATATTAGGTACTCGTATTGATGAACTTATGGAACACGATGTGCCCATCTATACATTAACTTATGCCTTTTTGACTGTCATCTTTTTCTGTGCTACACAAGATATTGCCGTGGATGGTTGGGCTTTGACACTTTTGTCAAAGGACTCATTATCGTATGCTTCAACAGCACAAACGATTGGTCTCAACTGCGGTTACTTTTTATCCTTTACTGTCTTCTTGTCGTTTAATTCAGTTGAATTTAGTAACAAATATTTAAGAACTGTTCCACAATCAGTAGGCGTATTAGGTTTGGGAGCCTATATGCGATTTTGGGCTATTATGTATTTAGTTGTAACGGCCTATTTGGTATTTTTCAAGACAGAACGTAAGGAGCCTGCAGATCAAGTGTTGGGTATTAAAGAAGTGTATGGAACTATTTGGAAGATTTGTAAATTGCCTCACATGAAGTCCTTTGTGATCGTTTTGTTGATTGCAAAGATTGGATTTATTTGTCATGAAGCAGTTACCTCACTCAAGTTATTAGAGAAAGGATTTTCAAGAGAGGATATGGCTTTATCCGTCTTGTTTGATTTTCCTTTACAAATCTTTTTTGGTTATTATGCAGCTAAATGGTCTAATGGAACAAGACCATTAAAGCCATGGTTATATGCATTTTATGGTCGATTAGCGTGTTCTGTCCTAGGCATGTTCATTGTAGCAGGATACCCTAATGGACAAAGTGTAAATGGCTTTTACTTTGGCATGATCATGTTGTCTACTGTGTTAAGTTCATTTATGTCAACTGTTCAATTTGTCAGTATATCAGCATTTATGACAGGCATTGCTGATCCAATTATTGGTGGAACCTATATGACCTTATTAAATACATTTAGTAATTTTGGAGGTACTTGGCCGAAATTCTTTGTATTAGAAGCAGTTGATTACTTTACAGTCAATCAATGTACCATAGCTAATGAGCAAGGTGAATGTAAGTAAAATAAAATCAACTATTTTCCCTATACATATTAATATGTGTGTGTGCGTGCGTATTTATTTGACACTATATATAAATACAATTAGATCCTTCTTGTAGTATAGAAACAGGTAAAGCATGGTGTAAAGAAGCTAATGGAGAATGTAAACTTGAGAAGGATGGATATTTCATTGTTGGTACATTATGCGTATTATTAGGTTTATTTACTTTATTGGTTTATATTAAGCCAATGGTGAAACGATTAGAGAAATTACCAAAAGCAATGTGGCGATTAAACAACAATAATGTGACACTATAAAAGCAATAATAATGTTGGTTTTTTTTTTTTTTTTTTTTCTTTTGTACATTATTTTTTTTTCTCCGCTATTACTTTCTATCTCACACACACACACACACACACACACACACTTTTTTTCTTTCTCTCTCTCTCTCTCTCTTTCCCCCTTCTTTTTATTATACATAAATATTACCCCCGCTCCCCCCATAATGAAGAAAAGACGATTGTGGCCATTTTTATTGATAATAAATGGAGTCCTTGGAAGTTTATTATCTTCCAGTGACGTTTATATAGCTTCTAGTAAAGACGAATAATAAAGATGGAACGATATATATAACTGATATAAACACTACTTTTTTCTAGATCCAATTTTATTATATTCGAATGGTTCAATAACTGATTTTCAAACAAGCTTTATAAAAGCAAAAGATTTCAAGTCAGGAATTATACCATTTGATAACTTGACAAAGCCCGACGCATCTGGACTTGAAGTAAAATAGAATAAAAAAAAAATAAAATAAAATGAAAAGAAAAGAAAAACGAAGCTTTCCTATTATACTCATTTATTGTAATGTAAGGGAATATTGTATGATAGAGGCTATTCTTGTCAATTAAATCAGACAACAACTCATAATACACTTTTCCCGTTTATTATTAAGACAAATAGCAATAAAATAGCACTTGTAAGAAAGGGAGGAGGATGTAATTTTTATGATAAAGTATGGTATTCTCAATTAGATGGAGCAGTAGGTGTAATTATTTATGACGATATACCCTTTCGAGACGATGATACATCTGGATCTATGGTATAAATAAAGCGATATAATAAGGTGTATTTTTATTTATTTATTTATTTATTTACTTTATCATAGAAAATAGTAAAGGGTAATTTAACTATCACAATGTATTATGTAGACTTGAATGTAGGACTTGAGTTATTAGATATGTTGACATTCATTACAAACAATACGACAAATAATGATATTCAACCTGCAATTAACGTAATACTGCACCCTGCTGTAGGTGGATATCCAACTGCTTGGGAATTTACATTAATTATCGTAGTTGCCTTATTGGCAATAAGCTTTTTAGCTTCAGGTATGGATATTTGTTTTCATTAAAAAAAAAAAACTTCCCCTAAATTAGTAATAATAATTTACAAAAATGTATTAAACTCTGTCTGTCTGTCTGTCTCTCTCTCTCTCTCTCTCTTTTTTTTTTATTTTTCTTTTACTCTTTTTTTTTTTTTTTTTCATATATATACACATATGACGTTACGTTTTTCTAATTTAGTTGGTATGCATTGGCATCTTTGGCGTATTCGAAGAAGACAAAGAGAACGTTTCCAACAAACAAATAGAGTTGATGCAACTACATTACAAAAAAGGGTCATGGATACTGAATCATTGGCTTTATTTCCAGTTCATGTCTTTGGTTTGAGTCATCATCGAGAATCTATATCAAGTTCAAGAGTGACTATTCAACATGGTGAACAACTTGGATCTGAAAAAGTACAGCAACAAGAGAATCATGATTTTCCTCTAGTTGATGAAAGTACGTGTGTTATTTGTTTAGATGAATTTGCAGCAGGTGATCAAATACGAGAGTTACCCTGTGGTCATGAATATCATTGTGAATGCATAGGTAAACTTTTTCATTAAACAAATAAACAAACAAACAAATAAATAAATAAATAACTTTTTTTTTATTTTTTAATTAACTAGATCCTTGGCTTACTATTAAATCAGCTTCTTGTCCTCTTTGTAAATATGATTGTTCAATATATTGTAAACAACCCGATATAATCACCTCACCAACACCTCCTCCTCCTACCTTATTAAGATCTACACAGAATAGATCCCCACACGCATTTGGACCTACTATAAGCGCAGATAGAGCAGAAGAATTTAGTCGATCTTGGATGGCACGTAGTTTACCACGTAATATGCAAAGACAAATACGAGATGTAGTTCAACAACAACAAGAGACTGTCATTGAGTTACCTGCTCGAATGACTACTCCAATACATCATCATCATCATCATACCACCACTCCCTCTAATCAAATTATAGAAGAAAATAATACTTTGAATCATAGAGGAACGAATCGGCGTTTTATAAACTTGTTTGTGCCTAAATTTATATCATCCAGAATACCTTGAACAATAAATAAAAAAAAAACCATGACTTCATGTACTCTCCTTTTTTTTTTTTTTTCTTTATATAAAAAGAAAAAACTTCTTTTTAACAAGTTATGAATAATTTATTTATTTATATTTTAATGAATATAAGTTTTCAATGCTTTTAATCTTTTTACAGCTTCCAATAAGACATCATCTGTTTTACAAAAGGCAAATCGAGCAAAATCTTTTGCTAATGACCAATGTTCCTTTTCATAAAACTCAGAGGGAGGAATAGCACAGACACCGATTTCCTTTGTTAACCAATAACACATTTTAAAATCATCACCTCTATCATTCAAGATCTCTGGAAACTTGTAATCAACGGGATATTTTATCTTTTGTGTATTCACCAAGATATAATAAGCTCCTTCAGGCATTGTATAGGGTAATCCTAATTCATCAAATACCTTTGCAAGCATAGTACGTTTCTTAAGATACGCTTCAATTTGGTTTTGAAAGATAGGTGTGGTAAGTGATGCTTCAAATCCTGCAGCAACCGCTTCTTGACAAGGTGAATTAACACAGAAAACTACACGCGTTTGGGCAGCAAAGGCATGTTGAATAAGTGAATTAGGTCCAATAAGCCAACCTACTCGCCATCCTGTAGCAGCAAATGATTTCCCACCTGATCCAACCGTAATTGTACGATCCCAAAGACCATCTACATTAGCAATTCTGGGGAATTGGTTAAGAGGTGGATAATAAAGACGATCGTACTGATATAAAAAAAAAAAAAAAAAAAAAAAAAAAAAAAAAAAAGTGAGTCTTCAATGTATATTTACAGATAGATTTGCATAAACTTACAACTTCATCTGATAAAATAATCAAGTTATGATCTTTAGCTACTTGACCAATTGCACTCAATTCTTCATGATCAAAGACTTTACCGATAGGATTATGAGGTGTATTAATGACAATCATTTTTGTACGTGGAGTCACTTTGGATTTGAGTTCATTTATATCGAGTCTCCATTCATGAGAGGAAATAACACGTTGATCAGAATCAGCTGGAGGACGTAAAGGTACATACACAGGTTTACCTCCATTCATTGTAATATTAGGCTATATATATATATTTATATAGAATGTAAGTTACGCACATATATATATATATTGTAAAAGTATAACTTACTATATATTGATCAAAGAAAGGTTCCATACAAATAACCTCATCCCCTTGATCTAAAAATGCTGCGAATACAGAAAACATACCTATAACAAGAAACACACACAAAAGAAAAAGAGTTTCAATATTCTATCAGTACGCAATTCTTAATGTTTTATTTATTTATTTATTCATTTATTTACCTTCATTTGCTCCAGCAGTAACAAGGATTTCTGTTTCAGGATCAAGTTGTCTATTAAACTCTTTACTATAGGAAGCTGCCAAAGTATTTCTTAATCTAAGTCGACCTCGAGGATGACTAGAATAGAAGAAGCGTAAATAGAATATCAAGAGAAATCTCTCTTTTTTTTTTACCTGTATTGATTGGCTTCCACTGTATTAAGGGCTTCTTTAGCTGCATCTTGTACGATAGCTGGAGGGCCAAAACTACATACAGCAAATAATTTAGATACCAAAAAAATAAAATAAAATAAAATAAAAATAAAACCCCCTATTTACTTCATATAGCCCTGTCCTAAGTTGATAGCTTTTGATTCTAATGCAAGAGGGGTAAAAATAGACCAAACTAATATACAGTGTCAACAAACTAATAATAATAATAATAATAAACCCCCTCCCCCTTCCTTTAAATAAATATTCATTTTTTTTTTTGTTTTCTTTACCGTCCCGACTGAAATGAGATACACGGTCAGCAGGTTTAATCTGAATAGGTGCCATTGTCTTTTTAGAAATTGCGGAAGAGAAATGTCGTAAACGAAAAGGAGCTTTAGATAACAAAAGTTTGTTCATCTAAAGATAAAAGAGTTCCGCTTGAATAATAATAAAAAAAGCACACAATAGATTTAAAAAAAAAATAATAATAATATTAAGCCAATAAGATTAAAAATAGCAGAAATTGCGTAACTTTTATTATTATTATTTCAAGGTTGTGTTTCTTCTTTCATCCATGAAAAATTCAAGATCGTTTCTACGGTAAATCGATTTTGAGAGTTAGGATTCAACATACCATATAATAAAATTTGACTTTGCTTGTCTAGTTTTCTAAATACAGGATAAGATCTCCATTTGTACCTTTGTAGATATAATCGATAATTTGAATCCGACATCTCCGCCGTTATAAACGGGAACCCCTCTAGACGCATAGAAAAATAAATAACCCCCACAGACCAAACATCGGCTGCCATAGCACCGTAACTATGGTTTTTATCAAAGACCTCGGGTGCCATATAAGGTGTTGTACCATGGATACCGACACTTTCATTACCCCATTGAGCTTCTCCAAAATCTGTTATCTTTAATAAAACCTTATCATCATCATCATTCAATGGGACTAATAAAATGTTTTCCAGTTTAATATCACGGTGTGCAATACCGTTAGTATGCAAATAATTTAGCCCTTTTAAAATTTGTTGAAGATATTCATTCACTTGTTTCATAGTTAACGTTTTCATTTTATCTTGTTTTAAAAATGTATAGAGATCTCCTCCTGGGCACTAATAACACAGAGTCACCCGAAAAAAGAAAAAAAAAAAGTCAATATCATTTATTACTCTTTCTCTCTCTCTTTTTTTTTCTTTTTCCTGAAAGGGAATGCATTATATACATTACATATTCCATAATGCTACAGTAATATTTCTTGTTCAATAAGACTAAATCATATGTCTTTATAATATTTAAATGATCTAGACTGGATGCAATACAAAATTCATTCATGATAGTTTTAGTGCTAGATGACTTGAATGCCCATCTTTTTTTTTAGTTGCACGAAATATCTTGACCGCATAATAACGCTCCTTTGAGTCAGTAATCAAGTGTACAGTAGCAAAGGCTCCTGTACCAATCTGAACATTCGTCATTTGTCCGTAATAACAAAGTGGCTTTAATGAATCCTTGTTGCTAAATAAACATTTGATAGACTGAACAAAAGTTGGCCGTTTAGGTTGTTTTAAAAAGGAAGGTTGCTTATTAGCTGATGTAATAGTAAATGAAGATAAAGAAGGGAAATTCAACAAATCTTTCATTATCCATATAGCATTTAAAATTAGAAGAAAAAATAGAAGAAAAACAAAAAAAAAGAGAGAGAGAGAGAGAGAAGGATAATGATTCAAAGGCATTAAATGTAATAAAGGGGAAGAGCTTATGATATGTTCTCCTGTTTTTTTTATTTTCTTTTTTCTGTTTTTAACTATTTTCAACAGCTGCTACTGGCTCAATTATACGATAATGAGCACCCTGTCGAATGTACACTTGAAGCTGAGTATAATAACTATGATGACTAAATAATTGAACAGCATTTGGTGCACTAGCTAATGTTTGAATAATAGCATATTTCCAAGACTATGTATTATAAAAAAAAAAAAGAAAGGGTTAAATTTTGATCTAGTTACAGGTGATGTTGACTTTACCTGTCCTTGCTCGGTATATTCAGTTGTTCGGTTTAAAATATAATTCATAAATTCGTTGGATTGCGCCATCATCTACATTATTCATAAATAATTGAACACATATAAGAAAAAAAACTTTATTTATTTACCTCACTACCCCAAATATGACATGCAATAGCCTGCATAACAGCAAATGCTGCAATACGAATATGATCTTCTGGCTGTTTAGCCTCCTTAATTAAACTCAATAAAGCAGATGGTTGACCTTTATCATAGAATTAATATACATTTTTGTTATTTTTTTTTATTTGTTTGATTACCTTCAAGTCGGTTATAGTATGATAACGTCAATGTTTCAATTTCTTTATCGTTTTGATTTCTATATAATAAAATTTTAATTAGCTATTTCAGGGTCCAATGTTACATAAGCACTTACCTAACCAAGAGTAATTTTGAAAGACTTTGAAGAAATACAGCTTTTACCTGACCCACAGAAGTTTGGTTTTCAAAGAATTTTGTTAGCAGTGAATTTTTTTGTGAAATCAGCTTTAGGCCATTAACATGTGATCCAACAAGCCCAACAGTAGATAAACTAACAATCTATTAAAAAAAAATTAAAATGGTTTGTTGTAAAATTATTTTAAAACTTACCAAAATTTCAATATTTGAACTGTCAAGACATTTTTCAATTCTTTCTAATAATTGATATCTTTCTGATAATGCTCCAAAATCAATTGTCTAGTTTTTTTTTTAATAGATAAGTATAAATAATACATAAATTACGCTATTAAACTAACCTCATTTGCACCAAGATGTCCTATAAATTTAAGTACTGCACATTTCACTAGCTGAACAGCAATATCTGAATCATCTTCGTTATCTAAAACAGCAGAAATATTCGATAATAAATTGGCTTTTTCTAAGAATGTGATTCCTGAAGAAGTAACTGCAATCTAACCAATTATAAAAAAAATAAATAAAAAAAGCATTTTAAGAAAAAAAAAAAAAAAAGGTACCTCATTCAATAATTCCATAGCGTTAATTTTAATTAAAAGATCATCTGATTCAAGTTCTTGAATAAAATCAGTCAAAAGACCTGATGATTCACAACGTTCAAATGTTTCATCTGACAGAATTGCCACTTTAATGATCAAGTCATAAACTCGGAAACTAACTGTACCATTGCTTTTTTATTTTTTTTTAAAAAAAAAGAGAGACAGATAAGCGTACATGATTAACTTATAATTATTATACTTACATCTTTAAAAGTTGTTTCAACATGGTAATGCAAGTACCATTAAAGAATGCATTTTGCCCGATTTTTGTAGAAGCCATTTTATATAATAAATCACATGCCTTATTAGCTGTTTTAGTATCTTGGAATGCAATGGACGCAACCACCAAAGGGAAAATATCGGATTCCAACATGTTTGTCAGACTAGCATCTGATGACAAACATTTAAACACTTGATTTAAAGACAAATATCGAATTTCAGGTGTAAAATGAGTTAAACCTTGTATTAAGAATGGCTATATATATATGCATATATAAGAGTTAAAAATAAGTCCTCTTTGTTAGGTATGTTATAGTTCACCTTGTTTTCAGAAGACACAATCATTGCATACGAAAAAGGATGTAGAATTTTATTGATCAATTCACATAAAATAATCGTTAATTGGTCATTTTCAACCGAAAATCCATTATAAAATAAACCCAAAGGAATTTTGTTTAAAATCTCGACTGATCGTTCCATAGTCAAACTGTCTAAGAATGGAGAAACTATAAGTATATAAAAAGAAAAAAAAAACAAACAAACTGTAATATACCATTTAGTGTGGAAGCAAATGTTCGAAGCGTAGATATTTTATCATTAATTGAAACGGTTGTATTGGGATCAAGTATACTAGCTACTTGTGCAAGTGAATTAGCAGGTACTGACGACATTTTGAATTGTGCAAAAGAAAAGAAATGAAATGAAATGCGCGTAGTTTTAAATCAAAAAATAAAATAAAATACGATTTAACTTTTTTATTTTTATTATTTTTATAAATTAAAATGTATAAAGTGATCTATGAGCACATAATATCTTTGTTATATTGGATTGCCCAGATCATTTCAAATTATGTGAAAAAAAAAAAGTATCTAAAAACCCTCTTACGGGACAAGAGGTAAAAAAGGTAAAGGAAAGGAAGAAGAAGAAGAGAAGGTGTGAAAGAAAGGGGGGAAATATGGCTAACAAGTTTAAAGGGACAACCAGTCGAGCCATTTCCTGCCTGGATCACGAAGTGGAGGAGACACTCTGTTTACACTTTTTGGACGAAAGGAGAAATAAAATCAGACACTTTGATGGTAAATGTTCAGACTTTTTCTTCACCTGTAATCATCAAATCCCAAAAAGGAAAACCCTGTTTCTTAAAAAAAAAAAAAAGGTGAATCATAGACGTTGCAGAAGTATTGTGTCTAATTTAATGAAATGCATTTTAAACTTACGCTCCTTTGATAAATCGCAACTTAAAAACACAGAGGACTTCCTCAATTCCAGAAAGCCTCTGTATATCACATCCGCCCTTAGCAATTAGCAACATAAACTTGCCTTACGGATTCCCCTGGTAGATTTACTTCTTTATTGATACACTTGTTCTCTATCATTGAATCTGAACACAACAACCATTGTGAATACGATGTAAGAAGACTGTCTCTTCCGCGGCGATTTAGTCTGCTCCCAACACCTTCCTTACACCGAGGTTCTATAACTTTGTCAGTAAACGTATTATCTGCGTTTCTTCCTCGTGAAAATTTGCCAAAAGGTTATAATGACCAATTTCAGCTCTTTTTTAAAGTATTAAAGTTCCAGTCATTGAGAATTAAAACGTAAGTTAAAAAAAAGGGGGTGATATCATAATAATTAAAGCAAACATACTTCCAGAATTGAAAGTATAATGCCAAATGGCAGAAATAGACAGTTGTTTGGAAACTTGATCAGATCAGACGGTTTCAGTGTTGATTTTTTGTTCTACAAAAGACGAAATGATCAAAATGATATGGCTGTCAAGGTTAATCAAATACACCTCAAAGTCGATGACTTTAAGAGTCAAGAAGTAGAAGAGTCATATCTTCCAATAGCAATTGACCCTGGAAGAAAAACCGTTTTTACTGCAGTTACCGATTTAGATCGCGATGTTCGACGATGCACAACCAAGGAATACTATCATTTGACAGGTTCAACAAGATTCAGTTCTGAATTGAACAGACTGATTTTTAAACACGAATTACTGTATATGATAAATATATTGCCCTACTAAATATCCGTTATGGAGAAATTGTGTGTCCTATACTGGAGATATAGATTACTTTATGTTGAAGTCATGCCTTTACCAGCTTCTAGAAGACAATTTTAACAGTCGTCGTACTGCTCCTAATACTAAATTATTAAATATGTGCCGTCTTGATCTAGGTAGAGATTCTATCCTTTGATTATCTATGTCATCTGTTAAACAAAGTTATGTCCTTTGTTGGTGTCTAGAGTAGCTATTAAATGGTAATTCTCGAATATGCATTTATTATCCTATAGAATTGTCTACGGAATCTCATTCAGTTTGCTGTCTATACACGCATCATCGTTTATATCTTCCTCTCTCAATTGCTGATCCAATATTCTTTCTATTGAACCAGTTGTCTGTTAAACCACCTCGTACCTTACTTTATGATTCTGCCTGGACTATCCTCTGGCATGAAATATGCACGATTCTCTATGAATTAGATTGCATATTTCATGATAAGTCCCTTCTCCCTTTTCCCATTGAAAATCCTAGTTCTAAATTGCTGCCATGGTCATTTAACAATTGAGGCTATTGTACCATTCATTTTTCTTATATCCTTTCTATAGCTCTCCATTACCTCATCTTCCTTCCCATCTCTCTTTCTTTTTTTTAACTTTGTGTCTCTTAAAAATATTTTTAGGTTCTTTGTGTTATTATTCTATTGAGCTGATTTGGGAAATCTAGTATCATTTAGATACTATGTGCTCACAAGGCTCAAAGATTTAAATATGTAATCGCATGAATGAACGAGACTTATCAGCGAATAGGAGAGTAGCTAACTTACATCAACATGAGAGGCATCAATCTCTCTATTTCTTTATTTAACATTCATTATGGGAAATCTTCATGTTCTTGCAAATAATAATATCTGTATAATAATAATAATAATAATAATTACAATAGTGCACATTATGCGAATTGGCAAAATAATCAATTTATATGTGGATTCTTTACAAAATATGTACAAGTATAGTGTTGCAAAGTTTGCTATATATATTAGTAAGTTAAAATCGTTTGTTTTGAAACTGAATCTTCCTTTTTGTCATCGTCATCTTTTTGAATATAATAAATGAAATAAATTATGATAAAGCAAAGAATGATAAGGAACCAACCTCCCATAATAATATAAAAAACTGTAAATGGTCCTAAGCTCTGTGCTGCATTTGTATCACTAAGAATAGCTACTAAAGTAGATGTCCATAAAATACAAGTAAACGACGCAGTTCTAAAGAAATTAATCTATGCTTAAATAAAATAAAATGAGCTACTATAATTTCTTATTCATGTATACTATTCTATTAAATTACTTTATCTACATAACAGGGCCTTATTTTTATATTATAGCAAATCATTGTGAGTAATATGATGATTGATAAAATCGCTCTTATTCGATTCACATTCGTAGTAGACTCTACTAATAAAAATACAATAGCTAGCAATAAGCCTGATTTACGTAATATATATGCATATACGTTAATCAGTTTAATCTAATCTATTACTTTCCCTCTCTCTCTCTCTCTCTCTCTCCCACACTCTCTTTTTTATATTTTACCCATATTTTTAATAAATGCTACACTTATGGATTTATATGCTATTTCGTTTTGATTTGGTATACGTTCATAGCTTGTTAAAAAGATAGTCATCATAAAATAAGCTAACAAGTAACCTAATAGTGAAATATAGAAATAAAGAGGTTGTGAAATGGTTTGTGAATGGCATCGTAATGTTTGATTATTATCATTAAATGGCATATTGAGTGATTGGCATGCTGCTGAACTTACAAACGTCGTCTATTACATTAAAAGAAAAAAAAACGACAAGTCAATATAGAGCTATAACAAAGTATTCATAAAAAAAAAATATTACTAATATAGGAATATATAATAAAGTCTATTATACAAAACAAAAACAAAATTACAAGTTAATACATATACACATATAAAGTTCATGTCTGTTAATCAAACTTACTGTAACAGGAATAAACCATCTCACCCATCTTGTCGATATTCGATATGGGTACTTCCAATGAATAATATGGATCAATAGACCAACCAATAAGCTTACGCAGGTTCCTACAAAAGTTGTCCATAGTGAATAGGTATACCAAGTAGGTGTCCTCATATCAGGCATAAGCCCGCCTGCATTCATCACAAAGGAGACTAATTCAGATGTTTGTTGTTGACTACCATGAGTTACTGCTACTAAATCTCGTAAAGGGAAAGTCATTAATTGTAAAAATTCGATAATTAAAATTGTAAGTTGAATCCAATTGGATAACATAGAGGTATCCCAATCATCAAATCGAGTATCGTAAACAGCTGTAATATGAGCATCATCGTTGCCATATAACTTGCGTCGTTCAGTATAATAACAACGTTGTCGAGTCATCAAATAGAGATTGATGGATAAAACAAATACAAAGAGAGAAGATTGAAGAACATGACTAGTTGAGGAACCAATCAAGATAACTAACGATACGATAAAGCTGATAACACAGCTTAGCGAACCTAGGTGATAAAATCGAAAATTATAAACTCTTTGGTGTTGAGTGACGTTGTTATTATCTGACTGACTGATATGATTCCAAAGAACAATAGCTAATGTACAAATAGGGATCCTAAAGGTGGTCTTGAGTTGTTGACTGATGTTGTCAACTAGTAAATAAATTTCTTGCTGTTGCCCCACTGCTTGATCTCCTCTTTGATTTACTGGAATCTTGTGTCTTTCCGTATACCAAAAATAGATAATAAAAGAAACTGCTAAAATAATCAAAATAGAAAAAAAAAGGATAATAGAAATTGTTTCATTTGTTTGTTGAGATTGCTTTTGATATGATGCGTAACCTATTGTGTTATTCATATTTCGTACAAAAAAAAAAAAAAAGAAGAAGAAAAAAGAAGAAGAAGAAAGTATGTTCATATTTTAATAATTATATCTTAAACCAGGAAAGGAAATTGTTTTCTTACCCCTTTCTGTATAACATTCTTTAAAAAAGAGTTTAATTACGTAATAAATTCGACAGCTAAACTTTTTTTTTATTGACTGATTTTTTTTTTATATCTATCTTTTCCCCAATCAAATCTCAAGAAAGAGTTCACTACTGTTAAAACTGTAGTGTTCCTTTTTTTTTCTGTTTTTTTTTTTTCTTCTTTTTTAATCAATTAACAAAAATGGAGAATCGTTTACGAAGAAGATCACAAACATTATCTGTACAAGCAGCAGTATCTAGATTAACACCTGCTCAAATGTATTCTAATTTTGAAGAATGGATTAAAATGTGTACAGATAATGTATGTATAATCATTTATGTATTGTAGTTTTTAATCCTTACAACTTTATTCTTTTTTTTTTTTTTTCCTTTTACTGTAAAACAGAAAGTCAATGCAACAAATACTTGGAATTTTGCTTTGATTGATTATTTTCATGAAATGACCTTTCTTCGTGAAGGCGATTCAATTAACTTTCAAAAGGCGTCTTGTACCTTGGATGGCTGTGTTAAGATCTATACCTCACGTGTAGATTCAGTTGCAAATGAGACTGGCAAATTATTAAGTGGTCTTGCTGATAGCAATACACGTAAACTATAGATACGTAGATATATATATAGTTTAGGATTATTTAATATTTCTTGTCTTTTTAGATGGTAATGAAGGCGATGATGACACAAGACAAGAAAAACGTGTTCGTCGAAAGGTAAAATAAATAAATAAGTAATATCTTTTTTTTTTCATTTCTAATACTTTCCCTCTCCCCCCTCCCTTTTTTTTTTTTTTTTTTTTTTTTGTTAATAGACAAATCGATCTGAAGCAACATTGTTAAAAGATTTTTCTTCCATTGCTTTAAAAAAATTTGATCTAGATTTTGCAGTTGATCCTTTGTTTAAAAAAACATCAGCAGACTTTGATGAAGGAGGAGCTAGAGGTCTTTTGTTGAATCACTTAAGTTTAGACCAAAATGGAAAAATTATATTCGATGCATCAGATGCTACAATCGAATGTGAGAACGATGAAGGTGATAATGGTGAGCAAAACATGATATCTATTGACAACATTGAACATCAACCACAAGAGCAATACAATGATGAGGAAAAAATAGATGATCCTATGGAAGAAGAGACAACAGAAAACCAAAATGAAATAATACCCGAATCAATGGAGATTGACTCACTACCTACCATAAAAGAAATCTCACCTACTGTAGAAGAAGATGCAACTCAATTGAAAAACGAAGCTCGTATTGAAATCTTCAGATTAAAATGTACGATAGGATACAAAAAAAAAAAAAAAAGAAAAAAAAAATAGATGAAGTCTTAAACTTCTAACCCACGTTATTTTAGCTAAATTACCAAAGATGCAATTATTGCCTGATTTTCACATTGTACCATTTCTTAAAGATTATAACTTTTTCACAGATGATAATGATGATTTGGCTATTCCTGATTTAGATAACGATGATGATGATGATGAAAATGACAATAATGTATCAGCTAATAATGATTTTGATTTTGATGATGATTTTGATGTTAATTATGGAGAAAATGATGTTGATCCTTTCCAATTTGATGATACACAACAGGAAGATACACAACAACAAGAACCCTTAAGTACTTCTTTTGTAGATAAACCCATTCAAGAACATGACTTTTTATCCGCCATAATTCACACAGGAGATCACGACATGTTTAATTATTTCGATTCAACGCTTGTCAAGAACTGGGCAGGACCTGAACATTGGAAGTTGCGACGAAAACCTATTGAAAAAGAAGAATCTCAACAACAACAACAACAACAACAACAACAAAATTCAACAGCGAAACGAAAAACACGTACTGTAACAGATAATTCTTTACCATTTCAACAAATACTTGAAGATAATGTTGAAAATAACGATCCTTTTGAGAGTACTACAAAGAAATTAACATTGACAAAAGATGCTATATCGAAGATGACTGGTCATCTTTTACCAGAAGATATTCATTTTTCATCCAAAGTTTTATTACAATATTCATTAAAGCCTGCTTTGCCATCTAATGGACGAAGGAAGAAACAGACAATAAATCAAATAGAAGAAGCTATAACAGATCCTGCAGATGATGGTGTCATGAATTCAGATGTTAATTTTTGGGCTAATCAAACACAAGATTATGGTGATGATGTAATAGATGACGATGATAATCTACCAACTGACGCATATGGATCTGAAGCCAATATAGACCAAAGTAATACAAATATAAATAAATTAGATGAGTGAAATGTAGTTACTAACTAACTAACTAACAAATTGAATTAATTAGCCATCTTAACGGCATTTGATGAAACATCATTTTATCAAGATAACTATGATGATCCTGAAATATCAGTGCTTTATGGAGATGAACTTATTACAAATCATCATCTCAAGAAAACCAAACCACTATACGTTAATTATGCTCGAACAGCAAAAAGAGTAGATGTAAAGAAACTTAAAGATAATTTATGGAAAGTCTTAACGACGAACAATACTAATGAAGAAAAGATAAAAGGAGTACAAAAGTTTACA